CTTCTGAGATCAAAAAATCACTAACAAAAACTTCCTCTCCGTAAATCTCCTGTATACGACCTCCTTACCTCTCAAATCCTTCGACAACTTCCTCCAAAAGCTGTTATATTTCTCACTTACTTATATAATACCATCCTTAGAACCACCCACTTTCCTCTTTTGTGGAAACATTCCACTATTATCCTGTTTCCGAAACCAGACAAATCTCCCAACACCTCTACGTCCTACAGACCAATTAGTCTATTTCCAATCCTCTCCAAAATCTTTGAAAAGCTCCTCCTGAAACGAATCCTATCTTTTATAGAATCCCAAAATCTCCCTTCCCATCAGTTCGGATTTTGTTCACAACACTCCACAGTCCAACAAGGACTCCGAGTGGTCGATCATATTTCCGCAGCATTGGAAAGCAAGCAATAGTAAAGCAACGGGTGCTTTTCTGGACATAGCTCAAGCTTTCGACCAGGTATGGCACACCGGACTTCTTTCCAAACTGAAAACCTATCTACCCCAGTCCTTGTACCTAATCCTCCGCTCCTACCTCTCTGATCTAACCTTTCGGGTTCGCTGTGGTTCAGAATTTTCTGACTCCTACCCAGTTGAAGCCGGTGTTCCTCAAGGTAGCGTCTTGGGCCCCGTCCTTTATATCCTTTTTACTGCAGATATCCCTGTCCATCCCAATACCTTCCTGGCAACATTTGCTGATGACACCGCCATCCTATCATCCAATTCAGATCCCGAAATAGCATCTTTAAAGCTGCAAAGGCACCTCTCCATGATTGAGCACTGGTGTAATAAATGGCGCATCAAAGTAAACGAATCCAAATGCAAACACATTACTCCACCGCAGATCCTGTCCATCAGTCCACTTTAATTCCATCCAGCTTCCTTTTTCAGACACAGTCCGGTATCTTGGCTTTATCTTAGACCGAAGACTAACGTGGAACCCACATACTAGACTTAAAAGACAAGACCTTAACCGACGATACGGCCAATTATACAGACTACTGACCAGAAAATCTCAACTTTCAATTGACAACAAATACTGATCTAAAAGACAAGAACCTTATCAATCATCCAAATCCCCTAGCCCAATCCTTATCTAGTTCCACTCATCCCTACAACCCCCCTCGAAGGTTGAAGCGGCAGTGGCCCAGAGATCTTTTATAGTATTTATTTTGGAGCTCTGGCAATGGCCAGATTCTCCACTCAAGACATGAGTGTATGTGGCTAAAGCGCTCTCGCTCAAACTCCACCGGCTTTAGCACCAGTGAGGCGGTCGAGAGAGTAGCGCAGGGATTTGGGTTCCCCGTCTGATTGTATATATTGTATATAGGTAATATTATTTTTTTATTGTATATAGTTTTTATTTATTATTATTTAGTTATTATTTTACTTTTGTTAATTTTACTTTTTTTGTATATACGGTGTGAATGTGTTCATTTATCAATATAATTATTGTCCCCGTGACAGAATATTATATGTCTAAATAAATAAATATAAAAAAAAAAATTGTCTAAAAAAATTAAACAATTTTTTAATGATGTAGAGATGGTTGACCATGATATAATATGAGAAAGAGTTGATCGGGGGGTGCGGTCAAATAAATACTAAATTATAGAAATATTATTATTTAATTATTATGCCGACGTTTCGACCCACTTTGCAGGTCTTCGTCAGGGCTACAAAAGACACAAAATATAATAGGTACATGGTGAAAATAAAATAAATGAATTATTTTCACCATGTACCTTTTATATTTTGTATCTTTTGTAGCCCTGACGAAGACCTGCAAGGTGGGTCGAAACGTCGGCATAATAATTAAATAATAATATTTCTATAATTTAGTATTTATTTGACCGCACCCCCCAATCAACTCCTTCCCATAAACCGTTTTTTCTTTAAGTTATTATTTTATTTATTTTTTAAAATTTAATTTCCTTTATTCTATATGGAGTTCGTTTAAGAAAGCCTCTATTGTAATAATGACATAATAATAATAATAAAACTTGCTGAATATCTTGAAACGTGAACAATCATTAAAATCAACTTAAAAAATTCAATACATTTATAACTTAGCTAAAACTGCTTCCGATATTTTATCTTTCTAATTGGCAAAAAAAAAAAGTTAACCTCCCCATAAAATTTGAGGCATTACATTACTTAAATTAAATATTTCTTTAGTTATAGCTTTCTATTTAACAAAAGTATGACTCACTTAAAAAACACAAAACTTGGATTTCCTCCTTTTCTGCTGAAAATTGGCCCATTGTTTATACGAGCATTTTTGTAGCTCTCGAGGTCTGCTCCAACTCCAATAAGTCCTCTCTATTTACGAGACGCACTTTAGCCTAGGCCTACTTTCGATTTTGATTGAGGGAGTTGGAAAAAAAACGCTGCAAATTATACCACAATTGTTCCAACCAATTGTACATCTAAAGTAACATTATCTTTCTAGTGACAAAGAAATTTGACGAGTTGCTGGGAGTTCTAGAACAGGAGCCGTAGTGGTGTCTTCCAACAGCAGAGCCGGCTTAAAACTACAAACAGAACGGTGCACCAACTTGGTTGGAGAATGGTGCGAGAGGAAGAAGTTGACTATGGCTGCTTCAAAGACACAGGCCATTCTATTGAAAGGAAAAACTGATAGGGCACACTCAATCAGTATAATGATTCACAAAACAAGAATACGTCCAAGTGAAGAGGTCATCTATCTTGGAGTCAGATTCAGAAGAGATTTCAATGTTACGCCTCACTGGGACTACATGCGGAATAGAGTGGCCCAATGTCTGAACGGTCTGAGTCGAGTAGGGGGCACTTTCTGGGGCCTCAGATACACAGCAACAATGACCATTTATAAAGGTATGATTGTAGGCATACTGAGGTATGAGTCCTCTACTTGGAATCGGAATCTCTCGCACCAACAGAAGAGCAAGTTGGCGACAACCCAGCGAACGGCTCTGCTGCGAGTCACCAGTGCATACAGGACTGTTCCTCATGAGGCGGTGCAGTTACTAGCGGGAGGAATGCCTCTCGAACTCATGTTCATGTATTACCATCTTCCTCGAAGATCAACTACCGGTCCTTATCGCCAGAGATGTCTAACTAGTGTCCACCAAAGAAGAATATTTGAGGTTTGAAAATGTTTTTAATAGGGTATAGTTTTTAAGGTTAATTAGATGTACATACTGTTAGGTATATATAGCCGTCCGTTGACAAAGAAATAAGACTCATGTATTATATCATTTACTTAACTTGATTTTAATGTTATACATTCATTTAATTAATAAATTTCAGTTGGGTCAATAAAAAAGTATTCATTATACTAATGTAAAGTTTTAATTCGAGTCGAAGGATGAAGTATCTTCCGACGACAGTGAGCTTTCATCCAACGAAGATGAAGACAAAATGATTGTGGAGAAATCGAGGAAGGAAGCATCTTCCAACAATAGCGAGCTGTCATCGGACGAATATGTGGAGTCCGATGACGAGGATAAATTGATTGTGGACGAGTCGAGGGACGAAGTATCTTCTGACCACAGCGAGCTTTCATCCAACGAAGATGAAGACAAAATGATTTTGGAAGAATCGAGGAAGGAAGCATCTTCCAACTATAGCGAGCTATCATCGGACGAATATGTGGAGTCCGGTGACGAGGATAAATTGATTGTGGGCGAGTCGAGGGACGAAGTATCTTCCAACGACAGCGAGCTTTCATCCATTGAAGATGAAGACAAAATGATTTTGGAAGAATCGAGGAAGGAAGCATCTTCCAACATTAGCGAGCTGTCATCGGACGAATATGTGGAGTCCGATGACGAGGATAAATTGATTGTGGACGAGTCGAGGGACGAAGTATCTTCTGACGACAGCGAGCTTTCATCCAACGAAGATGAAGACAAAATGATTTTGGAAGAATCGAGGAAGGAAGCATCTTCCGACGATAGCGAGCTGTCATCGGACGAATATGTGGAGTCCGATGACGAGGATAAATTGATGTGGACGAGTCGAGGGATGAAGTATCTTCTGACGACAGCAAGCTTTCATCCAACGAAGATGAAGACAAAATGAACTTGGAAGAATCGAGGAAGGAAGCATCTTCCAACAATAGCGAGCTGTCATCGGACGAATATGTGGAGTCCGATGACGAGGATAAATTGATTGTGGACGAGTCGAGGGACGAAGTATCTTCTGACAACAGCGAGCTTTCATCCAACGAAGATGAAGACAAAATGAACTTGGAAGAATCGAGGAAGGAAGCATCTTCCAACAATAGCGAGCTGTCATCGGACGAATATGTGGAGTCCGATGACGAGGATAAATTGATTGTGGACGAGTCGAGGGACGAAGTATCTTCTGACGACAGCGAGCTTTCATCCAACGAAGATGAAGACAACATAATTTTGGAAGAATCGAGGAAGGAAGCATCTTCCAACAATAGCGAGCTGTCATCGGCTATTTAAATACTGAAATATAAATTGTACTATAGTAAAAAAAAATATTTATAATATTACATTATGAAATATATATATTCTTATTATTTCTCCTCACTCAATGTCACAAAGGTATTAGATTCCCGAATTTCTAACAAAGTCTATATCCAGGGGCGGGGTTTTGTATTAATAATAATGACTGTAAATAACCTAGTTCTCCCGATAAACAGAAGGAATATTTACAATTGCCCACCAAAAAATATTTTTCACCGTTATACTTTTAACAGGTTACTTACAATTGGCGCCAAACAGAAGTTGATTGGGTGGCGGAAGATTAATTAACATTCAATTGATTAAAAATAAATAATTTTGTTTATTTCGAAATTTTAATGTCATCCCCAAGATTACGCTAAAATATTAAAAGTGTGTAGGTTTCGAAAAGATACGTAACCATTTTCTAAACTCATTTGAATTTTTTTATATTTCAGTTTTGCACAGAAATTAATAATGCCTAATAACCCAGTTGTTAGTGAAATTGTAGGGGGAGATGAGATCTCTTTACAAACAAACATGGCTGAGATCACTGGTCGGTACCAACCTCAAACAAATGAGCAAGCAACAGCTCAGCCAAATGTTGATACGGCGGCCATTTTGGCAGCACTCACATCGTTCAAACTGGAAGTACGATCGGAATTCCAAGATCAAAGAAAAGAAAGAGAAACTTTAAATAACAAAATTGATAAGTGCATTAATAAAAATGATGCAGTAGTGGAAGATATCAATCACAAAATAGTAATTTTAGAAGCCAAAGTAATGGAATCAGAGCAACATTTTAACAGGAAAATCAGTGAAAAATTACATGAAACTATGACAAGTATAGGCAATGAATTACTTAGTCATGGAGAACAAATCACACAATTGCTAGGAGAATGACAAAATTCAATTGTGCCAGAAGTTACTACAAAAATTGCAGGAGTGGAACATAAAATTAAAGAGGTGGAAAATGCAAACATCAGCCAATTTAGATTGGTTAACTCAGAAATTAAAAACTTAAAACAAACACATCTAATAGGCGAAAGCAGACTGGTAAATATTTCCTCCAACAACATGATCCCGAAATTGAAATAAGGTGGTTTTAAATGCAATATTTCGCCAAAACAATTCATTAATAATTTAAAGACTAGTCTTGATTTAAGCAATGGACTAGTACCGTTTGAAGAATTGGTAACTGAAAGATTGGATGGTACTGCCATGGTCTGGTGGTCGTTAAACAAAAATAAAATTTCAGATTTTGATGAATTTGAAATACAATTCAACAAAGAATTTAATATACATAGATATCAGTCACACCTGATGCATTAATTACTAACTGAATCATACCAAACCCACCGCAACAATAGGACAACTGAACAAAACATTGTTGACTTGGTAAGACTTATGCTTACGACGGATGCCGAAATCGACATTGAGGAAGCTGAGCTAACAAAAAAAATTGCTAGACATTTCGATGATAAAATTTATTATGTTGCCATAGAGCAGAATTTCCAGACCATCAATAGTTTAATAACTTACACTGAACGGATATACTGAATGACCTTAAATCGAGGTAATGAAAGAAGAAATAGTTCCAGGGAAAATGAAAATAAACAGCAAAATCAGAGATATTCAAATTCTTATAGAAATAGATTTAATAACAATAGGCCTAGGCAATCTGACAACTGGAAGTACCAAAACTCTAATTGACAAAATAATTACACTTCTTACAGCAGAACCCCACTGATAACTGGAGAACAAGAGATGTTCAACAACAAGCTAGCACTCGGACATTCGAATGAAGGGAAGAAGTCCCTCCTCTTCCACGAATGCAATGACTAACCCACAGATCCAACACCCAACCCGAACAACTTCAGCAACCAGCACCTGTAATATGTAATATTTTCACAGAGAATGATCTCATTGTTGACAGTGAAAATACAGAAGGCAATAAGAAATCAAAATCGGCAAGTCCCATTATATCAGCAAAACTAGCCAACTTGGAACTTGACATTTTAATTGATAGTGGCAGTGAAATCAATGCCATTAGTCAAGATTGCCTGACACGACTACAATGTACAGTTCCAAATTTACACATATAACCTTGCAAAACCTTACAAATAATTACGGCATGTAACAAAAAGTCAAAGAAATTGATAGACAGTGGTACATTGATGTTTCATTGGGTAATAATAAAGTAGAGCTAATAATGCTAGTTGTGCCAGAATTGAGTTGTGATTGTATAATAGGGTTTGAATCACTAAAAGACATGAAAGCCGATATCAATCTATCTAGCATGATACTGATTATCAATATTAATACATCAATTGAACGGGTTTCTATCAAGTCAATTGGGGACAACAAAGAATACAGAATAAATCACATTGAAGAAATTGGGGACTTAAAATTAAAAGCAGATGAAGAAAAATATGAAAATAACCAACTTCACCAAAGGTTAAACGAGATACTGGATAATTACCCAAATGTATTTAAAAACACAATAGGAGTAATAAAAGGATATACTCACCAGATATTAGTTAATGACCAAACACCATTCATAATGAGATCGTACCTTATAATAAAGCCTCGGTTATTGGAATCAGCCAAATTGGAAATCCAACAGTGGCACGACCAAAATATAATTGAGCTCTCAGACTCATCATATGTCAGTCTGTTGCTATTTATCAAAAAGAAAATTGGGGAAGTTAGGCCATGTCAGGTCAAGGATGTTCTCTTGATTCAAGAAACCTTGAATTACACATACCACTCGACGATTGATGAAGTACCACATAGAGTACTCACAGGAAAACACCCTCCTAGACCACGAGACAGCATTAAAGAAATTTCAAGCACCTCGGAGGCACCAATAAATAGACCACCAATCGTTAATCAATGAAACTAGAGACTTTATAAACAGGAAGAAAGCTTATGTCATAGACACAACTGACAAGTTCCCTGTTTTGAAACCAGTAGAGATGGTGGTCATTAAGGCTCTCAACTACAGTGTTAAAGAAAAGAAACTAGCAGCCAAACTGATGGCTAGGTTCCAGGGACCTTACCAAATAAAACACAAACTGGGTGCTTCAGTGTATTTGTTAACTGCCAAGAATGAGCCCGATGTTGTCAGAGGAATTTTTCATGCAGCACTCCTTAAGAAATACTATGTGCAGGAGGACCAAGCCAATGCATTACCTATAGACCCAGGTTAGGAGAATGATAAAATAAAATTTTTGGAAATGTATGGTTACAAACACAGGCTTGTCTTAGGGATATAAAATAAAAAATCAATAAATAGATAAATAAAATAAATAATAGTAATAAACAAACTGGTTTAATAATAAATAATATAAATTACCCATTAATTTATTTCCATTGTGGACTTCAAACATTTTTTTACAGATTATATTCGCATTTAACTAGAGATAATAGGTTTAGATGTTCATCTTAAACTATCCAGTAATTTTCTCTTACACCTAAAACTGCTGATTTTTTATAAATTGTGTATTTTGTATATATCATAATTTTGTATATATAATAATATAATATAATAATAAGGCTTAGCGAACCCGAAGGTTCGATACCGACACCACCAATCGCTTGTTACACAGCTGGTGAACAATACCGTTATACTCCAATTTTTTCTCTAATATTTGCCATAAAGAAAATATTTGATCAATAGTCGAACGATTCCGTCTAAATCCGCATTGGTAGTCTCCGATAATTTCCTCGGCGTATTCCGTGATTCGACTGGTTAAGATTAAAGTGAATATTTTATAACATACCGGAAGGAGTGAAATTCCTCGATAGTTATTCCAATCCGTCCTCGGACCCTTTTTGTGAATCGGAATAAGAATAGATTCTTTCCATTCTTCAGGTAATTTCTCGTTCACCCAGATCTTTTTAACCAACCGATGTATTTTAGAAACTCCAGCTTCCCCGCATGCCTTAATTAGTTCAGTAGGAATATTATCGATTCCCGCTGCTTTATATGATTTTAATTTTCCGATAGCTACTTCAACTTCCTCTTTACTTGGTCCTTCTATTAACGGTTCAGCACTCTGGTACTCAGAAGGAGGACACAGATCATAATTTCCCGTATTTAAAATATTGTCAAAGTGGTCCTTAAACTTATTCAATATGTCAACCGGATCGGTCAGAATATTGTTATTATCATCCCTAATTTCAGACGTTACGGGCCCTACATATTTACGTGATCTGTTTATACCTTTATATAATCATTTAAATAATTTTTTCTTTTTCGCCGATACATGACTGCATTTAGGAATGATTTTAAGCATGCACATTAAAATATAAAATTTCCATTACACCAAAAAAAAAAGTTCATTTCATCACGGTCATTTTTCTTAAATTTTGTGGTTCTCACTCGAACAAAAAATTTATAAGTTAAACAGTAGGGATATGTAGTAGATAGCTCCCAGTATTTACTCCTTCATGTAACATTGTGTGAGGGAATGAGAAGGAATATATAAAATATAGGAAAGTGAGGTTGCACGATGAATTGTACTCAATTATGCAGTGGACAAATTATTCGTGGAAATGTCTGATATCGATAAAGAAGGACGCTGGAAAAAGGTCAGAGCAGGTAGCTAGCAACAGCTGGCAGAAGGACGCCGAGAAGAGCACTTGAGGCCTGAACACGAAGACAAGAAGACATCATCTGGGAAGAGAGGCTTACTACATTGAAGACTAAGAACATCGAGCCTACAGTTATAAGACTTATATACATTCGTTTATTACAGTTGTAAAATAAAATTGTTTTATTATACAGGAATGAAAAGTCATTTTATTTAGTTGTCCTATATGCCTCACAACTGAAGAATAACGAACCAGGTGAGTCAATTCATTTAAAGTGTTTACTAAGTCCCACATCATATATGTATTCTTATTGTTTCTTCTCATTCAGTGTCACAAAAGGTATTAGATTCCCGAATTCCCAACAACAGTTAAACGCCCTCAAAAAGTCTATATCCAGTGCCGGGTTTTGTTTTAATAATCACGAGTGTAAATAACCTAGTTCCCTGATATAAAAGCGGAAGGCTATTCACTATTCCCGCCAAAAAAGGTCTTTTACAATTAACCTTTAACAGGTTATTTACATAGTGCTGCCATACTTGGACTACCCCAACAAAGTCTGCTAATTTAGGGAGCACTGGGTAATAGTAGTGGCAGAAGCAACAACAGGAAAAGTGATTGTTTACATATTTATAAGTGTTATTTATTTCCATTGTCCAATTTTAAACCCACATCTACAGAAGAGAGCTGAATGAGAAGGATCAATTAAAGGGCATTATTTTATACTTATTGCAAATACTAAAATGTGATTAATTCATATCGGTCTTCACGCACTTAACTGAGCCTATAAAGTAGGAATAGACTAAACTTTTGAGATATATTTATAGAAAAGGTTATCACAAGTATTTCCAAGAACTTGATTCCTCAGATATTGAGTAAAAGTCTTCTGGAAATTCTTCATGTTGCTGATCATATAATACACCTGTAGCAGACTTGATGCATTCTGAATCGCTTTCAAGTTCTTCTAATGACAAAACTTCTATAGAAGGCTCAGTATTTTTACTAGCTTCGAGAGAATATACTGAAGAGCCTGGTGTAGAATGTTCCAGCCACTTTTTTTCCTAAAAATAAAAATGTATATTTTAATTGTCAAATAAGTCAACTTCAATGTTATGCTAGTTTATATTTATTTATTTAAAACCCACCCTGCCTGTTAGTGGTGTTTGATAAAGTGAATAGCTATCTACATATTTGATTAAGTGAATAGCTATCGATACATTTGATTAAGTGATTAGCTATCTACACATTTGATAAAGTGAATAACCTATGTTTTGAACACATAGGTAGCTGGAGTTGCAACATAGAGAGAGGGACTGAAGGAATGAGGATTGATTGAGGGAAGTGTGTGATTCTATGGTGGACCAATTTTCTTCAATTATTTGAAGAGGACGGTCTGTAGAAATATTGGTGAAGAGATTTTCTTCATCAAAAGAGGCCAAAATGAAATGTAATTGTATGTTCACAGATTTTAGTTGATCTAATAGGTGGAAGGAATTTTTAATGTCATATGGATTGTTTTGACTGAAGAGACTGGATGGCAGGGAGAAGAAATTTACTGAGTTTAGAAGATGGAGAGTTAATGTTGGAAATAATAGGTCGGGGAGGTTGCCTGGTTTATGGATTTTTGGTAAGCCATAGCATCGGGGAGCAGTGCAATTTGAGATGAGATGAGATTTCTATAGGTAGGGATTTTAATTTGTTTAGTATTGAGAAGGTGTTTTAGGTGTTGGTTGAATTTCATTGTGAGAGATGGTGTGGGGTCACGTTTTGTGATGAGATAGGTGGTTTGGTCGGAAAGATAATGACAGTTTTGTTACTTTTGTCTGCGCGAGTAACAATGATTTTGCTGTGGGAGTTTAGAAAGGAGCGAGCAGAGGAAAGGTCTTTTAGAAATTGTGATGAAAAAGGTGATGATATTGAAGATGGGTGCTGGAGATGGTTGGTGATATGTTTGCATGTTTGGATTTGGGAAATAGTCCGTTCGTCATCGTTAACAATCAGGTTGGAGTCTTGATGGATATACTCTAAATCAGTAAGGAGAGCTGGGACAAGGTTGGTGGATTGAGAAGGAGGAGTGTTGAAATTTGGTCCGAGACTTAGGATATTATTTACATGAGGCGGGAGTTGGACGGAAGAAATATTATGAACCCAATCAATATTGCCACGGGGGTAAACTTTATTTGAATCCGAGGATATTTGAAGTTGGCTGAATTTTTTCTTTAAAATTGTCTTTCTTAGAGATTTAGATGTCTGGTAAATGTTATTGATAGAATTTTTGAGGAATAACATATGTTCACTTGAGAAATTATTGTTAATGATATTTTCGGAAGCAGTAATTTTATGTTTAATTGATTTTCTAAGAAAAATAGTATCTTTTATGTACAGGCTGAGGGTGGATTTTTTTAAACGAATTTTGATGTTGTTAAATTTAGAAAGGAGATTTTGTTAATTTTAAGTTCGTTTATGTTATTAGTGATAAAATTTGGAAATAAAGAGCGAGATCTGCATTTTAGGAGAAAGATTCTTCTTTGTGTGCTAATTTTTTCTGTAAGTGGGAAAAACGGTTTATAACAGATTTTTGAGATTGAGATTTTTTTTTTTTTTTTTTCCCCCTTCCTGGCATTTTTGCCATACGGGGTTTCAGTAGTGCGTTGATACGTTGGGAGTACGTACCACTACTGCTGCCAATACTCTTAATACTAATGCTTTATTTTATTTTATTGTCACTGCGGTGCGGGGCGGTGCACGGGTGTGCGCCTTACTGATGGGACCTGAGTCTCCAGCTGCTTGCGTATCTTGCCCTCCTGGGTAGTTTCCTCCAATAGTTTGATGCTGCTTCTTCCTTATGGCCTGCTCGTGGAAATCATCTCCCTATTGAGAAGTGCGTAGGTTCCACCTTTTGCCTCCATTTCCCCACGAACTCTACGAAGTGGGGGTATTTATCCTCTTCCATCAGTTGAGGAAGATACTCTTCGTCTAGGGCATACAGTCCCGTCCTCTGCATCAATATGCCTCTGGCTTGCTCCATCGAGGTGCATGATATAACCGCATGCTCAGCCGTATCAGGGGCACCGCAGTCGGGACATGTTCTTCTCATGCTTCCTGAGTTTGTCTCTAAACCCCCCATGTTCCGTCAGGATCTGTGAGGTCCAGTAGTCCGGCTCGACCCAATGCACTTTCAATCTGGAATGAACGGTGGGGAAGTACTTTCTCAAGGTGGCTCCATTCTCACTTGCAATCCACCGCCCATTCCACTCCTCTAGTGTCGCCTCTCGGACTATGCCACTCCATCTTTCTGGATCCTCGCGGACCTTCCCTTGGAGCTCCTCTGGGAGTGCCTCCAGTCCCTGCCTCCTTAGGTCATTCCTTCAAGCGTTCTCCTGAAGGACGAGGTCAAGAGGCAACTCCCCGGCCAGCACCTGCACCGCTTCGTGGGAAACGGTTCTGTAAGTCCTAGTCGTCCTCATCAGGGCTCGCCTTTGGATGGTGGCCATCTTCTTCTTGAGCACCTGATTCAGGTGACGGCTCCACGCTGGAGAAGCATACCTTAGTATACCCAGCACAACTCCCTTGTAGATGAATCTCGTCAATGGGTATCTGAGGCCCCAAAAGGCACCCCCAAACAGTGCCAAGCCATTTAGAGACAGGACCACTCTACTCGGTAGGTACTCTATCTGAGGAGAAATATTAAATTTTGATTTAAATTTCACGCCTAAGTAGGTGATCTCCTCGCCTAGGCGGACTCTATCTCCTCCTACTCTGAGACTAATAGGGCGGGCCCTGTCCTATTATGTTCAACAGTATGGCCTGGGTCTTCGCCGCCCCCATCTTCATCTTCTTCGTTGCACACTATTCTTCCACTATGGTGACGCACCTTTCTCCTTCCCCCACCAATCTCGCTTTGCTATTCGCTGCTACTATGGCAGCCAGGTCATCAACGTAGGCAACGGCACCGAAGCCCGCTACCTCCAATTCCTCCAGCAACTGGTCAAATACTAACTTCCACAGAGCCGGGCCCAGGACTGAGCCCTGTGGACATCCTCTTTCTATTTTCCGCTCTACCTCATAGAAGGTACACCGTATCTTAGCTTTCCTATCGCTGAGGTACCCCCTAATGAGGGAGTACAAATTGCTGGGGGCGTTGAACTGTTGGAGGCGCTGGAGTACACAGGGCCACCATACGCTATCAATCACAATACACTATATGCTCACCATACGCTATCGATATTGAGATTGTACAATTTTTTTTATTTGAAATGTTGTATTGTATGTTGTTTTCAAACCGTTTTACCATTGAAATAGAATCAAATGATTCCCTGCCATTTCTTGATCCCCTAATTTCCAGAAATAATGATAATACCTTATCCACCAATTGGTACACCAAACCTACCGACTCCGGCCATCTTCTAAACTATTTTTCCCAACACCCTTACCATCAAAAAATCAGTGTAGCTAAAAACCTGATACACCGCAGTCTAACATTAACTGAGAAGCAATTCCGCGACAATAACCTAACCAAACTACACGAGATCCTGAAATCCAATGTCTTCCCTGACCACATTATAAAAAACCTGATCAAAAATCAATCCAAACACCATCTTCACCAATCTCCCACAAACTGCTTTCTGAAACTATATTCATTAATTTGGAAAAAAATAATCCAGTAAACCACAAAGTAGACAAAGAAAAGATCTGCAACACATATTCAAATATTTTCTAAAACAACAGTCAATAACCATTAAAATTTTGTTTTTCATCTTTCCCCATTTCCCCGTCAACTTACATAGGTAACTACTATTAAGTTTATACTTATACTATTAAAACTATGCAATCCTTAATATAATACATACTTCTATTATGATTAATATTGTTATTCTTAAAATATTGTATAATATATTGTCCTACGTATCATTTCAATCGATTACAATTGTCTTTATTATAAATATTATTTGGCTAACCACTGTATACCTTTAATCAAACTATATTATATTTATATCGATTGATATCTCTTGCTTATGTTCATTTCATTACTAGCCAATAGTCACAATTCTGTAACCATAAGAAACAATGCAAATATTGTACACATCTGAAATATTTAGTCAGGAAATTATTTACATTCTACAACCAGAAATGTTACCTCTCTCTCCCTCTAACTATGTTTACCTGCCTTTTGCTATCTGAAAAAGGATAACTGAGAAATCCTCCTCCCCCCCTGAGCTTTTCACTTACCTACCAAATGTGTCAGTACTTGAACACCCATGCTCAAACCACGGTTAGTAAGAGAAAATATTACAAATTTGTGTAAATAGATTATATACATTATTTTTAGTTTGTATAGCTATTTAAATATTTCATTTTTAATATGTGTATTTTGAGTTCTGCCAATGGGTAGTTTCTCTTCATGTTGTACATGTCATGTTACCAATGTCACATTTACTTGTTGTATTTTCCATGTAATACAGTTGTAAATTTCATTAAAATAAAAAAAAAAAATATGTATATTGAAATATTAGTTAAGATTCATGTACCATCAATGATTATAGTTTATTATTTACCATTATATCGGTCGTATAACATTATTTTTCTGATTGTATTTTAAAATTTTCAGCCCTGAAGTTGACCCACATGTTTGGGTTGAAACGTTAGAACAAATAAAAAATTTAAAATTTTTTTTAAAAAAGACTGTGTCCTGAATATTTATCACTCATGAAATGTAGAACAGTCGACTAGCTTCCTTCAACAATTGATAAATAATTACTTTTTAGTTTTATGAAAATTATTATTGATGGATTGAGTTATAAACAAATGTAGTTAATTGTAGCAATAAAATAGGAAGATATTTTTAATTATAAAACTCTATTTTCTGATGCCTAACTGACCGTTTAAGTGGCCCTTAAGACAAACCCAAAAGTGATTTCTTGTATAACTTAAGTTAGCCTTGTCAACGATTTCACCATTTACCTTTTGTACTCTTTTGTCGATAATAAACAAGAAAAACTGATAAAAGCTTCTTAATTAATAACCATAACATTACTTTCTTGCAGCTCTTGAGGTCGGTCTTCTATCAACTCTTTTAATATTTAATTTCATATAGGGGACTATACATTGTAATGTCAACATTACATGGCATTTGAATATTGGTGCGAAAGTGGTAACAGCACGAACTACGGGGAGGAAGTGCGTGCGGATGGTGGGGGAAGTAACTCAGAATGTGACGGGCCGCCAAGAGAGAAGGTGATAGCGGCCAAGAGAGAATGTGACAAGCTGTCAAGAGAGAAGGTGACAAGCTGCCAAGTGAGAAGGTGCTAGCCAGCAAGCTGAGAAAGTGAAAAAGGAGTCCTAGCCGGTTCGAGTGTTGATAGAGGCCAATAGTGGAGATTATTTTATATTGGAAGAAAAAACATAGCAGAAAAGAATTAAGTGGTACAGAAAACGGGACATTCGTAAGTAAGAAGAGATTATTTCGCTGACAGGCGTAAACATTTGGGTGAGTGCTAACAATGCCATTTATGTGACAGAGTGATAGAACCAAAAGTTTAGACCGGGACAAATTATTTTATAAAACTATTTTAAATTATATATAAGTGTAGTTAGTAATTAGTAAATTAGTGTAGATTACAGTTATTTAATGTTGAATGAGTGTTCAGTTGTCACAACCCAACCTGAGAATTTATGTTATGTGTTAAAATAAATAGTATATTGAAAAAGGAAACTCGTTGTTTGATTTTGGAGGGAAAGAGGAACGTTACAACATGGTCCCCAACTAGCGTGGCTTTTGAAAACGTACATAGTCACGACAACTGAACACGCAATCCTTGTTAATTTTAATTTTATTTATTTTATTAATAATTTTTGAGTAATATGGAGAATAAGCAGAGAGAGATAATAGAAGTTAGAGATCTTAATAATGTAATTCTTGGAAAATCTAATGGGAATGTTGTTATTGTAGAAAATAAGGCAAAGTCAGTTGTACAAAGCCTACTTGATGAAAATAGACAAAACGGAAGTGAAAGTCCTTCGGGATTAAATGAAATTCATGAGTTTAGTGAAAATAATATGGAGGCTGAAAAAATAAACATAGGTGGTGGCAACAATTTGAGTTGTGCTGATGTGTGTGGTATGTTTCAACAAGTAATGACTATGCCTTGTAGTATTGAAAACAAGCAGGAGGCTTGGAAGCGGGATTTGGAAAGTCAAATTCAAGAAAATAAATTAGAAACCCAAATTATTGCAAATATAACTGAAGTCGAAGAAACTACACTGGCTGAAAAAACTTCTAATAATGAACAGGAAATTTTGAAACAAGATTGTGATAACCTAGAAACCCAAATTATTGCAAATATAACTGAAGTTCAAGAAATAAACTGGCGAGAAACTACTTTTGGTCACTCAGAAAGTGATGAGAAGCAAACTGTTACTGAAGAGCTTAGCAAAATTAATTCTTCAATTGATATTGGATCAGAAAATCTCTTAAGAAAAGATAAAGAAACCCTTGAAGAAAAATTAGTGACAACAGAATTTCTAGTCAAAACTCATACAGTTAATCTTATAGATATCAAGAAAGAACTTCTCAAGTTTCAAATTGAGTTCAAAGGAGTAAAATCCAGCAGAGGAAAGCATGGTAATTATTTTAGTTCAGAAGTTCCTTTAATTCCAGAAAAGTTAACTCTACGATTTAAAGATGAGTTAGGAAAGTTTGATGACTGGAGTAAAAAAAGAACAGGATTATATGAAGTGTCGTTCCATGGACTCACTAAGAATAATTTTGAGTGTAATGGATTACCAGTCATCCTACTTATTCTAGAATATGAGTTTTATGGGGGTTATATGATCCTGGATCATGTTAGGTTAGGTCGCTCATTATGTTATAGTGAGACACGGTAGTCTTTATCCTATCCAGTGGATAAAAAAGGGTTTTAAATTAGCACCCCTTCTGTTGACGAGCTAGAGGGTCATGGCGAAACCATCGTTAGGTTACTCAATCTGGATAACTTGTAAATATATTGTAAATAGTCTAATTACATTGTTGGTAGATAGGATAATAGATTAATATCTAAAATTTTAATAAGTTGTTTTCACCAGATATTGCTAGGTAAAATCCATATTTTAGAAGAAAGTTAGAAATTGTCTTAATTAATTAGTGTCTTCTCTCTGATTATTCCTATAATACAAGTTAAAATATATTTTTAAATGTTATATAAGTAATTTAAACAGTTATTTTGTAAGTTAATTATACATAAGATACGGGAATTATACAGTTAATTTCTTTTGGTAAATAATGTATTTAGCTTATTTTATTACTTGTATATCAATCTACTTTTCCTGTACATAAATTAGATAAACAAGTTATGTAATTAGTGTATGTAGATTAAGGTAATATAGTGTTAATAATTGAATAATTTTGTATATAAAATTGTAAATGTTTGATAACAAGGTTGGGAAATCTATTGTAAAAAGTGTGAATGTCAAAAGTTAAATTTATTATTTTATATGAAAAAAAAAAAAAAAATGTAAATAATTCACCGAATTTTAAATTTCCATTTTTATTTTTTTTTTAAACTGGAACGGAGGAGAAATGTAATGTCAACATTACATGGCATTTGAATATTGGCGCGAAAGTGATAACAGCACGAACTACGGGGAGGAAGTGCGTGCGGATGGTGGGGGCAATGTAACTCAGAATGTGACGGGCCGCCAAGAGAGAAGGTGATAGCGGCCAAGAGAGAATGTGACAAGCTGTCAAGAGAGAAGGTGACAAGCTGCCAAGTGAGAAGGTGCTAGCCAGCAAGCTGAGAAAGTGAAAAAGGAGTCCTAGCCGGTTCGAGTGTTGATAGAGGCCACTAGAAAAGAATTAAGTGGTACAGAAAACGGGACATTCGTAAGTAAGAAGAGATTATTTCGCTGACAGGCGTAAACATTTGGGTGAGTGCTAACAATGCCATTTATGTGACAGAGTGATAGAACCAAAAGTTTAGACCGGGACAAATTATTTTATAAAACTATTTTAAATTATATATAAGTGTAGTTAGTAATTAGTAAATTAGTGTAGATTACAGTTATTTAATGTTGAATGAGTGTTCAGTTGTCACAACCCAACCTGAGAATTTATGTTATGTGTTAAAATAAATAGTATGTTGAAAAAGGAAACTCGTTTGATTTTGGAGGGAAAGAGGAACGTTACAATATATATATATACATACCTGTGTACGTCTCTACACAAATTTTATAATATACTTACTTTTTCTTCAATCTGTTTCTGGATATTTTCGGGAATTGCATCAGAGCATATCTCATCTTCACAAGATTGATTTACCAACAAAATTTGTGGTGAGAGCCTCAACTGAAATAAAAAAGGTAATTCTACAGAAAGTGAATAAAAGAAAATTAATGGAGTTAATTAATCATATATTGATAAATAAGGTAAAGTCAATAAATATGTGAATTTTTTTAAAGCATATTATAGAAAAAACTTGTACGAATTAATTTTGTATCTGAATAATTATTAATAAAACTTTTATTAATATAGATATAGAAATTTAGTGGAAAGTAAAATATGTAAAGTTAACTTTCTTTTATCAGAAATAAGATTGATCATTTGGTTATTTAGAAAATATAAAAAAAAAATAATCATATAGCGCACTTTGTAATATTATTACCAAATTTAATAAGTTTATTAATGAAGCAAGTCAGGTGAATGCTAGCTAAGCTAAGGTATTATCTCTAGAGATAAAATAAAATGGTCATGCTAAAGTTGCAAACGTGATTAGTCAGGCACTGTTGACTCTATTAAATCTTTGGAAAAATGAGTGTCGGATAATGGGCGCCTGGTCAGGCCGTGGTAGGCCGTGATGGCCAAGCATGGTTAACATTTGCCCGCTTTCACATTTTTAAGTCTTGCAGCGCAGGTTTGAATTTGGTCTGGGAGGGTTGAAATTTATTTTGTGGAATGAATCTCAACCTTCATACTTTGGTTTGATTCTACCTCTAGAGCAACCTTACTTTCTCTCCCCCACATCCCAGGAATGGCGAGGCAGAGGTTACACAAAAAAAACAGTCTGATCAGATGATTTTTTTTTTTTTTAAAGAAAATTTTTTACTTACCCCAGTAAAATGATAATGCAAATTGTTAATTATTAATAAATTTGTCAGTTCATTATTGTTTTTATTTATCAAAATCATCAGAAAAATGTAATTTTTCGAAGTTTAACGCTTAAAGAAATTAGAAAAAAAAAAGTTAGTTTTAACATACAGCTGGCTGTATGAGTTTGCCATTGGGCTGCTAACTAATTGTGGTTAGGGGCGAAGCAGAATCTACTTTCAATCTTAGTCATTTTATTCTAATGAACAATCTTATTTAAATTTTCTAATAAGATAACGTTTTTTCGGTATTGAGAGAGTTAGGTATGTAAAATATTGAGAGAGTTAGCTATGTAAAATATTGAGAGAGTTAGCTATGTAAAATATTGAGAGAGTCAGCTATGTAAAATATTGAGAGAGTTAGCTATGTAAAATATTGAGAGAGTTGGCTATGTAAAATATTGAGAGAGTTAGCTATGTAAAATATTGAGAGAGTTAGCTATGTAAAATATTGAGAGAGTTAGCTATGTAAAACATTGAGAGAGTTAGCTATGTAAAATATTGAGAGAGTTAGCTATGTAAAATATTGAGAGAGTTAGCTATGTAAAATATAATGAGACCTTCCACCAAGTTTTTCCAGGGTAATGACCGACGCATTCGTTCAAGCACAAATACATGTTTCTGAATAGTTGGCCAAGTAAAATGATCCCTAAATCATCTTTTCTTTTCACTTCTATATTATTAACTTTTTCTATTCCTTCAAAGAGAAAAGGTAGCTAGAAACAATAATATCACAGTAAAAGCATCTAATGACTTAGTTGTGACAAGAAATCTTAAACAATTCAATAAATAATATCATTGATACAAATGTTAACTATCGAATATGAAAATTTTTCAATCCTGCACACTAGTGATTGTAATTGTATGAAATATTTTTAAAGAGCGAATAAAAAATCTTCAAACATTCATAAAAGCACCTATTAGTGAGTTAATTAAAACATCCTCATCATTTGGGCTGAACTGGTAATGATATTAGTGTGGTGATTTTCAGATTCGATAGTTAGTATTTCTTTCGACGATATGTAATTGGAAATTAAAATATAATGTGCCAAGTCAGAAAATAATAGGTGGTATTGAATTTAGGCTTTAGTATTTTATTAAAAATTAACAATGATATTGTATAGATGTACCATCATGCTCTATACCAATAACTTATCTTATTGCTTGAACCCCCATCAATACCATTCCTTACATATATAAACGATAATCTGAAGGTATGGAATTAAGGCATTATGCAAGGTATGGCATCAGGCCAGTATGCAAGATAAAGGTACGATCAAAAGCTTAAAGTGTTAAGTTAAATAAATTCAAAACTAAGAAAAAATTAATTTATTGATTTTAAATCATAATTTAAAGGTAAGAAAAATTAGAAAAGATGTTATCTACAAAAGAGTATTTAATATAATTTTCAAAGCATGAATCTGTTTTTTTTAAAATAGATCATATGTTCTTTCATTTAGTACTTGAATTCAATTTCATTGAGTTGGAGATGAGATTAATGATGAATGATACTGTTCAATTTTCTTTTTTAAACCAGCAGAAAAAAATCAGATATCACATTAAGAATGAAAATATTAGTAATGATAATACAATTTGTAATGATTTTACAAATACTTACTGAAAAATATTAATTTGTAAAACTTATTTGAAAGGAACAGTAATGAAAAAAAAAAAACTTATATTTCGATCGGCTAAACCTAAGTTGTCCTGTCAAACAATGATAAATAGGATATTTGTATATACATCTACAGTATTATATTTCTTCATTTCACAATAATTATGCTGAATGTTTACACATAACATAAACTTCTGCCATCTTTTTTTTCCATCGCCCTTCTAATCAAAATAGAAATGCTGTGCCAATGGTTAAAGGTATAGAGCAGAAATTAAAAAATCCAATTTAATAAAAAGATTGAAACTTAAACACTAACCCTAAATGCACTTATCAAACATCATATGCTAAATGGGAATAATTACAAAAATTATAATCAATATTGCAATAGCAAATACATTATGACAAATAGTAAATTATTTTGAGTTACCGGGCTCCACCCTTCTTTAATGCCAGCTATAGAATCTGCAATCGGCATCAAATAGTCTATCATTGTTCCCTCGCCAACTTTGAACCTGAAGTCAAAATGGTAGATGTCAAAACATATTGAGAAATACTGACATTGACTAAACCCAAAAAAATATATCTATCATTGTTTCATCATCAACTATAAACTTTTTTATAATCAAAACCTGTTACATCCAATTTTCTAACTTTCACAGCATTACAAAAAGAAAAATGCAAAATACTGATTTTTAGAACAACAAAAAGTTTGATCGTGGTTTAAATGGAATTTACAATTTCATTCCTGGGGAAGTCAAAAACTTGTGAATTTTCCACTGCAACACATGCACACTTAAGTAATTCTTTTATGGGGGGGGAGGGAGGGGTTAGGACAAGAGAAAAACAATTAAGAAGCCCATCTTTTGGGAAGAAAGATTGATCGCTAAAGAGAAGTAAATAGTAGAAAATTGCTTAGCGTGAGAGCAATAGCCCCCTTGTTGATGGTGGAAGTGAGCTTCTCTGAAGCCTACGGCTAACTACATTCAGGCCAGAACTAATCTTTTCATTTTCTTATTATCTTTTAGTTTTTATTATTTTCCCTATTATTTGAAGACATTATTCAATATCTTGCCTATTTCTGATCATGTAGGAAAGTAGTGAGGTGATTGAGCCTCCTGATTAACCTTTAAATACATTGTTAGTATGAAATGATAAAATTCAACATAAATACTTTCAGTACTTGAAAGGCCACTTCATTGTTTTAGTTGAAAAATCTACAGATGAAAACATGGCATGACATGAAAATTGGAAAACTCTCGGCTTAAATAATTCTCACTGTTAAAAAGACAAACATGGAATTAACAAACAAATCGAAATTAACTTTAAAACTCGTGAATATGCCAACCCATTTATCAATTTTTTTATTCCAATCAATTAAAAGCTTTTATACCAAATTCTTATGTATTAAAATATGGAATAATTAGGGACGTAAACCCATCTCTCTCTGAAGAAGAAATTACAGGCATCGTCCAAATTGTTTTTCACTCTCAAAAACTTCCTAACTACATTTTTCTTAATCTAGCTCTCCAAGAAAAGTTTATCCATATATCTTTAAGCCCCTCCTATGTGAAAAAAGATGTATGAAATGTGGCTCCAATGACCATTTATCAGAGGCATGTGTGAACGCTATTAAATACATACATTGCAAAATGCTCACCTTCCAACAGACAAATAATGTCCAGAAGCAATTCCACAAAGAAAAATAAAAGAGACCATGGCTGTTAAACCGCTTAGCTATAAGGAAGCAAACAATTTATTTCTGGTCACTACATATAATAAATTCTTGGCCTGAGACTTTCCTCTACTCTCGGCAGATAATGATCTTTCCGAAAACAATCCTTATCATTATAAAACTGCAATTACAAAAAATCCAGAGAAAAACACAATATAGAAAATTTAAAACGTCAAAGGCTAAATGACAATCCAGTAGCAGAGCCACAACCTAAAACACCAACAATAACCTCCCTTCTTATCACAGATAATCCACACAGAGTTAGCGCTGACTCTAAATATGTTAACATGTTAAATTCATTAATTAAAACTAGTGATAATAAACAGGAAACAATAGATATTATAGGACAGACTTTCTATAATTTTGTCCAGGAAAATAAAACTATCATTAAATCAATTGCAGAGTTACAAACATCTGACATGTCTGTAGATTGAGTTATTGACTTATCAATAATAATTTTACTAACAGATTTATATATCACACATTTGTTTCTTAGGTATGAGTTTCACATCTATATATCATTATCCAATTTTCACACAGTACTACATGTGATACAATTTTGCATGACAAGTTTGCACGAGATATCATAAATCTCATATTTGTATATGCTGTTAATATCTTTTTCAAATCATGAGTTCATGCAGAGGATCGGAGATAGAAGAGGTTGAAGTTGAAGAAAACCTTCAACCAAATGAAGCGATTAATTGAATGAAACCAAGATATGAAGCGATTAAGCAGAGACTGGGAAGAGTGACTGCGCTGGATAGAGGCTCCTTGACGCTAGACGGTCATGGCATTGTGAGGAAGACGAAGAAGTTAATGTCTTCAGATCGACATATTTTGCTTTCTCGGTACTACTTAAGACAAAAAAGATGTGTTTGTGTTCCTCTTATAATCTTAAAAATTTTGCTTTCCTTTCATCCATTTATATGAAATTGATTTTATTAGTTGGTTGGTTCACAATATATCATTCATCGCATTAATGGCAAAGTTCCATTAAAGGACTTGATGAGAGTAGTGAGGGGAAAGACAGTGAATGAATGGCAGCATTTTTACAACTGGGAATGTGCCTCGAAGGGTAAGGACCACCACGCAGTTCATCCGAAGAAAGACTTGTTTCCATGGTTTGCGACACTTAAATTTCACCTTGACCGTCCTACCTTAGTGAACTTGACCAGTAGAACAAATAAATTTCTACATGTAATGGGTCTAGCTAAAAGTGGTTACTGCCCAACATGCCAATGCCTGGAAGATCCAAGGCTCAATGCAAGAGGTTCGATAAGCAAAGCAGAATCAGTTTAGGGCAGCAAGCTGTCGATGATAGTATTAGTTATCTTAAGTCAATCAATAAAGATAATGCTCAGACATTAGGACAATTCTTAAGGAGATAAATGCTCCAATTAAAGTCCCTTGTGATCTTTTGAGATTCGTAAACTTATATGTAAGTACAATAAAACTTCTGTGAGCCTATAAAACTATTAAATTATTATATTAGTTCCAGTTAAAAGTCCAAGTTAATAGCCATTACGAAATTTAAGACCAATAACATAGAATTTTAAGATTTAATATAAACATTATCAATTTCACATAAAATACCTGCTTTTCGGAATCATAGAATTAATTAGGAATTGATCAAACAATCAATCGGAATCTTAGAATTAATTAAGAAGCATAGTAATATACTGGTTAAATAGGACTTGCATCGACAAGTCTTAAGAGAGAAAAAAAAAAAAAAAGAATCTGGTTTTCCCTCTGTTTATACGTTTACATACTTTGTATATCCAGCCAAAGTTTGTATTCCCTTTAATAAAGCTTTACACCAGTTCATCCAACTGACAACTAAGTCAGGATCTTGCATGAATTCCTGAAAGAAATCAATTCTATATTCATCAACATATGCAACAATTAAATGGCATAAAGAAGTATATTTATTAAATTTCATCTGGACCATTTTTTCTCTTCCATAAAGCAAATAAAAAAAAAAAAAATTCATTAAACACTATAAGGATGAAAAGATAGAGATGTTTACATGATAAAATAATATAAATTTTCATTTTTTATAATTTATTATATATAATTCCACACAACCATGAACATGTAACATAAAAGCAAGTTTCTAAACTTCACACTGAGCTCACGAATGGTCATCTGGAATCCATCAGGCTATTCCTTAACTCATCGATGGATCATAAATAGAATTCAACAAGTTTCTTTATTCAGCGAGTGAAACACCAATAGCTCAGCTTATTCATTGGCTTTTGAAGTTGATGGATTTGCAGGATGTAAATTAATTATTGTTAATTCTCAATTTTCTTTACATATTTATATTCAATTTATTATTGATCCAGATTTATTTCTGTTTCGAAATTCTACAATTCAGTAGGTAAATATTTTTAGAAGAAATTGGCCGGGGGTGTGTTTAATATACATATTATACCTTATAGTAGTGTTTTATTACATTTTCAACCTACATTGTTAGTCTTCATTAGGGCATTTACTCCAGCTCTATCAAAAGAAATTTTGAGACTAGTCCGTCTCAGTCTTCAAATTCCTTCTATGAAATACCCTGAATGAAGACAAACAACGTAAGTCGAAACATAGGCAAATGTAATAAAACACAACTATAATGTATAGTATGTGTATTGACCACACACACCTCCGATCTTCTTCTTAAATTAGAATTTTGGTCAATTATCTCTATACCATTAGGTAAATAAATCAACCATTTTGAAATTTATAATGCCATTAACTTAATTACGGCTGACTTATTTATCAAGTCCTGATGAAAAAATTGAATTATTAGACTAAAAACTCTGGATGACTAGCTGTTTCCCCAAACATAATTGCCTATATGAAAAATTACAGTATAATTCTCAACCTTGAAGGGATTTAAGATTGTATGGACACCCTGTATAACACTAGTATTGGTAAGAGAGGGCATGATGGATCCAGCAAGTGGGATTCCAAGTCGTTTTTGCCAACCCAACTTAAATATACCGAAACGGAGACTATTTCCCCTCCATCATGAACCTTTAATCCTGTATAATATATATTTTAGAAATTTTTTAGTGGAAACACTGTCAACTTATTCTTTTTATTAAAGTTTTCCACTAACAAAAAAAAAAAAAAAAGCTTCATGATCAACAACGTTTAAGAAAAAATTTGAGAATTCAGCTGAAACTTGGCAATTATTATTTTATACATAGATGTTGAGCAAGCAGTACCAATAATAAAACTCCTTCATTGGCTTCCTAGCTTTTCAATGATGAATAGTACCTATCAAATTATGGTTAACAATTTATACTTTTTAAGATAAATCATATATAACTAAATTAATATGTTGAATACAAATTGAACCTACTTGTGCTGCGGCAACAAGGATTAGCTGAAAATATTTGCCGACTCCAGGTACGTTCACATTGAGTACTTTTCCAACAAGACACAAAAATAAATAAGGCCTGTCTAGCGGCAATCTTTTAAGGTTAGGCTTAAGGATCCAGACAACTTTTAGGAGAACATCCCCGATAACTTTGTAACTATCTAAAATCTTATCCAAAGAAAAAGCTATTTCCCTCAAAGTCCTAAAAACAATAATACAAAATAAATAACTAAGTAAAGGTCACCCTTTTTTATTAACAAATATTATTTTTTTTATTTATGTGTATGTTGTTCAATCGAAAAAGTTTTTTAACAGTGTAATGAATAGTTATTTGGCCTCATTCATTTAAAAAACACTAAAAATTAGTAATGCTCTACTTACTATTAATAACACAGTACCTAACCAAAAAGCAACTGCATTTATCACGACTAAACCATTTGCTAAGAATGAATAAACTGCATTTTAAGACATTGAAATTAGGAAAATTAATGTATTTACTGTATTTTTAACAAATTTAAACTAAAATAACCTTTTTTTAAGAGAAAATTTCAAAAATGAATTTTTGGAAAATACTGAGTTATTTAGGGTAAGATACATGATGGTTAATTATTTCCAATAGTTGAGTCAAAAATCGTATAGTTTGCCTTCCGAGTGAACTTTCTTAAGAAATTTGAGAGAAGAGAAATTTAAAAAAATGTTAGCCCGATTATGTTTATTTTTTTATTAAGCTTTCAGTAGAAATAGTTGGTATTTTTTTTTATTTTATGAAATTTATAACTGTATTACATTAAAAATAAAACAAGTAAATGTGACATTGGTAACATGACATGTACAACTTGAAGAGGAACTACCCATTGGTAGAATTCAAATGGTATTTTTAAAATTGAACTTTAGGCCATACACAAACCATTACAATATCCATCTTTAGCATACGATCTGGACTAGTATGACAACTCAAAATGACACCATTGAAAGGAGTAACCAAATACGTAAAAATTGCATTATTCAAAAATGATTTATTTCAAACCAAGGTAAAACTGCATGCCATCACTCCCCTTTCCCCCCCAGTTAACAAAACATTTTCTGATGAAATTGGAAAAGGTGTGGCATAGGCAGACTAGATTCAAAACTCCCATTTTATTGTCTGTTAGTGGAGCAAATATCAAGGAAACATTTATTCCTATAAAGATAATTACCATATCGACAGCCCCCCGTATAGACAAAAACTAAATATTTTCAGGGGACGAAAAAAACTGGTTACTTTTTATTTTCTATGAGCATTTTATTTTCGGTTCAATTTTTTTTTTTGCAGGCTTAAGACAAAGATGTAAAGCTCTATATAACTTTTTTAAACGTATTTCTGCCAAATAATCTTTTAGAGCCATAACTTCTAACGTATAGCTTTTTAGTTACTTTGAAAAACAGGTATTAGTAAGGGAAAAGCAATCAAATTTACTTAAATAACACCCATAACTTTGTTAATAATGATCAAAGCATGACGGGAACAAAGTCAGTTTCCAAAATGTAGAGAAACTATACTTCAAATGACAGGTGATAAATAGTCAGGATGCAGTCATTATATAAATTTTTTTATATTTATTTTTTTGTATTAATATTTTTACTTTTTATTTATTTTTTTTAAATATAAAAATTTGTATAATGAATGCATCCTGACTATTTATCACCCATGATATGTAGAACAGTCGACTAGCTTCCTTCAATATACTTCAAATGTAACTTTGTAAAAAAAAATTGCCTGGTGAGTATTTGATGATACGGGGAATCCCCTTTTTCATCTCCCACTGTTCCCACTCATGATAATTGTAAAATTCTGACCAAGCTCGAGTGCCCTCAGGTGGATCCCGGGGTGGCCTTTGTTAATTCAGTTCCTTCTTACTAACCCTTGCCTTTTTTTCTCCTTTAAATAATTATCAAATACTTTCATGGTTTGTGTCATATAAATATATCATATATAACTAGTAACAATCTAAAATGGTAAATTATTTTAAATAAACAAAATTTAAGATACTTTAGAGGAAGAAATTTAGAATATTCAGCATTTAAGTCCTGCCAGAATATTTCAATTAAGAAAATACTTGACTGATATTAAAAATCACTCAATGAATCTTGAAACGAAAGTTAAAATTTTGAAAATGAAAAAGAATTAAATTTTCTTTTCTTAGTTCAATTAACAAAATTAATTATGAAAAATAATAATAATTTCCGCATACACACAGATCATTCTGGGAGACTTGGTTATTTCGACTCAGAGGACTTGAAAACATATATTTCTCTTCAAAACTCTGATTTGAACTTTTTTTTCTATCACGATACTTTTCCTAATTTCATTTCATCTGCACTTAAGTGGAAGTAAAAATAATTATATAAATTTAATTTTGTTTATTTAATAAATATGAAGCTTGTTCAATATATATTATTTAATTAACTGACTTCCGATGTTCAAGGCCTCAGGTTTAAATCCGGCTGATGAATGATAAGTTATTTACTCTGTTTCGTCTGCCGTGGATCGACCCTGGTGTCAGGGAACCCTATTCGGGCATACCCAGCTTCTATAAAATTAATTAAGGGGGAAAACCTAGCTGTTGAGCTCTCGGTCAACCAAGAAACAGTAATTCCTTACGTAGTACTAAACCCAAGACCTTTTATGGATTGTAGTTGCACAGGTTTATTTTACATTAAACAAAAATCTTCATTTCATAACCAACAGGTTAATTTAATCAATTAATAAAATAAATTGTAAGTCTTACCTATCTAAAACTTCAAAAACAATACCAACATTTTCAGGAGGGACTTGGGCGCCAATAATATGTGGCCTATAAAGCCTAGTTCTGGTAAGAATGACATTTCTGCTCCCAGACAGGTGAGGGGGCCATTGAACACAAGTGGTGGGATAATCTAGAAATTGCAGCAGTTCATCGTTCCAGTCTTTGGCCACGGTAATGGAAAATCCTTGCCTCGTAAAAGCAGAAAAATTGCCATGATAAATACGCCCCACCTTTAAGATAAACATACTCAGTAAGCGAGTGACTATAAAACATTAATTGTAACTGTAACATAATTGAATCTACTGTATTTATCTTTACTGTATTTCAATTGTGTATTTAATACAAAAATTAGAAATGGACTGCAGTTGTTATTATAGTTGACTGCAATGATTTGAAGGCCGGGCAAGTCCAACCCTTATCCGGCCTTCAAACCATTGCCCTGATGATGACCCACGTGTTTGGGTCGAAATGTCGATAAACTTAATTATTTAAGAGATAAATTTTACTTAACATAAATTGTTAGACCAAATTAGTGCATTACCTTTAAATTTTTATATTTAAGCTTTTTATATCACTATAATTTAATTTAAGATTTTAGGAAATAAATAGGCATTGGTATAAAAAAATATTTATGGAAAATATGAACTAATATAAAATTGACCATTCAAATAAAAGGAAACTGTGAAATCTACAAACATAATAAATCATCAAGTTCTAACAATGCCTAAATCAATTTTCCCGATTTTAAAGGAGGTATAAAAAAACTGCCCAAGTTTGTTTATAACAACCTTATTCTTAAAATTGAATCTGGATTTCAACCTAAAGTGTATTGGAAATATATATATACCTACCTACCCCATATGGCCCTACATGCCTAAAAGGGCCTAATTCTATCGTAGGCCTGCCTAAAGTCGATGAAAAGATGGTATAGATCAACATTATATTAATGTAAGTGTTCCAGCATTTGTTGGGTGGACAATATATGATCCACTGTAGATCTACCTGGTCTGAAGCCACACTGTATAAAGTAGATGCTTGTGATATTCAACTGCCTTATGAATATAATTTAGCCCCCTTCACTTATATAGCCCCCTTAAGAAGCACATATGGACTGATTTAATCGAAGAGTGGAACAGACATTGACGAAGATTACATAAACACTGGGACGACCATTACATAAACACATTCCAAACATCACTCCACAAAACTACAAAACAACAAAAAGCACGAATTACAAACTAACCCAATTCCTTTCTGAACACGGCCCAACTAACCAATAACTAAACAGATTCCACTTAAAAGCGACAGATGCATGCGATTACGACGGATTGACTCCACAAACTTCCATACACATTTTAAACGACTGCCAGTTATACCAACACAAAAGACCCACCTTCCTGAAATGCTCTTTAAAGCAAGGGGACACATAGTCTCTTCAAAAATCCCTACTATACGAAAAATACAAGAAGCAGTTGAAAGAATTCATTAATAGCATAGAATTATAACGTAACATTCGAGCATAGAACTTTTATTTAATAAACTTTTTAGGATAACAATTGTTATAAACTCCACATAATTTTTCTATTTGTTTTTGCCTAATCATATATATATATTTATTATATTTTCTGTTTTTTACTACATTTTGTTACTGTTCACTCATCTGATACTGTTATTTATTTTATATAATCATAATTTTCTCTTGTAATATATTTTTAGTACCATTCCTTTTAAGTATCTTTAGCCAACACAAATTGTAATAAAAAAAAAAAAGAATGCTTAAATAACAATGCAATGCATAAAATATGCTTTTGCATGGTATATACACATTTCTAAGAAATCTGCACTACTACAGGGCTACTAGGGCAAAGAAAAAAAAATATATAGGTATATATATATATATATATACTGTAACATCACTGTTATATTTTAAACTAGTAATATACCTCATGGAAGATCACTTTATACCGTTACTTTATAAAGTCATAGGATCAAATCCCGGCCCTACTTCCCACTAGGCTGGTCCCCGCGGGAAGTTAATCCATAATACTCCCTTAATTAGGGGGGACCTACAAGTTGTAAGACTTAAAAACAAAACAAAAAATTTAAGAGTATTAATATATTAAATTGAAATTTATAATTATTTCATCTCAGGTATGGGTTACTGAAAATCAGATCAAAACACTCAGACAAACTATTATTATTTACACTATTTATACTAAAATTAAACACTGATTTTAAAATAAAGTCAAGTATGAATTGGCAAGCTAACCTTTTTTCTATATAGTTTCTTCCTTTGTATCACTGAATTCATTTGTCTTACAACATTTTGCTATGTTCTGCCAAACACATCGTAACACTTTCATCAACTCAACTCAAACTTTCTGGGAGATCCTCTCTCTTCTAACTCCAAACAGCTTGTCTTTCTGCCAAACAACAGCTTCCAATATGGTAATACTATTACCGGGTTTTACTCACTGGAGCAAGAATCCTTTCTCCCACCCTCCCCAGCCAAACACTAACTGCTTGCCCAAAATAAAATCCTTTGTCCGTTCCCTCTCCTCTTTGGGATTTTCCTTTCCGGAGAAACAACAGAGCAGTTATTTCCTTTTACCTGAACTAGTGAAACTAGATTAGCTTGCCTTTTAACTGTTCAAAATTAATTTATTAAACCCTTTTTTCCCACTTCCAATAAGGCTGTATATTACAATATAGTAGATTAAATTATTTTCGTAAAGAAAACTCCTGATTTTCTCAAACTGGCTGAGTTAGTCTGGATTGGTGCGCCAGATTTTGAATGAGGTTGTGTTACATTTTGACACCAGTAAGCCCCTTTGCCTCAAATGAACTCAAATTCACTTTGTAGGATCATTTTCTCGGCAGAACAATACTATAAAATTTTAGAATTTCCAAAAGGTTTTACTCTTTTCTTAATGTATCATGCAACTCCATGCAAAGTTTCTCCAAGCAAATTTAGAAAGTTGAAATTTTGTTAAAGTTGGAATCCCAGAGGTGCCTTTTGAGAGTTGACACTTTTTTCTATGACCTCTGTCAATTCATCCATGTTTTTTTCAGTTTTGCTCATCACTTCAGCCACTCAAAATTAAGTTGGAGGGTTACAAATGTTACAAAAAGGGTTACAGTTCAACAGCCTCTCCAAATAAATTTAGATTGTGGAAATTTTGTGAGTAATTGAGTTGGAGACAGATAAGGGCCTTTTGCATGCCTTCCTTCCCCTCCAATGCTTTTTGATAAATCTATCCCAATGGCAGTGGAAGAATAAAGACTGGGATGAAGAAATCTTCTCATTAAGTTGCAAAATTTGACATCACACTGAGTAAAATGATCAGACAGAGATTAAAAGATAAACCAGAAGTAATTCATATTCAGAAATAAACAATACTTACACTCTGATTTTTAAAACCTTCTGTTATGTCTTGTTATATTTTTCTGTTGATAAATTAAATTAAAAAATATTTGAGAAGAAGTTAATCAGGGGAGCGAAAAATACTATTATATAATATAATATCTTTTTATGACACCCCTGACTAACTTCTTCTGAAATTAAATCTACGGTCAACCATCTCCATATCATTAAAAAATATTTGAATTAAAAAAAAAAAAAACTACTACAGAAATTGGGAAATTCTATCCAACCCCAAGAGAGTATACTTCCATATCTTGAACATATTAGTAGATTGATAGACAAATTGACATCTACAAATATTCAAAATTGGTGTATTAGAAGGATGCCTACTACCTCCGAACAGAACTCAACACTCTTTGTTAACATGCACAGATATATATATCCCATGTGGGAAGAAATCTATTTGCGTGGAGCTGTAATGTGTAGTTAAAGGAACCCGACTATTACACCAACTTTAAATATTCGTAGATGTCAATTTCCGTATCAATCTACCAAGATGTTTAAGTAGATATCGAAGTACATTCTCTTAGGGTGGATAGACTTTCCCAATTTCTTTTTTTTTTTTTAATTCAAATCACTATTATAAATGTCCTTGAGACAGATTGTAATATTTTTCAATAAATAAGATTAAAAAAAAAACATTCAAATATTTTTTATTTTTACATTTTTAGTTTATAAAATATTAACAATTCTTTTTCATAACATATGATCAGAAAATATCATTTCAAATCAATTTATAATCAAGATCTTAAACTATAATAATTTTTTTTTTCTCAGTAGCTAAAATTGTTGCAAAACATTCACAGGATCTAACTGAGTAATTACAGTTGTCAAAGTTAAAAATCGATTGTGCCATCCGCTCAAAAAATCATTTAGTACCTTTTAGTGGATAGATTAAACACACTTACCTAGTAATTTTATCTCATATTCTTTCAAAACACTCACGGAACCTCGCCAAATAATATAATATATCAAACTTAAAATTCTATCCACCTGTTTGCTAAAAAAAATTATTACATATCTTTTAGTAAATAGATTAAACATATTTCATTTAATCATGGTTCAGTATTTTTAGCTCGAACTGTTTCAAAACACTCAGAGGAACTCAATAATAATTTGAGTCATCCAAAAATTGATCTTAAAAAAATTTGAGTTAAAAAAATATTACATAGCTTTTAGGGGACGACCCAAACAGATAACCCTCGGTTTGCTTTGCTTAGCTGGCTAACAAAAAAAGAAAAAACATTTGATTCAAGTCATATATCATATTAAATTCAGTTTTCAAGATAAAGGTGTGTCAAAAACAATACATTTGGACATTCAAAAGCAGATTAGTCAACGTATTTAAACATTTTTTTGAATCCGATGAAATTGACATTTACTTGATTATTTGTGGACCAATCCTTAACTTTTCTCCAATTTGGGCCAAATCAAACAGTTGTTGAAAATCAAGACAAATATATTTGTGCATATGTAAAAGGAAGTTGTGGATGGAGTACAAAAAATATTGATACAGCGTTATTTTATCACCGATCTTCAACTTAACCAAACAAACAAATTGTTTCTGAAATATAGATATGTCTGTGCAACAGAAGGTACTGGATAGAATTCGATAACACCGATATGGGACGATCTGAGAACCAGCCTTCCGTAAACCGCACAATCTCCAAAAAGTTTATGAAAATTATTTTAACGTTCATAGCTGAGATACTTATCACATGGGTTTGACTACAGACAGACACAGAAGTAAATTAGTTTTTGTATATCTAAAACGTAAAATGCAAGTGAAAATTTTTAATTCTGAAATATAATATTTTTTTGACCCCCTACATGAATATAAAACTTCTCTAACTTCAGTAGTGAGGAAGCAAAATATATATATTAAAACTATTATTTACCTTTGCACCCGTTTCAAGTATTCTCTTGCTCAAAAAAGAAATAATAGAATAAATTTCATCACTGCGCAGCCTAAATTTGTTGATAAGTATGATCATTTTGGTATCTAAATCCAGATAAAAATATATATAATCTTAAAATGTATTATTTTAAATTAAATAACTATTAGACATTTTTAATTATAAAATCTAATTAAAATTTATCTTCAGATTAGGAAGAACTGTTTAAAAATTTGAGGAAGAATTGGACAAAATAATAAGAAATATAGTTTCTTTTGGTTAGACTGAAGGCGGGGAATTCTTGTTATTTTTCTGTGACAAAACTACTTAGTTCGCGCCTCTTGTCCCGAAACTTAAAAATTAGAATCTATAAAACAATTATCTTGCCTACAGTTCTTTATGGATGCGAAACTTGGCCGCTTACATTAAGGGATGAGCAGCGTCTTAAGGTTTTTGAAAATAAAGTATTGCGTAGAATATTCGGACCGAAGAAGGATGAGTTAACCGGAGAGTTCAGACGGTTACACAACGCCGAATTGCGTGAGATGTATCCGGGTAATATAATTGAGGTAATTTCATCGCGGCGAATCAAATGGGCTTGTAAAGTTGTTGGGCTTAGTAACGAGAGAATTCCTAAAAGGTTAATATTTGCTGTGCCGAATGGTAAGCGTCCGAGGGGAAGACCGAAGCGAAGGTGGGAAGATTGCATTAAAGCCGATCTGAAGGGACTGGGTTTGGACGGCGAACGGTGGAGGGAGGTGTGTAACAAGCGATTGGTGGTGTCGGCATCGAACCTTCGGGTTCGCTAAGCCTTATTATTATTATTATTATAGTTTCTTTTGATATGAAATTAGTATTAGATGATTTAAATGCAAAGATAGGAAAGCAGTTCATTCATACATTCTATTCTACGACTAGAAGTCACATTATGGATCAAGAAACAAATAATGCTGAGCAATTTTTTCTCACAAAAATAAGAATAAAGAAACTTGGATCTTATTAATGGTGTGGTGTGTGAAAATAGGTAAAAATGGAATTGTGGAGTGGTGGAGTGGAGTGATCGTCAGTGAGGCATTTTTAAAGTGAAAACTTCTTTAGGCGTGTTTTGCACTTTTTTACTGATAAATGTATTCATCTAACAGCTAAATATGAATAATAAATAACTGTAAAACTACCTGGCTCAGGAACAATTGCGTGATGCCCCGCTGGGTCTATTAATTGCCTTAATAGTTCTGATAATACATCCTCAGCTTGTAAACCAGGAATGTAATATCCTATAATAATAATAAGTTTAACAATTTAAATTTAAATGAACCTTTAGATTTAAATGTAATATTTTCAACTTTAACAAGACAAATTTCCAATGTAAAATTATAGAATAGTTTACTATGAAAAGAAACCAGAGAATTTACAGTAAAATCTCATATAAGAATTTAAATTTAAATGAGCCTTTAGATTTAAATGTAATATTTTCAACTTTGACAAGAAAAATCTGGTGCGCGCAACACACAACTTTCACTTACCACTCAACTTTGAATAGAAATTATTTTCTGGTCATGTTGGGCTATTATAAAATTTTGCATTTTTATTGCAATTGCATTTTTAACTGAGCTGAAGTTAAAATATTGCAGCTAAAAAATCATAAATACTATTAAAATAACAAAAGTTATATTTATTATATTACTGGTTGATTAATGATTGTACGATTCGTTAATTATGGATTATTTGATCCGTTGATTACGGATTGTATGACTATTAGTTATTAAACTTTTATTTTCCATTGCAAAGTTTATTAAAACAGAATTAAGAGATTTGCATTGTCTATCATAAACAGGTCAAAAGTTGTCACACTAATTGTAAGTAGATTCTGTTCGAATATCGCAAAGGGGAAATTATCCACTAATTTAATTTTCTAAAAGGTAACATAATGATTTTTCGGAATACAGACGACAGATACCTAATTATTTAAATATAATGTCGGATCTAGAATTATTAAACTACAGTAAATATATTTAATGTTATAAACGTATCCATGAAATATTTTTATATTTCACTTCTTCTCTCACACAAGTATAATGAAATATTTTCAAGTTTATTTATTTTCAGCCATTTTACATCAATTTTCAAAATTTTTGTCAACTTAATGACTACGCATCTGATAACGACTTTTCGGCTCGTTGAGCCATTTTCAAGTCTAAATTTTTTTTTACAATTTACAGTCATATTTAAAACATTACATACTTCAACATATAGAGATTTTATTTTTTCAATCGAACTCGCGTAAAAGGTATTAATATTATCCACATCTGTATGATTATTTACAGAGTTTTTTAAATTTTTAGTTATGTATATTGCTTCTTTTATTCTACGTTTATTCATATTACTTTCATTATGTAGGATTTTGGCGTTATTGAAATCAAATTCATGTTTTGTTTGCATAGTGTGCTGAGAGAGCCTAGTAGCTCATTTAATTTTTGTATTTTTTGAATTACAATTTGTTTGTGCTGTTTAAATCTTTTTTCAAAGCATTGTGATGTCTGTCCAATATATGATTTGTTGTTGCAATTTTTACAATTTATTTTATAAATAATATTCGTTAATTTATCGGTGGGTATTTTATCTTTAGTTTTGGAATAAATTGTATCTACTTTATTAATAGGTTTGATTGCAAATTTAATTTCATTCACCTCATATTGTTTAAATGTTCTTTTTATTTTGTCCGTTAAATTTCTAATATATGTGACGCTAAAATATTTTTTAGGTTGTTTGTTTTTATTATATTTTTCATTTTGTGTTTTAATGTCATGTATATCGTTTATGGAAGGTTGTTGTTTTACTGCATTTTCGGTTTTAAAATAATTTGTTATTAAATTCGGTTCTTTATTAATTTTGTTATTTTGGTTTTCATTTTCGCTTTTATCATCCCTAATATCTTTTATCGCTTTGTTACTATTGTAATTTTTAACCAACTTTTTATTTTTATACCACAATTTATTTATTAATCGAATGGAGTACCAGTTTTCTAATAGCATTTCATACATTTGTGTTTTGATTTCTTTCATATGATTTTTATCGGTTATTAATTTTGCTTTGTCTATTAAATTTTTAGCTGTATTAATTATTATATGTTTTTTGTGATTGCTGTGCCAATTAAGGATTCTATTACTGGTTATTGTTTTTTTGCACCATGACGTGCTAAGATCGCCACTTTCGCTTCTGTCAATATACATATCAAGATATCTTATTTTGTTGTTATTCTCATATTCCATTGTGAATTTAAGTTTATCTGATATATCATTTAGTTTATCAAGAAAATTAACAGATTCATTTTTATTTATTATTAGAAGTATGTCATCCACGTATTTTATAATAAGCGTCGGTTTTCATTCCAATTTAATTATAGCATTATCTATTAAATTATTAAGATATATGCCCGAAAGATTGATTGATATACATCCGCCTATCGGTAGACCATTTTTCATTTAGTAATATTTATTATTATAGGAGAAATAGCCATTATCGCAAATTAATTTAATACCTTCCGTAAAAACATTTTTATCTTTAATATCAGTGTACGCTTCAATTTCATCCCATTTTTTCCCCAATATTTTGTGTATTTCATTAAGTGGAACGTTCGTAAATAAGGATTCCACATCATAACTTACTAATTTTTCGTTTTTATCTATCTTATTTATACAATTAATTTTCTCTTTTACATGCCTTGCATTATTTACAACATATCCATTATTGTTGTTCAAATTTTTTAAGGCTGAGCTAAGGAATTTTGCTAATTTCTCCGTTATGCCGTTTATATTGTTTACAATTGGTCTTAGAGGTCAGTCATCTTTATGTAATTTACTGAGACCATGTATTCATGGTATTGTGTAATGTCTAGTTATCAGTTTTTCTTTAACCTTTTCGTTTATAAATTTCATTTTCATTAACTTATTTATATAAGTCAAGATTTTATCTTGGATTTCACTTGAGGGGTCTTTCCTAAGGCATCTATTAGGCGTTCATCCAGTAGGTCATGCATTTTTTTATCGTACTCAGTGTAAATATAATAAATGGTAATGTAAACCTATCATGTAATTATAAATTTCTTAATAATTTTTCAAAAATTTTAAAGATAAATAATAAAATATTTTATTTAAAAAAATGTAAATACTCAGACACGATACCGCAACACTTGTTGAAAAAAATTATGCCCTTAGAAAATCTATTTAATACCTCATTTCTGACAAATTACAAAGACATACTTAACAAAAGAAGAAGAAGAAATAAATAAAAGAAGACATACTTAACATACTAATAAAAGAAGACAACAGCACTATCGTGGAGAGAACAAGAAAGGTAAATTTTAAGGTGACCATTTTATTTTTTTTTTCAAGTGGCATAAATGCACTGCGGCCATACTTCTAAATGCCTATACAGCTATTGCCAGATTATCAAAATTGCTGATTTGGTGGAGCAATACTAAAAAAAAAAAAATAGCTTTAATGAAATAAACATGATAATTTCTACTATTGCTATAACTGGTAAGTTGCATCCCTGCAATGCAGATTGGTATGAATCAGCTTTACTGACCTGTAAGTAGGGACATATTGTCGAATCGTACTAAAATTTGCAAATTGGTTTCCCTGCAAGCAAAATCCAAAGCAAAAGGAAATTGCTCTGGATCAATAGAAACTGAGCAACATATTGCAGTTGGGATAACCGATCAGCAAACTTCACACAAGTCTTGTTCCTTCATTCAGTTTAATAGGCCTCGTAATGGAGTAGACCAATGATAAAATAATTTAGGTTATTGATTAATACCATGCTCTTCCCGTGATATTCCCGAACTCAATAGACATGTCGCACCCTCATATGTTTATATAAATGTAAACTTCAGAGAACCGGATTACTGGACATACCGGAATAGCAAATAGTCGGATTATTAAGAGTATAAATTTTGTGTGCAATTTTATTATTTAAATAATTACTGAATTTCACAATGAACCAATGGCAAAAGCAATTATATTTTATCAAAAGAATAAATAACCTTTTTCATTTCTGATTCCAGAACCAATGAAGGGACCATACTTCGTCAAATAACAATCAAGAGTTGCTATCTGAATGGCTTGTGTGACGCGGGCGATCTCGGCAAGATTGTGACCCTTTGCGGCCATTCCTGCTGCGATCTTAAACTGAAGAACAATACCAATATGCCCCCTGCTTCCATATCTCCATTTTTCAGGCTACAAAATAAGTATAGTAATTTCAGTATGGAAAATATTGTAAAATAAATAATAATTATTATACACTGTAACTGGTGGTTTGACTTACTTTACATTTGGATTATAAATGGTTTATAAATATATAGTTGGCACCATGTTGAACTAACAAATGTTTACCTGTCCATGGTTGCACATTCCTTAGTTTAACATGGTGCCGACAATATGAGCACATGCCTAAGTGCACCAGATCAATTGAATAACATCCAAAACTTATATTTAAAAAAAAAAATCTGGTGAGCCCACTCACATGACTTTCCTACCCACTTCAGAAAAATTTAAATATGTCCTTTAAAAAAACTGAATACCATTTATTTTCCTGAAAATTGATCAAAGAAAAGATTTGAGTATGATTTATTTAATTAACTAAAGCAATGTAAACTGGCTTATAAAAATTCAATACACTCTTAAGTTGCTAATCAAATTTTTTGTATTAGCCTAATTTTGTCAGACAATAATTTCTGTTAAAAGTAGGAGGGAAAGTGAAACTAGTGTGATGCAAGCAACAGATTTTTTTACTTTTCTTTTTTCTCTCTCTTTCTACCCTTTCTGGCATCGGGATTTGAACTCCTAATCTTACATACAAAATTAAGTAGCTTTAACTTCGTTAATAGTTGTCTGAAATTAACCATTTTTATATATTTTTGTAGAGAATTCCATTACCTTTCAAAAAAACAGCCTAAAAATGTAAAAAGACAGATCAATGGCTGAAGATGAGTTTTTCAGACTCATGGGTCTCTGAAACGTACAGATCCATTGAAAAATGCACATTGAAAATTTGACCCGATCACAATACTTTCTTTAATGGTAGGATTATCCTAGTATAGGTAGGAAAGTAAAAAAGGACCAACAACTACAAAAATAAACTGACGACAGAGAGAGCCTTTCTATAAACAAGGATTTTAAGAAGTCCATGATAATAGTCGCAATAATAAAATAATTTTACAATAAATTGTTTTGTTATTGAGACAATCATGGCCAGATTCCTACATATTCTCACATAAAAGTATCTTTCCCATTATCAGTATTTACTAAGGTATTCTTCGTAAAGTTAATATTAAGCTTAAGGGTTGAAGTTTATCGGTTAAAATGGAACTGGGCTGGTCACATCAGAAGGTCAAAGGCATGTACCGAGTGGATCGCAAGAGTGAATTACAGGAAAAGGAATCAACTCCATCTCAGATGAAACGATGAAACGACACATTATGTAGGCGATAACTGGTGTTTAAAATAAGTCATAATTTGAACTTATTTTTGGGCTGTAGCCAACTCCATTGAAATTCCTACTTAATAGACTAGGAGCTACTACCGTTTTTATTTAACGGAATGACTTACAGCTACAAACCATTTTAAATAATAAATAATCCTCACCTGAATACACAACTCCGGTTGGTCGCTTGAAAGCCATTGCTTTATATCAGAAAATTGTATACATTTATTTTTGATAAAGATCCAACCGGAGAGGAGTCAGAGAATATAGACTGTATGCTTATTTCAGAAGAAATATCTGTTTTCATCGGTTTTTCCCTCAAAATTTAAAATCTATGCATCTCTCGAAGAAATTCACTATAATAATTTTGAAAGAGCATTAAATTTTCTATGTACCTCATGTAAACACATTAATATGTGAGAACATTAAGCGGCTGTTAAAGCACATGGAATCGAATGAGTATTTCACTCATTATGGATGTCAAAGTCTCTCATGCCAACAGAATATATAAAAGCTGTGCAATTTGCTTATAAATTCTAGTTCTGTTATAAATATAGTTAAATTAGCCGAGTCAAAAGCATTGTAAAGATAAAAAGCTCTTAAGTTGAGAGCGTCAGATTTACGCCTTTGATTCCATGTCGCTTAAACCTCTCACATGTTGACATGAGATACATAGGAAATTTAATGCTCTTTCAAATTGATTTTAGTGAATTTCTTCAAAAGATGCACATATTTTCAATTTTGGGGAAAAACCGATGAAAAAAAATATTTCTTCTGAAATCAGCATAGAGTCAATATTCTCTAACTCATCACCTGTTGTACCTACATCTAAAAGCAATGTATAAAATTGATAGTAAATTTTATCTTCTTTAACTTTGTATATCATAATAATTTTGATAAAATGCATCTTTTTGGAATCATGTCCAACAAACTAAAAAAAGTTCGGTAATTTTGCTAATTTTTGCATATACCTCGGAACACAATGGAAAATTTCATTCGGGAACATCAAATTCAGATTCAGCATTCCAAAAAACATAAAATACCAAAGAGAAACAGACTATTTGTATTTTTTCTTATGCAAATACCTTATAACTTGGCTTATTTAATGACTTTGATGCATTAGTTTTCAAAATGCGACAGAGCACACCATCAGTTAAGGTGAATTATCTTTTAGGGATATATTCTTGACATCATATCAAAATTTCAGCCCTATGTTCTTCTATTAAATAAACCGTAAAATTTCACCACTTTAATTTAAATTTTCTGATATAAAACATCGGCTTTCAAGCGACTGACCAGAAATGTGTATTCAGGTGAGGATTATCTATTATTTAAAATGGTTTGTAGCTGTAAGTCCTTCCGTTAAATAAAAACGGCAGTAGCTCCTAGTCTATTAGGTAGGAATTTCAATGGAGTTGGCTACAGCCCCAAAAAAGCTAAAACTATGACTTATTATAAAATATTTAAAATAAAATAAAAAGATAAGAAGAGTTTCCTTCATAAAATAACAATGTAAAGCATAAGACAAAAACAAAAACCATAAAGAAAATGAAGATCAAGTCTTGAAAAACACAAAGACAAAACTAAAGGACACAACAACTAAATATTATTCATAACTTTTTTCCATCTGCTTCTTTTTTACTTTCCTACCTATACTAGGATAATCCTACCATTAAAGCACGTATTGTGATCGGGTCAAATTTTCAATGTGCGGTTTTCAACGGATCTATACGTTTCAGAGCCCCATTTTCAGCCATTGTTCTGTTTTATTACATTTTTAGCCAGTATTTTTTTTAAAGGTAATGGAACTCCCTACATAACTATTGAAAAATGGTGTATTCAGGTGAGGATTATCTATAATTTAAAATGGTTTCTAGCTGTTAGTCCTTCTGTTAAATGAAAACAGTGGTAGATCCTAGTCTATAAGAAACAGGCTTTTGTCAAAGCAATTGATGTTACGATTCCATTCTAACACTTTGTTTCATGGATGCTGATATGTAAATCGAAATATATGTCATGAAATAGTTGGTCTAGTTAAGATCAACTTACAAATTTCTAACACAGAATATAGCAGGTAAAGTTGGGACATGGTTTGGGAAACCTCCTGTTATCTGCTAGGGATCAACACTCCAGGCACCAGAGGCCAGAAAGAAGTAGCAGAAGAGTTTATCAATCAACAATCGAACAAATAATAGTCATCAGTTCAGTTATGTGCACATCAGCACACCTTCTGCAACAGTTTCATACATATTTATCATTATATGTAATCAGGAAACATTTTCAACCAAAACAGATTTTATTTTATTTAGAACTTCCTTTGTAGCCCTTTATCCCAGCATGCCATCATTTAGATATATAGATGTAAATAGGTAGCACAATACTTTAGGAAAGGATATCTGATATGAAATATAAATGAATACAATTTATCACAGCAGGAAGACCTGTGGTATCTAGCCTTTTCTTTTTCATATTAAATATATAATTAGTATATTTTTAAATAGATCGGTTCCCTTCTGCAACCAACAGAAATATTAATATTATATAATTAAATACATATGAATGCAGTTTCTGGAATCCTCTACTCACTTTAGAAAAGTAGATAGGCAGAAACATAGTAATAGCTTGATCTTATTAAGCCGAAAGCATAAGTTCGGAAACAATTTATCAAACACAAAAAGACATTTCATATCTTAAAACTAAATATAATTTTATGAAGAATGAAGTTATAACCTGATGGTGAGATATATCATCCCTGGCTAAAACAAGTTCTGCACTGATACCAAGCTTGCGAGCTCTCTCGATGGCAAATAAGAAACTCAATCTTTCTTCACTTTCATTAAGAATTATTATTACCACTCCTTCACCTGAATCCAGTTCTTTCAATGCCTTCAACAATAATTAACAAATTCATGAAAATAGAAGCTTAAATCATTAAGAGAATGCTTATAACAGTGGCTCTACTAGCAATAAGAATAAGAATATTCTGAATACCAGCACAGGCATAAAAAATTAACAAATCTTCATATATTTATATATGTGATTGTTATGTCTATAACATAAAAATATAATTATTTCTACTTCCACTTTGACTATATTAGAGAAATTTCCTCACCTCGTAGTGGCAAGCAAGTAAAAAGTGTAGCACAGTAATGAGACATCGATATTCGTACAAAATAAAAATGTTCATATTTATCAATGAAAAAATACAGCCACACATTTCTGCCAGAAGCATAAGCTACTCAAATTCCAATAAGAGTTTTAATTTGAATCCTTCAAGCTTCCTTCAATAATAACTTAAAACTAATGGATACAAAACAGACAAATCCCCATAAATTTAATTATAAAGTATATTATTGAACATGGTAACTTATAATAATATGTAATTAGCTTAATTACAACATAAAACTTGAACAATGACATGTGATAGTATGACATGATAACTTTTACACTTCCTGACTTTCCATGGATAGCAGTTCTTTTCCATGCATTACCTCGAAAACGGTTGGTTTTGGGGCTTAAAAATACTGAGCCTGGTATTTTTCTTTGTAAGATTACCTGGTCTTGATGTTTGCACCACAATCTTTAAAACACATTTAGTTCTGTTGAAATCTGTCAATTTAGCACCATATGAGTTTTGAAACCTTGTACTTTTATTTAAGTCCTAGTAAAAATTGCAAAATAAATATTAAAATTCCCCTAAAATTGAAAATATCTATCTATAGATAATCATTCATCCAAATCCACTGTTCCTCGGATACAGGAAGGTGATTTATATTCAGAAATTATATATAGTAGATAGTAAATTTAACTAGCTATATTCTTTTCACATTTAATCTATTTATCTATTAATCTTTAATTAAGCTTGACACCCTCACCCGTGATAAAATCCTACCAGACCTTGAAACCCTAAACTGGAATGATATTTATTCCTGCACCTCTATTGATCATATGGTAGACATCCTCACTTCTAATCTTATCCATATTCTTGATATACATGCTCCTATTAAAAGCTCAACCTTTAGCCCCCAAACTGCTCTTTGGATATGTCAAGAAATTCGTGACATGCAAAAGAGACGTGAGGCAGCCTGTAGACGCTTCAGACGAACTCGACCAGCAGATGATTATCAAGCATATAGGGTACTCCGTAATTTGACAGAAACAACGATCAGGAAAACGAAATCAAACTTTTTTCATGAAACTCTCTCTTCTGCTCCTGATTCCAAATCAATATGGCTAACCCTTCGTAAACTGTCTCTTGGTAAATCCTCTTCCTCATCGATCTACTCGGTTTCACCTGATGAATTAAATTACTACTTTATATGTTCCACCACCAGCAACAGCTCACCCTCCTCTTACCAGTTTTCCTTATCACCCTTATTTAACAGTGATAATTTCTATTTTTCCAACATTTCACCAACTGACCTTATTTCCTCCATAATGAAATCCCATACAAACTCCATCCGACTTGATGGAATACCTGTTAAACTGTTAAATTTATGCCTTCCTGCTCTCCTTTTTATCTATAATTTTTCCCTCCAGAACTCAGCTTTTCCTACTGCTTGGAGCATTTTCCCTCTCCTTTTTAATTCTTATATAAATGATCTTCCCAAATTCATCTACAACTGTTCACACCATTTATACACTGATGACTCCCAAATCTATTTATCCTTTCACCCTCCTGAGCTATTAGTCGCGTTCGCCAATATTCAGGCAGACCTAGATAGGATCAGTGCCTGGGGAAGTCCGAATTATCTAAAGTTAAACACCATGAAAACTCAGGCCATTATTATAGGTTCCAGATTTATTCTTAAATCCATCTCCTTCCTTCCTCCTTTAGTTATCAACGATCATCCCATCACATTCAGCTCCTTCGTTAAAAACTTAGGAATCACCATAGAGGAAAACCTCTCCTGGAAACCCCATATCACCCTCATCTCCCGAAAGTCAATAGGTACCCTTAAGTTATTTCATTGCTCCCGCCACCTACTCCCATAACCCATCCGCAAGCTTCTTGTATCCTCTCTTATTTCCCCCCCCCCTCCTTTGACTACGGCTGTGTGGTGTACGGAGGTATCCCGATGGTATTCGAGGATAGATTGAAGCGATTCATGAACTCCTGTTTAAGATTTGTCTTCAGCACTTCGAGGCGGTCTCATGTGTCCCACCTTTACGACGAGTTAATGTGGCTCTTCCCTTCTTTCCACAGACAATATTTTCTAGGATCTTTCTTATTCCAAACAATCAACACCCGACAACCTTCTTACATCTACAGTCTCCTACAGTTCAAACCCGTGGTCCACTCCCAGAAAACAAGATCCTGTATTTCCAACCTTTATATCCCTTCCCATAGAACTAAGACATTTGAATGTTCCTTTATTGCCCGATCCACTGCCTTCTGGAATTCCATGCCATCTGATATCCACCATGGCTCTTCCCTGTCCTCATTTAAATATCATCTCTACCAATTCCTTCTCACATCCCAAAACGATGTTTTACAATGAAATAAATATTGTGAAACAAATTTTGACTGAGGTGAATGGTTGTTGAAATTATACGAGTTTTAATTTTAAAAATCAACCCAGGCTTATATTATTTTGTTTTTTATTTTACCTGATTTCTGTTTTTCTTTTCATTTAAATAATGTTTTTTTTTTCAAAATGGTGTTACTTTTTATTTGTTTTAATATACTTTCACTGAAGATACTGTGTATATTCTTTAATGTTCATTAATGTAATTTTTGGCCAGATGTGGTTTTTATTTTTTTGTTCATAATTGTTATTCATAAGAGACCTCCTCCCAGAATAAAGTTTATTTTCTATGTATCTATCTATCTACTACATTGTTTAATTAACCTGTTACTAACTTTTAGCATCAGATAAATATAATTAATTTTCATTAAAAATCAATAATAAAGAAATTAAAGCTACTAAACAGATAAAAGGCATATTTTGTAGAAAAATCATACCTGGAGAATAGTTCGAGGAATTGGCCCATTTCTCTCATTTCCAAGGACAGCACCATCCAACATGCCCGTGCAGACATATTCACCATAGAGGGGATCAAGGCCTATTCTTCCTCCTGATAATACTTTCACTCTCTATAACAATAATTTAAAACCAACAGATCATTATATATGTATATATATATTATATGAAAAAGAAAAATCTCTACAAGAAAAACTGCTTAAAGAGTAGACAAATCTTACGTTCAGTAAATAGACCCAGTATTTTGAAATGAAATATAAATCTATTTATGCTGGGAGTGATGTCTCCCATCACACCTCCCTGAAGAAGACCTGCAAAGTCGGGTCAAAACATCGGCTTTCAATAAAATAGTTTTACCACTATTTAGCCTATTTATGACCTCAACCCCGGACTATCCCCTTCCTTTATAATGCAACGGTCAACTATTAAATATTCGAAAAATATTTTATTTTAATTTGGGTGTTCTCTTTAACTGCAAACAAACTTTTCAACCATATTTGTCTACAGTCAAAAATTTCTTCAGGACTGAAACAAAAGCATGATTATGATTTTCTTAACCCGGCTAAAATTATGTTCAATTTTTATTTCTGATTCGTAAAATACAAAATAAACAACAGACACTCAGGCTCAAGCTCCTTGTGTAGGGAATGCATCACTTAATGATAAAAAAAAGGTAATTTTTTTTTTTTTATAAAATGGTTTGAAATCGGCTGGTATTTTATAGACTAATAAATTCTCAAGAACACACATAGAAAGAACAGTTAGCCACAATTGGTTGATGTTATTTTGTCTTTAATAGATGAAAAACAACATCTGAAAAAATTTCTGTCAGGCTCAAATAATTTTAATTTGTGAAGTTTTTACTAACTAATCCTTGTTACTCTGTCCTCATTTAGATGTCTGACAGTTGTTTTTATTTATACATATTCATGAGAATACAATAAACCTATAAAAATATCAGCTAAGCTCAAATTATTTTTTAAAAAATTGTCTTATTTTTCCATTGTCAGCTGACACCTTTCGACTCCCTGCTGATAGTTATTATTGTACTTTATATGGTTACAAAAAGATGGGTAAAATGTTTCAGTCAGGGTCAAATAGTTTTTTTTTTTTCAAGTTTCACAACTCTCTTGCATTTGCAAACTTATGTAATGCTTTACTTCTCTAAAAGACTATTCTACATAAAATAGAAGTGAAACCAAATGGACTCAGATGATCATGCTTTTAGTATACCATCTTCCATTATATTGTGATTGGTCTAAATTAATAATAACAATAAAACGACTAATTAAAATTGTCTAAATTGTAACACCTTACAGCTTGTTGATACCAAGTAAAGGTAAGTTAACATCATCCTTAAGACCAAAGTAGGTATCTGGTGACTAATGAATTTGTCTAGTAACCGAAAGACTAGGAGCTACAGGCCATTTCATTTAACACAAGGACTTTCATAGCTATAAACCAATTGAAATTTTAGATAAATCCCATCTGAATCCACAACTTCGGTCTGTTGGTTGAAAGCCGTAGCTTTTTATTGTTATGGATGTTGAAGTCTCTCATGCCAACAGAATATATAAAAGCTATGTAACTTGTTTATACATTCCAGTTTTGTTATAAATATATTTAAATTAGCCAAATCAAAAGCATTGCAAAGATAAAAAGCACTTAAGTTGATAGTGGCAGATACAACGAGTGAAATACCGTCTTCAATTCCATGCACTTTAACTGCCGCTTAACCATCTCATATACTAATGTTTCTACAAGAGGTATATAAGAAATTTAATGCTCTTTCAAATTTATTATGATGAATTTCTGTAAGAGATGCATAGATTATGAGTTTTTAGGGAAAGCCGACAAAACCAGATATTTCTTCTGAAATAAGCATTCAACATTATCTGATTCCTCACCCGTTGGGCCTAAATCAAAAAGCTATGTATAAAATTGTTAGTAAATTTAATCTTCTTTAATTTTGTATATAATAATAATTTCGATAAAATGCATAGTTTCGTAGTCATATCCAAAAAATTAAAAAAAGTTCAGAAATTTCGCTGTTTTCGGCATATACTTCAGAACTAACTGGAAAATTTTGTTAAGGACATATTCTTGACATTATATCAACATTTCTGCTGTATGTTCCATTTCTGCTGTTAAATGAACTGTCAAATTTTGAATCTTTAATTTAAATTTTAGCATAGAAAACAGCGGCTTCTACTATCGGACTGTTGTGTGTTCAGATCCGGTTTATCTCAAATTTAAAATGGTTACTAGCTATAAGTCCTTCCGTTAAATGAAATGGTCAGTAGCTTCTAGTCTACGAAGCCTGTGACCATAGAGCCCTTGTAGGTCACTTGGTGACTATAATTTGTTTCACAATTCACTGTATAAGATACCTTTGTCAACGTTAGCGAGACAAATATTACATAATTACAACTCAATTAGTTTAGTGCAAAGTACAACTCATTTATTACAAGAGAAGATATGTTACAGATCTTTAAGGAGCCATTTTTATAACTATTTCATCTGTTTAACAATGAATAAAATATTGATACATACATCATACCTTTTTGTACTGAGGTCTAATAATTATGCGTTCGTTGGTCATCCTTTGCGCTTCCAAATTAATATGAAAGAGCCCAGATCGCTTAAAATCTTTCCATACTACAGAGTAGCGTGATTCGTTATATTCTGTTGTTAATTTCCTTTTTGACAATGAGGAAATGAAATTTGAATCCGAGTCAGTATGTACAACTTTTTTTGTTGCATGTTTATAAATAAAGTTTCTCCTGTCAGAAAATAAAGTAAAATAAATAATGATGAACAAAAATTAAAGTATCTAGCTGAAAAAATATTTGTTTCAGGAAAACAGAACAAATTAGTTTATTTATAACACAATTTAAAGTTTTGTTATAGAACAGAAAACGTAACAAGCCCAAAACTACTTTAATAAAATTCAATCAGTAAATATAATATCAACAGTAAAAATGTATAAACAACCAAAAGGAAAATATGTCATCATGTCAATAGTAAATATAATTGCAGGCAACGAAAAAGAAGAAAAAAAAATATGAATAGATTAATTAAGTTAAAATGTAAACATTAAAACTAATCAATCATTTCTAATCAAATTCTGGTTACATACAAGATAATAACTAATATCCTACTAAACCTGATATATCCATAATACAAGAATATAATAGGCGATCACCAAGCTGGATTCAGAAAAGGGAGGAGCACGCTAGACCAGATCTTCATCCTAAAACAAGTACTCGAAAAACGAAAAGAAGTAGCTCAGGACGTCCACGCCCTATTTGTTGATTGCAAAGCAGCCTATGATTCTCTGGAAAGGAGCTGTCTTTGGAAAATCATGACTGAACTGGGAATTTTGGGCGGGGTAGCCGAATAGGCTAAGGCGTGTGCACTGCACCGCCGTTGCCTGGCAACCTGATATCTGGACAAATGATATAAAAATAGCCACGAGTTCGCGTCCTGGTGCCCGAGGGAGTCTTTTAAATCCCCGCCCACACTCCCTGGCCCGGGAAAACCCTGTATAGCCTTAACGGCAAGGAAGGGGAGGACAAAAAAAAAAAAAAAAAAAAATGACTGAACTGGGAGTTACCGGTAAGTTGGTGAGATTGACAGAGGTGTGTACAAATGACCCCAAATGTAGAGTCCTAATATAAGGAGAAGTATCTGAAGCCTTCAAAGTTTGAACGGACTTATGGCAGGGAGATGGATTATCACCGATGTTGTTTAACTTAGCTCTGGAAAAAGTAATAAGAGCAACATCACAGGAAAATGGAGGGATCCACGTCGGAATGAATTATAAAATCCTTGTAGATGACATAGCTGCCCTTGGAAGTAATCAAGAAAGCATTGAGAAACTTGTTATAACACTGATAAGAAAGGCAGAGGAGATCGGCCTACAAATAAATAATGACAAAACAAAATGTATGGTAAGTCGAAAATTCCACCCCAGTAACAAGATCTGCGTTGAGAAGACAAATTCAACCAACAGGCAGAAATAGGCCAGCGTATAACTAGCGCAGACAGAGCTTTCTCCTCCCACTCAAAGGTATTGAAATCCTGAAAAATCTCAAGAAATCTCTAACTACAATGTTATGATAAAGCCAGTTCTTCTATATGGCTGTGAGAACTGAACACTAACCAGTACCCTAGAAAAAAGTGTTGAAAGAATTGAAGGAAAAGAGAATACTCCGAATGATAACAGGAGCGATCTGGGATCAGAATACTAACACATGTAGAAGACCAATAAAAAACTATTTACAGCAACTGGTCAATCAATATCCCATGATATGAAGACATGGAGGTTAAGATGGGCAGGGCATGTAGCTCGCAGCAATCCATCTGGAATCCTCTACATAACAATGAATGCCTCAATAGACGGCAAAAGACCATGCGGAAAGTCAAAAAGCAGATGCATAGATAGAATCAACAAAGATGGAATAGAGCAACGTGCTATAAAATGGATAGAAATAGACCAAGACAGGCAGAGATGGAGCAGGCTTGTTAAGGTAGCAAAAGATATACATTGTCTGTATTGCCAAAAACAAAAAAGAAATCAAGAAGCTTTAATTCATGAAAATAAATTCTGAATAGACACTTTACGTGAGCGAAAAACATAAATAATAGAATGTTAACTTTAATTCGAAAATCAAATACAAAAAATTTGTCCAACCACCGTCCGTAGCTTTTCTCCGAGACTAGTGGACCGATTTTTTTCAAATTAGAATCAAAGTCCATCGGTCAACCGAGGATGTTGATTCTCCTATATCAACATTACTATCTGCCCTTTCCTTTTAAGATGTCGGCACAAAAACCTGCAGTGCCTAGATGAATGTATCAATTTCAATTAAACCTAAAATCTTCTCGGTGCTCTTTAAATTTATTTATATGACGTATTTCAACAAAAAAAAAAACTGGAAAAAATGGCTTTTTAAAAGTTTACTAAATTTTCTAAAAAATCGTTGAAATCAGACAATTTGGTACAAAGATATGGTATTCTATATGTTTTTCATATGTTCATCTTCTGCTGTAAAACTTATATCCTAGGTTATGATTTTTTTATGTTTTATATCAACTGGAGCAATGTTGTCTATTTCTCTTAGCAAATTATCAATGATGAAAAAAGAAATATATTCAGGCCAATATTAGGAATCACTTTTTACTTATATTATATTGCTTTATGTTACATGTTTAATTGTTTAATAAAGTAATGTTAAATTGTTTGGAATTAATAAACCATTCCATAATAATTTGCAGCGTTTTTCTTTTGGGTTCAAGTTATACCTTGAGGTTCGAAGAAAGTCTTGATTCTAGTTACAGTATTTTTTCTTATTGTTTCAAGATTTTTGTTTATCTAAATAAATATTTACTTACATTTACTATTATTCATAAATAAATTGACTGCCATTGTACATTTCAGGATTCTGGGTAAGAAGTAATTTTAATTTAATCATATTATATAATTATGACACTAAATAATAAATAATGAAGAGAAGGATAGTTGGAGTGATCAGTCCAAAATAAAATTTATTTTTGGCATTTTTATTTTTGACTGATCACCCCAACTATTCTTCTATCCTTCAATACAGTCAACCATCAATAATAATAAACAGTAATCATCAAAAAGTATAAAGGACGTTTTTTAGATAAAAAAATCTTGTTAATAATGTCACAGGAGGCTTAGTCACCTACAGGTTCACTTATGATAACCAATATGGAGGCTTAGTCACCTACAGGCTCACTTATGATAACCAATATGGAGGCTTAGTCACCTACATGCTCACTTATGATAACCAATTTGGAGGCTTAGTCACCTACAGGCTTACTTATGATAACCAATATGGAGGCTTAGTCACCTACAGGTTCACTTATGATAACGAATATAATTCCAGCATCAGGAGGCACGAGTATCAACTACGAGTTAATACATACTTGGCAATCAATGCGTTAAACAAGTGGAAGTTGAAGGAATTTATTTTGTAAAACTAAATATATTGGAAAATTTTATAGAAATACTAGCTGATGTACCCGTCGTTGACGGGGGTATAGTTAAAATTTGAGAACTTTTTTGAGATGGATTTTGTATTATAGGGGAAGGGGAGGGACACAAATTTAATTTCATAAAATTGGATGAAGGGAAGAGAGGGACACAAATTTAATTTCATTAAATTGTGTGAGGGGAAGGGAGTTGTTTTGAAATCTTTTATGGCGGTGCTTATGGAAGTCAAGGTTTCGCAATAGTCATAATAAAAACTTTGTTAATCGGCTATTTGTTTAGGTGCCACATAACTATACTGACCACCACCGATCTATTAAAATGTTTTAAGTGTTTAATTTTCATTTAAGATGAAGCGAGGAGATTGTGGAATCAATTGAAATAATCAAAAAGAGTTGTAGTCTCTCCACTTCTATAAACTCTGCTGAATTTATCGCTATCAAAATAACATTGGACATTGAGCCACATACATCCATGTAAAATTGGAACTTGATCTGAATATTGTGGCGGGCGGGATGAAATTTTTGGGAGTTTTTTTTTCCGATTTCCGGCTGGTTTGTTTGGTTAATCCTAAAAATGTATAAGACAAAATTTGTTATGCTCGGGAAGTTGAATCGAATGACACCTTGAATGGAAAGATCGGAAAAAGTTGAAAAATTAGTGTGTTTTACTCATGTTTTAAGTGACAACACGTTACAGATGTTCGGTATTTCGGAATTTAGCCGTTGAATTTTGATAATTGTTTCCATCAGTTGAATAGTACAACTTTTAAATGTGGCTCGCGGTAGAGTAGGTTGGGATGAGAATTCAAGTAACTGCCTAACCGAGAACTCTAGACAAATTACTCAAGAATTCATAACTTTGGTTCAACTCAATATTTTGTTTTCATTTAAAGCCCATGTTTTAAGTCAAGCAAACCTAAATATAATGTCAAAATTTCAAAATTCTACTATTAGCCATTGCTGAGCTTACCCCTGACAAAATTTCGTTGGATAATGCGGATATACAAATAGACAAAAATTTTTTTAAAAGTGGATTTGTTGTCTGTAATGTATGAAACGGAAAGATATCATGAAACGGGTTGATTCTATTCAATGTACAGACAAAACCTTAATTTTATTTATATCGATAAAGCAAAGGTTTTCATTTTCAGGAGTAGACTTAATTATGATAAAATTGACCAAATGTTGACTGACACAAAACAATGCTCTATTGATCCTAGTGTATATCAAGCTGACTACTTAATTTGATGGGAGTGTGTTAGATTACAAACCTCACTCAGTTATTATAACATCAATTGAAAAAAAATTATTATCAAATACATTATCAGAAAAAAAGATAACATAATTACATTCTTTTAATGGCATTGGTGTTAATGAAACTGGTCGGTCCACTCACGAACTCAATATGATGCTTCTCAGGCTGTAAAATGCTAATAAAACATCATTGTTAAAAATTGTAAATATATAATTATATTAAAAAATTAACAAATAAAATGCAAAATTATTTACAAGTAATAATTATTCCAAAAACTGCAACACTTAAAATTCTTTTTGTAACTAATTTAATAGGTGCATATGTAACTTTGTATTGTATTTTAATTTCATTAAGTACACATGGATGTATATATACATTTAAATGTATGAAATAAAATAGTTAAAACTACGAGAAAAGATTTTACTAGACATTAATATTGATAATAAAATGGTTCATAATATTATCTAAAAAACAAAGTTAGTATTCTTGTTTGCCCCAATATCTTATCTTCTTATATATAATATCTGAAATATATATTCCTTTTCCGGGTCTCAGGAGTGATGGATTTTGACAAATGAGGTATCAATAGAAAGGGAATGTCATATAAATGCACAAATTGTAATTTTGATTCCTAATTTTATACCAGGACTTAAATAAAAGTGGGAGGTTTCAAACCATATAGATGGTGACAGCTCAACGAATTGAGACATTACAAATGCATTAATAATTTGCAAATAAGTCAAAAAGTATGCAATTTTTGGCACATTATAAATACAAGTATTGGAAAGCATAATAAATTCTCTACAAAACGTTAAAAAATCCTCAAAATTGGATGATTTGGAGTAGAGTTATAGCATTCAGAACATTTAGAATTTGTTGTCCTGCAAAGATTCTGTTTTTACCGGGGTACAGTATATTACAATGCAAAAGCCTGTAAGGATAATGTCTATGGAAAAAGAGGTTTTGAGCTTTTTCTGGTCAAACTTGTCCTGGCGAGTAATCTGATCCCACAAAATGAAATCTACGATGTTTCATTTCTTCTTTATGGCCTTTTGCAAAAACCTGTAATTCAAAACCAGCAAATTGTAATATAAAAAACTGTAAGTTACAGTGAAGGTTATAGATTGTCGTTACCAAAAAAAAAAAAAAGGAATGAAATTCTTAATGAAAGGCGGTCATGTATATACAGAATGTGTAAAGATTAATAATAATAATAATAATAATAAGGCTTAGCGAACCCGAAGGTTCGATGCCGACACCACCAATCGCTTGTTACACACCTCCCTCCACCGTTCGCCGTCCAAACCCAGTCCCTTCAGATCGGCTTTAATGCAATCTTCCCACCTTCGCCTCGGTCTACCCCTCGGACGCTTACCATTCGGCACAGCAAATATTAACCTTTTAGGAATTCTCTCGTTACTAAGCCCAACAACTTTACAAGCCCATTTGATTCGCCGCGATGAAATTACATCAATTATATTACCCGGATACAGCTCACGCAATTCGGCGTTGTGTAACCGTCTGAACTCTCCGGTTAACTCATCCTTCTTCGGTCCGAATATTCTACGCAATACTTTATTTTCAAAAACCTTAAGACGCTGCTCATCCCTGAATGTAAGCGGCCAAGTTTCGCATCCTTAAAGAACTGGAGGCAAGATAATTGTTTTATAGATTCTAATTTTTAAGTTTCGGGACAAGAGGCGCGAACTAAGTAGTTTTGTCACAGAAAAATAACAAGCATTCCCCGCCTTCAGTCTAACCTTAATCTCTTCTTCAATTTCGTTTTTTCTAGTTATCGTAGAACCTAGATACCTAAATTTATCTACCTGTTCAAACATATTACCATCTATATCGATATCACCAGTAGTATCGCCATTTTTGCAGCTAACCATATATTTTGTTTTATCCACGTTTATTTCGAGTCCTAGTTCTTTACCGGCTTTCATTAACGTTGTCGTATTTAGTTTTATAGTTTCAACGTCTTCGCTTAACAGTACCAGATCATCAGCATAGCCCAGCACGGATGTTGTCCCGCCCAGATCCAACCCTTTCTCGGTTCGCATTACCTCCCTAATGGCATGTTCTAATGCCAAATTGAACAGGACAGGCGAAAGAGAATCCCCCTGTTTTAAGCCCGAACGAACCTCAAATTTTTCGGACAAATTATTACCGATTCTAACTTTATTGAGTGTCTCCGTCAAGCACATCCTGACTAGATTTACTAGTTTTTTTGGAATCCCCTGCTCGATTAGAATATTATACAGTTTCTGGCGGTCAATAGAATCGTAAGCCTTTTTAAAATCTATATACAGCTGGTGAACAATACCGTTATACTCCAATTTTTTCTCTAATATTTGCCGTAAAGAAAATATTTGATCAATAGTCGAACGATTCCGTCTAAATCCGCATTGGTAGTCTCCGATAATTTCCTCGGCGTATTCCGTGATTCGACTGGTTAAGATTAAAGTGAATATTTTATAACATACCGGAAGGAGTGAAATTCCTCGATAGTTATTACAATCCGTCCTCGGACCCTTTTTGTGAATCGGAATAAGAATAGATTCTTTCCATTCTTCAGGTAATTTCTCGTTCACCCAGATCTTTTTAACCAACCGATGTATTTTAGAAACTCCAGCTTCCCCGCATGCCTTAATTAGTTCAGTAGGAATATTATCGGTTCCCGCTGCTTTATATGATTTTAATTTTCCGATAGCTACTTCAACTTCCTCTTTACTTGGTCCTTCTATTAACGGTTCAGCACTCTGGTACTCAGAAGGAGGACACAGATCATAATTTCCCGTATTTAAAATATTGTCAAAGTGGTCCTTAAACTTATTCAATATGTCAACCGGATCGGTCAGAATATTGTTATTATCATCCCTAATTCCAGACGTTACTGGCCCTACATATTTAGGTGATCTGTTTATACCTTTGTATATGTCTCTTACTTTATTTTCGATTCTATTAGTTTCTATTTCAATTATTTTATTTTTAAGATATTCCCTTTTTTTATTTTTGAGCAATTTTGTCGTTTCGCTCTTTGAGATTCGGAAGTATTCCAGATTGTCTTCGCTAGGATTATTTAGAGCTTTTATTTTAGCGGCTTTTCTTTTTTCGCACATGTTTAAGCAATCTTCATCAAACCACGGTTTGTTATTCTTATTTTCCTTTTTTCCTAGACACGAGTTACCGACCGCTTTAATATTATCCCTGATCTCTACCCATAACTTGTCAATATCCTCGTGGTCCTCGTCAGTAAGCTCTAAAGCTTCAAACCTATTCTTAACATCTAGCTCGAATTGGTTTCTAATTGATGGATTTTTTAATTTTTCCAAATTAAAATTCTCAAAATCGAAACGGTTTTCTTTTCTCTTTTTTATATTAAGTTTTTGTCGAAGTTTCGCGATTACTAATTCATGATCCGACCCACATTCTGCTCCGTGATAAGACCGTACATTGATTATACTGCTTTGCCAGCTGTGTTGTATCAAGACATGATCGATTTGATTTCGTGTTTGCGAATCCGGTGTGTAAAGATTAAAATTAATTTTTCCCATTCAATTTGTATTCTATTTTTAAGTGTCGGCATTCTAGCCCGGCACCTCTGGGCAAATGCCAGGGTTCTCCTGCTCTGAGGCCTATAATATAACATTAAACAACCTTCAAAACAATCGCAATCTCCTCGACGTTGCAACATGAGCTTAACTGGAACAGTGAGGGACAGAGAATCTATTTCATTAATTGGAAAATTTAACATGAGACAAAAAAAAGAACGCCCTAGTTTCATTTGTTCAAAGCAATGAATCTTCAAAACCGCAAGAAGCTCAGAAACAAAGTGATCTACACATCAGCAGGTTACCTTGAACTTACAAGCATTCGTGTTTGATTCATGTCCATATGAACTTGAGTACTTTAAAAAAATAATCTTTCATAGACCACTAAAAATGGGGCATGCACTCGATTTGAGCCATCCCAACAGTGGGAGACAAAAAAGTGAATAACCAGTGTGATATCAAATACTCACTTTCCAGGCAGATTTTTTACAAATTTTCATTTTAAGTGTCGTTTCTCTACATTTTGGAAACTGACTTTGTTCCTGTTTGATATGATTTGATCATTATTAATAAAGTTATGGGTGTTACCACCATAAATTTGATTGACTTTACCAAAGTAATACCTGTTTTTCAAACTAACTAAAAAGCTTTAAGTTAGAATTAATGGCTCTAATAGATTATTTGGCATGAATACGATAAAAAAAGTTATATAGAGTTACAAAGTTACATTACATCTCTGTTTTAGGCATGCAAAAGAAATTGAATCGAAAATATAATGTTCATAGAACAAAAATTATGTAGTTTTTTTGTCGCCAGAAAATTTGTAGTTATTGTTCTCACAGGTTTTTGCAGTGTGGCTGTTGATATAATGCATCAATTAGTAATTATTTTTTCAATTTTAAAACATTTTATTCTTTTTAATTACCTAAATTATTGATTTTATTTTTATTTATATAAATGGGTCTTTCTTTAAACACTTCTTGGAATGTTTGTCAATGTACTTCAATTCATTTAGGTTTTACTTTTATACCTTTATTATTGAAGTTAATCATTTTAATAATATACGTTCATTTTTTTTTAATGTATATATTATGATATGTTATTATGATATGATATGTTATATGATGTTATATGATATGTTAGTCCAGATTGGACTAACTATTCCTCCCTGAGAATCTGAGCCTTTTGATGTTTGTCGATATCGATGTTTAAAGCAATATTTAGAAGCTTTTGTTAATTTTTGATAATCTAATGAAAAAAGCTAATATTTAAATTATAAGTTTAAGAATACGCAATAGTTAAACCATGAAAGATTGTAAATCATATCTGTACTTGTGAGCGACGTGGCCTCTGTGGACTGCTATCTGCAGTTATCTTGTTATTTAAAGTGTTGTTGTCGTTATTTATATTTCTTATTATTAAATGTTTATAACCTCAACACTGATAATTGTTATAAGGCACTGATAATCCCTATCTTCATATGAAATTAGACTCTCGTATAATAAGAAATATAAATATATTTGGTGTTGCCTCTTTTTTGCCTGTTTCTTATTAATATATACATACATACATACATATATATATATATAGAATAAGAAAGATAAATATAATAATAATATAGTAATTTAATAATAAGAAATATAAATAACAACAACAACACTTTAAATAACAAGATAGCAGTCCATAGAGGCCATGTCGCTCACAAGTACCATCATATCTTTGCGTATTAAAACTTTGCGTATCATACATTATTGAATGGAAGTTGTGCTGAGTCCTTAATGTATTAAAATCAGATAAATATTAATAAATCAATAAATATTAGGTTTGTGCGGAGTATTCGAAGGGGTCAGCTAGTGTTGTTACAAGTTCCATTATTTCAACGTTTGTTCTGAATTGCAGTTTCCCAGTTATACTACATATACTGTATGACTAGTCAAGATTGGAGACCAGAGTTCCACAAAAAGGACACCATGGTCCATTAATCATTAACAAACGAAAATATATAAATCTTATCAAACCCAATGATATTAAATATACATTTATTATTCACAGGTTCAGTAATTATATCAATATCACAAAACGTCATAAATACTTTTTTGCTCATCTAATTTATTTAATAACCACATAACAGAGGAATAATAAAATTTTTATATCACATATTACATAATTTATATTACATATATATCAACAATATTTTATACTTACATATTTTCAAATTCATTCTCTAGTCTGGCGAGCTGTTTCAGACGATTTGTACACATGCACTCTTTTACATTCCTGTTGGTTAAAATCAAAAAGATAAGAACTACATACTCTGTATATAATGGAAATTGTTTATAATATCGATTTTGATGATGTTTTATGATTAAAATGTCAAGTCCAGTGATTCACAAGCATTTTCCACCATAGCTTTTGATGAATATTGTGACCACTGATTGGGCTGAACAAAACAGAAATGGAAATGACGGAATGGATGAGAAATACATTATCTTTAGAGTAAATATCACTTTTCGCAAAAATATATATATTTTTTCTAGCTCTGTAAATATCATTTCTGGATAGTTTAAATTCCACAAAAGTGGCATTTTTACTAATCTAAACAGCTTGTGTATAAAATGAACCAGGGTGCTATTTAAACGCTGTAAAATAATTATTGAAAGCAGCTAATAATGAAATTGTTAACAGTTTACAATATAGAACAGAAGCAGGAAACAAAAATCCTTCTCAATATATAATTTAAAATAGTTACTTAAAACTTGATTCTATTTCTAATAATAAAACTTCACAATTGATCCATCTGTGTTACTTCATTTTTTCATTGATCATTTAAATAAAATGATATTTTATACTCATTTAGTTAATAATATTCTCAATTTTACTATATATTGTAATGTAAATATTATATAGTGATTTTAAATAGTGGCGCGAAGGCAGTGACGTCATAAACTACTGTCAAAAATTGGCTAAAACAGATGGAAGGGGAAGCAAGTGCCATATGTTAAGCAGTAGGTAGCCAGCTGGCTAGGAAAGAGGGTTGAGACTAGTAGAAAGTGATGTACAGGGAAAAAAAGCTCATCCAGACCAACAAGTAGTGATTGTCTAGACAAAAACAAGAAAATAGAAGAACAAGAGAAGGTTGTAGAAGTTGAACACAACAATACAGAGGAAGATTCACTGCAGAACAGGGTGAGTGAAATATAAATAGTGACAGTACGAAAGCACACCAAGAGTAATGTAGTAGATAGATAGCCCCCTGTATTTACTCCTTTATGTGACATTGTGTGAGGGACTGAGAAGGAATATATAATATATAGGAATGTTAGGTTGCACTGTGAATTGTACTTAATTGTGCAGTGGACAAATTGTTCATTGAAAAGTCTCATATCAATAAACAATCGATGAAGGAGATAACGAAAGGAAGCAGCAGGTAGCAACAGGTGGAGAAAGACACTGGAGAGAAGAGAAGGCACTCTATGGAGGGACAGTTAGAAAGGAGGTTGTCAGAAGAGAGGAGAAGGGACTTGAGGCTGAGACACGGAGGTGAGAGTACGTTACCTGAGATGAGAGAGGCAGGACATTGAAGACCAAGAATATCAAGCCACAGTTATAAGACTTTAATAGATTCACTTATTACAGTTGTAAAATAAATTGTTTTGTTAGACAGGAGAGAAAAGTCATTATATATATATATATATATTCTTATTGTTTCTTCTCACTTAGTGTCACAAAAGTATTAGGTTCTCGAATTCCCAACAAGAGGTAAACACCCTCAAAAAGTCTATATCCAGTGCCAGGGTTTTGTTTCAATAATCACAAGTGTAAATAACCTAGTCCCCCGATATAAAGCGGAAGGATATTCACTAGTCCCGCCAAAAGGTCATTGACAATTAACTTTTAATAGGTTATTTACAGTAGACCCCAACAAAAAATGGAAATTGATAAATATGTTATATAAAATTAATGTATGTCTTTGTATTCCATATTTGAGAAATATGTGTTAGTTGTCTCAACCCAACCTGAGAAATAATTATTGTTTAAAATGAATATAATTTGATTCAGAAACTGTTTTGTTTACTTTTCAAAGGAAATGCAATCTTACAATATGTTATATAGTAAGGATAAGTGTTACGATCATGAAAATTTTTGAATCTGAGTTTCCAACGGAAATACATGTTTTGAGGTTCTCTGAGTCCAAGTCCCACAAAATGGTGTGTGTATGTGTGTGTGAACGGCCTAGCTTAAAAACGAAAAGTCGTATGAAACTGAAATTAAGTATTTAAGTTTTTAAAAGCCTAGGGTGTTACAGCTACATTTTTGTCAAAATCCACAAACCGAAAGTGGTACTTTATATCGGAGAGAAGAATAGTTGAGGTGATCAGTCAAATAAGTACTTTATATTATTTATTTAACACATTTTTACGATTTTCTCAAAACTAATATACTTACTCAGTATATCAGTGTATTATAAACTATTTTTTAATATAATCTAGGTTTTATTCTCATTGATGTTTTCTAATGGGGCTTAAATGGCTAATTTTCAATATTAGCTTCCTCTCTCAATATTAGTACCTTTAATTTTTTTTATTTGAAATAATTAACCATTATTTGAGATACTTATATCTATTAAAGGTCCTACCAGTCTAAACCAAACTCACTTTGACAAAGCGCCATATTGATCCTAGATGTTATCAACATGGCATCCTATTAAATATGAATATAAATCAAATATTACCATACTTTATTCTAATAAATCTTGCCGCCTTAATACAAAAATTTATAGGAAATAACCAATTATATTAAATTTAACAGTGCAAAAACTTAATTTTTACTATATATTACCTAGATACCTACTATAGAACTATTATTTACCAAGAAAAAGGAAATAATATGTGCATTCATATTTACTAAATAAAAACTTACTTATTCTCATATACTGCTTTGAGCTTCAGTCTCGACATACCTGGTTTTTCTGTGCAACATCGCCCACCTTTCTTGCTATAACAATAAATTAAGTTTAAAATCTTGCTGCATCATATATAAATAACAGATTAGAAATTGTTTATTTCAAAATAATTTTCTTTAATAAATTGCCAAAATTTTATTGGCTCTGACACCTTGTAACACGTAGATGGCAAAAATCTCATATTGTTTATGGATTCAAAGGTGGCTAATTCTTGCTGTGTCACGGCCCAATGACTCCTTTACTCAGGATATTCTGGAGTGCCAAAAGACCGTAGAGGAACTACTTCTTCAAGGAACAGAAGTATTCTTTCAATAGATACCAAGTCACTATTGTCTCCATGGAAACAAAATGGCTGATAAACTCCCCAAGGAAGGCTCCACATTGAACCAGTCAGAAAATGGAATATCGTATCATAGAGGCAAAAATAAATAAATTATCTACTACTGGATTCCGTAAAGAGCTGTATTGCGGAAAAGCAATGGAGAAAATTGTTTAATGAAGCGGACTGAGTTCCCATGAACCTGCCGAGAAAGGAAGCTGTGGCAATGTTCCGGATGATAAAAGGCCACGACTACCTTAGGAAGCTCCTGCACAGAATAGGAGTTTCAGAAGTCTCCACATTGTAATTCAGGAGCACAAATGGAAATGGCTCTGTTTCTCAGAACATATTACTGGAATTACTTCTTGTGGTAGTGTCGAATAGTGAATTGTGGTGTCTACACAAAAAAACATTAAAACTAGGCAGAGGTCTAGAAATCGAGGAATTTATTTATATGTAGTTTTTGCAGCAGAGATTTCGAGGGTATCCAATTTCTGGAAACATATCACCTGCAAAGTCAAAGATTTTCTTTAAAAAATTTTCAGGAATAATAACAAAGCAGATTTTAATGCCAGTAAGGATGGCTTAATAATATAAAAAGCAGGTGTGGAATATGTTTTTTATTTCACAGGAAAATTATTTTTCATTATCGACAGGTCCTAGAAACACCTGTGTGTTTGAATTATCAAGAACATCCTTTATATTTAAGTTTTCAATTTTATAACATACCATTTTAATCCCAGCTCCTGTACTAGCATCTTTCTGTGTATTACATTCTCTTTTCTTTGGATTATAGGATCAGGATGTGAGCTAAAATAATAAATCAAAAATAAAATAATGAAATCCTAGGTAACTAACAAGTAGGCTTATAGCTATTGGAATAAGCATCATATTAATAAATAGTAGATGAAAGTATATAGGTTAGGATTACAAACAACAATAAAGAGGTTTGCCAGGATTTGTTTATATCAGGGGTCTCCAAAATGTTTGGCCCGTGAGCCATACTGAGGCTTCCACTTTAGTCCCACAGACCATGGGCTTGCGATAAAATAAAATGTCTTCTATAAATGACAATTCAACTGTGAAATGAGCTTTAAGAGAATAAAACCCATACAATAAATGTTGCAATAACCTCCTGTATGAGTAATTTGTTAAATTTCATATTTTTTAAATAGTTTTGAAAACTTTACCATGTAATCAAAGAAACCTTCGCAAGTGGTTACAGGCCATAGGTAGTTTGGAGACCCCTAGTTTATGTTAAGTGGACAAGGCAACTGGAGGATATATAAACAGTGAAAACAGAATATTTCTTTTTAGTAATTTAATTTTAAAAACACAGTATTCACTGTACAGAATTAGTTATTAATATTGGTGAATGAAAGAATTTTTAAATAAAGTATTCACAAGAAAGATTTTGTTGTCAGTTTATTTATGAATTAAATAGGGAGCACAAAATTTCAATAAAAGAAGTCATAACAAAAAAACGTAATATGATTTGTGATGTGTAATATGATTTGTGAAATCTAATAATCACTCAAATCTTTTTTATTGTTTATTTTATAGAACATCATTTAGACAATATAATCAAATATTCAAAGCCTGCAATAAATTATTCTTAAAATTTCAATAAGGTAAGCATCATTCCAAATTTTTTAATCTTCTGACAGGGGCACCTCCTAAATAAAGAAGAGTGGATTCAAATATCCCACAGATAACAAGTGTCATTAACAAAGATTTTTTTTCTTAAAACATCAAATCTCTATTTAAAAATGTTATTTAGGCTAATACACACATTATTCGAACAGAAAATAAATAATTTTTATACAAAAATATTTAAAATTAAGCATGTCATATTTTATGATCATTTATTTCAATTTTAAAATAAGCAGCTCACAGAAAATTGAATTTAAAATTTAGATCTGCATCAATCACCAAATTATTTATTAACCATTGAAGAATATTCAATATATCTTTTTTTAAATTGTTAATTAACAAACCATTGGTACAATTCACATTTGAAGAGGACGATTCTGGTTATTTAGATTTTCAAAAGTGGCGTGCGTCTTGTGATTGAGTAGGCACTAGTGATGGTTCTTCTAAATCTTCTTGTTATCATTCAGGACGTAACTTTTTTTTTTTAACTTAGATACAGAGTTTTCTTGTTACTTTCGTACTACTCCTTTGAGTGTGGTCCATTTCATTCCAAACATGTCTAAGATATGTTCTCCTCTTTATATTATCGTTTTTGTTTACAGGTTATAAATCTATCTCAATACAAGTGTTTAACTTTTTGAATGACAAAAGATTTGTGAGGAGCTATGGTTTTCAGATAATAATAAAGTATTTCACACATCAAGGCCATTCAATTTCACTATAAATTCGAAATATAAAATTTGTACTAAATAATCCCAGAAAAATGAATTGTTAAAATATTAAGTAGACAGGTGCACATATACCTCACTTCCTATTTAAATAAAAGATGCAGTCTGAATGTTGGAATCATTAAAAAGATGGAATTCTAGCTCACAAAGTGAGATTTAAAAACAGATACTTTTTTTTTTTTTAAATGATTAATCATATCATATTTCTTTAGGGTACAATCAATTAAATATACATAACTCTAAACCACCAGATTCTTGTAGGCTTCTTTAAAATTATGTATTTGTATCTAGCATCAAAATAAATCTTGAGTTAATAAATATGATGCAATTAACTGGATGAATAATATACTTACACAATATTCCTTCCTTCCTCGAAAGCCATATTCTTTAGTATTGTCCTGACCTGCTCACTGCTATAGCAGTTGGCTTGAGGAGGATCCTGCTCTTCTCCTTTATCTCTGAAAATGTAACTTCATCATTAGTATCAATAAAACCAAATGTTTTTCATGTCCTAATCATCCTGTGCACAGTGTCGGCTATATTTTGGACAGGGCCCAACATTCATATTGTTTCACATCCCCAATGATTTCATTGGTAGAGTTATAAGATTGTTCATTCATAAAACATTGTGTTATCACATGCTATACATATGTGATATATTTATATTATACAGATTTAAAACTCTGAATGGGTCTCTAGTATATTTTGCAGAAATATATAAAATTGAAAAATAATAATATATAATATACATAACAACTGTCAACAACACAGATGTAAACGCAAATATTAGTTTAGTTTCAATACAATATTATAGTGTCATTAATCAAATGCTATAGTTCAAAATGGTGTGGACATGGTTAACAGTAGGTTTTTTAATTTCAGAAGTAGTTAGTCAGTGGTAGGGTCAATATATAAAATACTGTATTACATAATAGTATTTTACATTGAATTTTCCAATGTTTCGACCTATGTTGTAGGTCTTCTTCAGGGCTCAAAAAGATACAAACGATATATGTTAATTGGTACAAGGAACAATCAATGATAAATAATATATCTGATGATATTTACATACTTTACCAACAAAAGGCCAACAATTATTTTTAGAACCTCTTTAGTCCTTTTTTACAGATTCCGTAGACCTATACTTCTACCTTACCAACAACAGTCCGTCAGTCTCTTTACTGCTTCTGGCAGTGCCAGATGGGAAATTATGTCTGACTTTTATTATTTTTTTAATTTTATTTCTTAATGATATTTACAACTGTATTAAAGAACATATGTATATAATGACGTGAAAACACTTGTTGAGAAACTACCCAATGGTAGCACTCTAATGGTATGTCTATGTTAGAAGATCACGGGGCCATCTTCTTTTCAGATGTCTCGGAGGATTATCAGGAATTGAAGAGGATGCAAAGTTAGAAACAAGAGAGTTGGGATGATTTTGACGTTTATTATGGAAGGATAGGTATCTGGATTGGGCCAGATCTGAAACATAAGAAACATTAAGATCATTATGGATGTTTTACTTGGAACAAAGTAGAGAGCATTAGTGGAGCCCCATAGCTCAATTCCGTAAGCCCAAATAGACCTTATTATAGTCTTGTATATGAGTCTTTTGTAATTAATTGGAAGTAGAGAGCATTTGTCGAGTAAGTGCTGAAGTAATCGGAAACGTCGAGCAGTTTCTTGTCGTTTCAGTCTGGTATGAGGATTCCAAGTTAGACATTTGTCCAGGTGGAGTCCTAGATAGCAGATTTGCTCAACAGGGATAAATGGAGTATTGTTAAAGGAAACTGTAGGACAGGAAGTCATAGGTTTACGACGAAGGGTAAAGGTAATTTGGTGGAATTTATTTTAATCCTGCAGTTTTGACTCCATTCTTCAAGATTTGCGATTTGTGATTGAAGAGTTTGGGATGCAATTGATGGGTCATTGTTTACTGATAGGATACATGTTTTATTAGCATATGTGGTGATTGGGATATCAGCTGTATACTTTTATTATTACTTTTTTTTTTTTGTTAATATACCTTCTACATATTACTCTTAATATATTCCATATATCCTACTTTCCCATTACCACTGCCAAATAGAACTGAATGTCAACTGTCATTTATATATGCTATAACATTCTGCAATATCAGAACTTTATTTATATTCTAATCTTACATGCTAAATTCAGTTTGTTATTTTCATCAGATTGATAAATACCTTAAACAGATAATATATAATCTAATATAGGCAATTACATATATATACATTGTATTTCTAACTATGCTGTAATTTTACCACATCACTTATGTTATTTCATGGGTTTCACAATTACTTTCTCTAGCTATAAGCTGTACTATTTCAATATCGACAGATATAGCAATTATCATTATATAGGTCTAGGGAATCGGTAAAAAAGGACTAAAGAGGTTGTAAAAATAATTGCTGGCCTTTTGTTGGTAAAGTATGTAAATATCATCAGATATTTTATTTATCATTGATTGTACCTTGTATCAATTAACATATATTGTTTCTTTCTTTTTTAGCCCTGAAGAAGACCTATAACGTAGGTCGAAAAACTGGAAAGTTCAATGAAAAATACAATTATGTAATATAGTATTTTATATATAGGCCACACCCCTAACTAACTTCTTCTGATATTGTAGTTCAACCTATATACATATGAAATGCATTGATCGCCTGATAGTTCACAAATTATAGGTAAATATTGTCCAAATTAAATATTTTTTAATAACATTGTTTGAGTCTGTGCCCTAATAACTTACACAATTTATGTGCTTAAAAAAAGCACCATAAGAGTTAAGCACATGACACAATTTGATCCCAACAAGACAATCAAATTTTCCTATTCCTGATAATAATGAAAATCTAATGCCATCTTTTATACAGCAATAGTGCCTGGTGAAAGGATAGAAGAACTGAAGAGCTTCGAAACATACTTTGTGAATCCTCTGGATTAATCACTAATACCTTGTTGTAATCACACAAGATCATTCTCCTTCAATAATGAACTCAAATTGTGGTTATGAAAATTTCTTAGGAAGAAAATAAAAAACCTTTGTTGTTAAACATAATACCACCTGCCTTGTTAAGGGTAGTTGAACTGGGCATAGCGTGAATTTAAAGTTGATTATTAAACTCCCTAAGAACGGGTAACGGACTCACCAAGTGGCCAAGCACTGCCTTCCTGAAAGATCAGGATAACACAATTATCAATCAACAGATGATAATACAATTATCAATCAACAGATGATAGCATGATTCTTCTACTTAAAATGAGAAACACATACTTCGAGGAGAGATCAGTAGTTCATGCTAGGTAATAGGTTTAGACCTAGTACGAGTGACAATGCTTTTTCAAAAATACTACAGGGTCGATTATCAGGCAATATTACCCTGTATTAGTCCCCTAGGTCAGGGGTATTGACTTGTGGGCTAATTTATGGAAGCTGAATTTTTTTAAATGTTTCAATTTCAGAAATGGTGTATATTATACGAGGCATATTCAAAAACTAAGATCCTATTGATCATGCAATTGGTGTCCTAACCAAGACACCAAGATCTTGACGATATCCAGTAGGATCCCATCTACTCCTCAAAATCCATAGACACCATGGTAGAAACCCTTACCACTCAACTTCACTCTATCCTCGACCGACATGCTCCTCTTATCACAAAAACCATCCGATATCCTCCAGCTCCTTGGCTTACTCCTGCTATGATAAAGTGTATGAGAGAAAGAGATGCTGCAAGGCGACGGTTTAAACGAACTCGACTTCCTGATGATTTTCTCTCCTTCAAACAGCTTCACAACAGCACTTAATCAGCAGTACGCCGTGCTAAATCCCGTTACTACCATCTTCCCCTATCCAACTCTCTTAATACCAAGGCCTCATGGACTCTTCTTAGAAAACTGACCATTGGTAATGCACCCCAGTCCCACTTCAATTCCATTTCTGCTGATAACCTCAACGCTCACTTTGTCTCCTGCCCTATAGCAACCACTTCTCCTACATCCAGTCTGGCTCCTATGTTTTCTTACTTTAATCCTGATCACTTCTTTTTTTCCCATATTACACCAGATGATCTCCTTAAATCCATTCAGAAGTCCCATACCAATGATGACGGGCCCGATAACATCCCAGTCAGACTGATTAAAGCCTCATTGCCATCCATTATTCTGATCCTTTATCATATATATAATTATTGTCTTCAAAATGCTACCTTCCCTACATCCTGAAAAACCACCCTAGTACACCCCTTGAAGAAGACCTCAAACCCTTCAGCTCTTAATGATTTCTGACCAATTTCCCTTCTTTCAAACCCCTCAAAAACTTTAGAGCGTTCAGTCCAATCTCAGCTATCCCATTTTTTAGAGGACACTAATCTCCTAAATCCCTACCAGTCCGGTTTCAGGCCTGGTTATTCTACTCAGTCCGCCCTAATCAAAATTTCTCAAGACCTTCACACAGCCATAGATCAGCAGAAACTAACCATCCTTATACTCCTAGACTTCTCCAAAGCTTTTGGTTCAGCAGACCACAACATGTTCCTAACCAAACTTAAAAATATCTCTTTTTCTTCTAGTTCCCTTAATTAGTTCCAATCCCTCCTTACCTGTCGCTCCCAGTATGTTGTAATTTCTAATAACCCCCCATCAGAATCTCTACCTTTTTTCCATCTATATAAATGACCTCTCATCCTCTATCCTGCACTGTCAATACCACCTGTATGCCGACGACATTCAAATTTACCTCTCCTTTAATCCAACCGATTTCTCAGATGCCACTCTAAAACTTCAGGAAGACATTGACAGAATAAGTGCTTGGGCAAACCTCAATAGGCTCACTCAGAACGCCGAGAAGACAAAAGCCATCTTGATCGGATCCCCCTCTCTCCTCAAATCCTACCCGGTATCTCCCAATCTCCTTCTGAACAACTCACCTATCTTATTCCACACCACCATTAAAAACCTAGGCGTTACTTTCGATCAATCCCTATCCTGGAAACCTCACATCTCCCAAATTTCCCATCGCACTATCTCCACCCTAAAACAGTTCAATCGTCTACGATATCTCCTTCCATATAAGTCCCGTCAACTCCTAGTTTGCTCACCTGTTTTCTCCCACTTTGACTATGGCTGTATGGTGTACAGTGGACTCTCAGGAGATTCTGAAGCCAAACTTAAAGTCCTAATGAATTGCAAATTACGATTTGTTTTCGTAATCTCAAGGGATACGCATATTGCCCAGTGTTACACTGAGTTGAGATGGCTCTACCCATCCTATCGCCGTCAGTACTTCCTAGCCACCTTTCTGTACCAGATCATTAGAACTCATTGACCCTCCTATATTTTTCACAGCTTACAGTTCAAATACTCCATCCAATCCCGTCTCACTAGATCTCGTACTTCCGACCTCTATCCTCCTCCTCACCGAACTGCTGCATTTGACTAATCCTTTACAATACAAGCCGTCTACTTCTGGAATTCCATCCCTGCTGATATTCAACACGCTCAATTAGTTTTCTCTTTCAAACCTCTCCTCTTTAAACACCAACTCCTTTCTCAATCCGACTGATTGCGAAATATACTTAAGAAAAATATCTAAGCACCCCCAGAGACTACCTCAATTTATTTAGGTTATTTTAGTTTCTTATATATATGTACAATTTTCTTGTTCTTTTCTTTCTCTTCTTCAGTATTTTTATTTTAGTCGACTCTTATTCTAAATATATAATCTAATTGTAACCACACAGACATACAATCTGTATTTATAATTTGTTCTAAAGGTCTATCATTAGTTAATTATTGGTCACTGGACCTTAGTTTTGGAATACACCTCATATAATAAGAAATAAGTAATAGTAGCAATTAAAATAAATTTATTGCAGTACTTCATTCATACCATTCATAACTACAAAAACTTTCAGCAAGAAACACTTTGTATGTACGTAGACACTATTTGTAAAAGGCAACCAATATATCCAAGGTATCCATTTCTTCCACAGAGTGTTCTGATCGCATATTAATAGCCCCAAGCTGCGGTTCCCCAAGAGCTGTGCCAATATCAACATGATGATGTTATAACAGAAGGAATTTAATTTAGGATTACTTTTTTCAATTTCTGAAAATTTCTTTTGACTACATCTTTAAACTCCGCTGATGATCCCTAATGCCAGCAGAAACATTTTTTTTCCTAATAAAGGGAAATAAAACAAATTTCAAACCAGCTGTAAATATCAACTCATATCTCCTCCACCCCTCACGTCCTATTTTGGTAACCAAATGATAAGAAATTTTCTTCACCAATCATGAGAAATAAAATTTGTCTTGTTCGGTCAGTGCTTTCCCACCCAGGCCCCAGATCTTTCATTGGCAGCTTAGACAATAAATTGACACAACTTAGCAAAAATAAAACCTGTCTTTTCATAGTAATTATCAACTTGTTTATTATTATATTTAATGGACAAACTCATAAAAAAGAATATTTATTTATTCTTTTTTCATGCACAACATGGACATATTCTATAAAAAAACTTTAAGAAATCAAATATCAAGAAAAATTTGGGTGTTAAATAGAAGAATAAAATAATGAGTTATTTACTTCGGCAATGGTGGGTCAAGGTCTTCTATCTCTTTTAATATTTCTTTTTCAAGGATTTCGTACTGGCATATTTCAACTTCACTATTTAATTTGCCATCTATATTCTTCTTAAATTTTTGTAGCTTGTTAATTAGATTTTTTTTGCTGGAAAAAGTATATGTAATGTAATATACACCTTAATTGAAAGTTGTTAAAAATGGTTTAATAAATTAATGTAACAGTTAAAAGGCAAGCTAATCTTGTTCTACTAGTTCAGGGAAAAGAAAATAGCTGCTCTGTAGTTTTCCCAAAAAGGAAAATCCGAAAGAGGAGAGAGGACAAAGGATTTTTGTTAGGGCAAGCAGTTGGTGTTTGGCTGCAGTGAAAAGAGGGGATCCGGGCTTCATTGGGTAAAACCCAGTAATAGTATTTCCATTTTGGAAGTTGTTGTTGTTAAGAGGCTAGTTGTTTGGAATTAAAAGAGAGAGGACCTCCCAGGGAGCTTGAGTTGAGTAGAAGAAAGTGTCACCATTTTGGAAGATGTGTTTGGCAGAACATAAGAAAATGTTAGAAGACAAATGAATTTAGTGCAACAAAGGAAGAAACAGCACCTGTCAATCCATACTTGACTTTATTTTAAAATCAGTTTTTAATTTTAGTATAAATAGAGTAAATAATAATAGTATGTCTGAGTGTTTTGATCTGATTGTCAGTAACCCATACTTGAGATAAAATAATTATAAATTTCAATTTAATATATTAATACTCTTATAATTTCTTTTTTATTTAACTACCCCTTATTTATTTAGGAAGTATCCCAACGGTATAAAGTGACCTTCAACGAGGTCATATTACTAGTTAAAAATTATAAGAGAGATATTACAGTATATATATTTTAGCTTACAATAAAATATTGAATTGAATAACAATCATTCCAAATTTGATAACAGTTTCTTAGAGATATTGCTAACAAATTGGTAAAAACCATTTCGACCAAACTATGTAGGTCTTCTACATTAAGGCTAGAACGAACAAGACAAAAAAAGGCTGTAGAAAACGGTAGGAGTTACAAGATATTTAGATAAGAAAAATTATAAACAGAATAAATAAAAAGTATATAAAAGCAAATAACATTTTATTTATTCTGTTTATAATTTTCTTGACTTTTTATCTAAATATCTTGTAAATCGTACAATTTTCTTAAGCGTTTGTGTCTTGTTCGTTCTACACCTGATGAACACCTGTATAGATGGGTCGAAACTTCGGAGAGAGAAACACTTTATTTTCATAAAATATAAAGGATTGCTGCCAAATTATATTGGGTTGCTATACACACAGCATACTCTTCTATCCTTAGGACAATATATGAACTTATATATAAATATACAGAAGTATTAGTTAATATTAGTAAAATAGATATATATATATATATATATATATATATATATATATATATATATATATATATATATATATATATATATATATATCTATGGTCTATCTATATATATATATATATACATTTTTATTATTTTTTTTCCATTTTTTTTTTCCTTTTTCCTTCCTTTCATTGTTTACGCTTTTTTTTTTTTTTTTTAACATTTAGTTTCCCTTTCTCTCACTTCTCTCTCTTTATCTCTATTGTTTTCAATTATTCATTAAATAAATACATAAATTAAAACTCTCGGGCTAGCCATGCACGTGGTGATTGTTCACCATTTTTTATGACTGCCACCCAGAACCATCTCTTTCCTCAATATTATAATAAGGTCAATCATTGAGTATTAAACAAGGCAAAAAATGTTTTATTTGCTTTAGCTTTTGAAAATTCTGACTTAAACATTTCTCTAGTTTCAAAGGATATTCCATACATAATCTTGAATTCATGTAATGAATACAATTGGGACAGAAAATGTATAAATAATAAATAGGCAAAATGTCTCTCATACATCTTACTATTAATTTTTTTTTCAAAAGAATATATTATTAAGTAAAGTTTATTATTTCGAGGAATATATTTTATAACACTTATTTACTCCATAAAAACTTTATTTAATTGTTGTATTTTGACAATGTTTTGGGCAATTTTGCCTATTTTCATGTCAAAAATGTTTATTTCTAATGATGGGAATGAAACGCTACAATGTAAAAGAATGTATAATATATAATTCTTAAAAATATTAACCTCTAAGGAAGTTGAATACCACCAATAATATAAGAATAATCCTAGAATACTTGAATATGAATAAAATACACCTAAGTAGAGGTTTCTTTGAGAATCAGAATACAAGCAAATTATTAGCAAAAATCATCTATTGTGTGAAAACAGATTCTTATATCCGACCCTCCTCTTGGAGTTATTTATTTTGCACGAGGCACCTGTTTGCTACTTAATCTATTTAGATTAGTGGTACGATTAGGTTCAAAATATTCCTGAGCTTGATTCCACTTTGGAAGAAAAATGGTTGGGATTCTTCAACTTTCTCATTTTTCCTAAGAGAGTAGTAAACAATAATTCCCTCCAAATATCCGTTTTACAACTCTTCAGTATTTTTTGACCTAATACTTACAACTTATTGTTTAAAGCTTTGTTAATACTTTTGCAATGTTTCTTTTCTCGCTCTATTCCTCCACACTTTTTGGTCTACTTCCAGACAGCTTTAAAAAGTGCTGCATGGCCAGGCCAGTTTAACGTTTTGAGTCCGTCTTGCATTGCCAATATTATGCTATATTTCCTTCATTTCCCAAACTTTCTAGGTTGTTTCCATTTCTACATCCTTAATAATGTTCCACTTCTCACTTCCTTGTATCTCGGTCTGCAGCTAATTCCTTAAATTTCTTATTAAGAAGTTTTCATTTCTTTTCTATTCATTACAGAAGATACTACTACTTTTGACATTGTGACTCATAGGCTGCCAGTTTTCTTTATTCTTTGCTGCTGCCTTCCATTTTCTTACTCCAAGTAGGGATCTTGCATCAGTAGCCATGCAATCTTTTCACCAGAGCCAAGGACGCCCAACCTGCCTAGTATAAAGTTGTTCCTATAGGATCCTGGGAGGTATCTCGTTCGGATCCATCATTGCAACTATGCATCTTTATGTTTTTAAGGATGTGTATACATTCACTTCCTTATATTCTTTATTTAATTTGGCAATAGCCCTTTTCAAGACGCCTTGCTCTCATATACGACTAAGCACTTTCCTTTTAAACCTGAGGACTTCCTTTTGGGCTTTAGTCGTAGTCCAACATTCTGAACCATATGTAAGCACTGGTCAAATGATTGTTTTATATATCCTTTCCTTTGACCCCTTAGACAAAGGACCACTTCTTAAATGTTTTTGGAGGGAGATAATTGTACAGACAACAAATAGATTCGATTTTCTGAGAGGATTCATCTTTGAATTTGTTCCTCTACGCTGTTCTCATGATTCATCTGAAGGTCTAATAGGCCCATTAATTAATATGACCTAGGACTATTTCGTTCAGTCCATATTTTCATCTTCCTATCTATGTAACATATATTAGGGATCACCAAAAAACTATTATCTTCCTGCTGCACAATCTACAAGTGAGTGAGTGCTCCTGGGCAATAGTGAATTTTGCATTTTAAAACTACAGATTGCTGTAGTAAAGCTATGTATTTTTGATGTTAGAAACAAGACCCCAGAATTTTAAACAATGTATTATTTTATGTATAATTATTATAACAATGTTATAATTTTAAAAAATATTGATTAATTCTACGACTGATGAATTCATAGATGTTTAAATTCTTGAACAAGAATTTGACTTGCTCCCTCAAATAGTGTAAACCACCATTAGCATCTTATAGGCATTTATTATTCTTTTCTTAACCTCACTTATTCATTTAATGTCTTGTCAATATTTAAATGATTCTTCCGATACTTACTCGAGTTTAACTTGTTTTTTTAACAAAAAGCTTAATTGTTTTATAAAGATGTCTGTAATTCACCTAAATATGTAGATATGAAATGTAGATATAATAGTCAGTGGCTTGATTTGTGTTTAGGTCACATTTCACTTGCTTTTATATGAAATTGTTAATTACTTGTTTAAAATAACTATTTCACTGCTAAATTAATAATATATAAATTCTAACTAAACATATGGTATGAATACTAGGTTAATATGAAAGATATTGATTACTTGTTTCCAAAGGATTGCGAACTTGTTTCAACACTGAAAACAAATAAACGTAATTATTTAATAAATTTATATGCGTTCAATGTTGAAGAAATAAAATGTTTATAAAAACACGGAGATTTAAGGTGTTCTTAAAGTCATAAAACAATTGTTTTAACTTGGTGTCAAAACCGAAATAATTTTTTTTTTTTTTTTTTAACTTAATGTGAGTGAGGTAACTCCAGAGCTCAAGGTCCCAGGTTCAAATCCAGCTGATGGCTCGTCATTTTTCATCATCCGTGGGTCGACTGGGATCAGGAGACCCTCTTTGGGCATACCCAGCCTCTGTAAAGTGGGTACTCTTAATTAAATAATTAAGGGAATCATTAGGTGTGTGGCAACTCTTAGTGTGGATTGGAGGATGAAACAGCCTATCACATTATTTGCAGATGTGATAATTTGGCTAGACTGTAATACTTTCACTTTGTATATGATTGTATCACTGACCCTAGCAATAGATTCTGCTAGTATTAACAAGTTCGCAAAGGCATCTGGCCAGTTTTAATAGTGCTTAGGACGATGCACAATAGGCCTCCAAGAAGAAACAGTGCATCCTAATGTCGGGTAAAAAAAATAGAGGGAGGGAACTTAGCGGTTGAGCATGATATCGGACCAATCACCTCTATGCACAACCGTTGGCCTTATAACAGTACTTTCTCACATTGTACTGAACCCAAGACCCTTCATGGGTAGTAGTGGTATTTTTTTTTGTTTTTCTTTCATTTTTTTTGTTTACTTTATAACTATGAATAATAATATGAGAAATATTAATTACTTGTTATCAGCAGATGACCGGCTCATTTCATTTCTGTAAAAATAAATATAGGTAAATCATTCATTAATCCATCAAATCTTAATGTTATGAGATAAATATTATTTAAGCAAGGAAAAGTAAAAATTATGCTAATAGTTATTCATATTGATGATTAAACCTATTCAGCACTGCATTTTTAATTTTTTTTTTTTTTTTTTATGAATACTAGTATGGGAAATGTTAATTACTTGTTTCCAGAAGATGAATGGCTCATTTGATTTCTGTAAAAATAAATATAGGTAAATAGTTCATTAATCCAACAAACATTTATGTCATGAGATAAATATGTTTCAACCAAGGAAAAGTAAAAATTATGCTGATAGTTATTCGTATTGGTTATTAAACTTATTTAGCATAGTATTTTTAATTTTTTAATTGTTTTTATGAATAATAGTATGAAAATGTCAATTACCTGTTTCCAACAGATGGCTTCCTTGTTTCATTTCTGTAAAAATAAATATAAGTCAATTGTTCATTAATCCATCAATATTCAATACTATGAAATAAAGATTTTTTGATTAATTAAAAAATTATTTAAAGATGCATTGGTATAATTAAAGAAATGCTAAATAAAAAATAAATAAAAAAGGAAAATTTATGTAAATAAATGCATGTCTTTATCAGTACAAAAGAATTGGAGATTAAAGATAAAATTACCACTTCCATTAGCCAAGCACTGGAACTTGTGCTGGTATAACTAAGAAGGATGGAAGAAGATAGCAAAGAGGCAGTCTTGCAGCAAAGAGCATAAATGTCAATAACAGCAAAGTCATGCAAAATCATGCTTGGGTTTGAAGATGTGTGCATCAGGAGAGCTATCAAGAAAATTGAACAGGAAAAAACTTGTACCAGTGGTGTTTCATAACTAGATTGAGCTTTTTAAGTCAAATGTTTCAAAATACAGAACACCTCAATTTAAAAAATTTTATGTGCTTTAAGGAAAACCTCTGTAAGTCAAAGTTAAGATTGCACCACCTCTACTACTTAAAGGAAAACGACGAGTGCCATTAGATTTAATAATTATACATGACTAAACTTTTTCTGTGATATTTTATTAGCTGAATCATTATAGATAATAATTTTACATTAATAAACTATCATACCTTCCTAAAGGGCTGCCAACAATGTGGAGATGTGGTCTGTTAACAAATATAAAAAAATGAGCAAAAAAAATTGGAGTTAGTATTTCATAAAATAGTAGTTCAACAATTTTTTTTATAATAGCAGAGTTAAAAGATACTTCTTAAGTTTTATAAAACGAGATATAGCATATCCAAGTCATATTCAACTTTTTTCTAGTTAAATTCAATTTTTTCCAAATCAAATTCAACTTTTTTCAAGTCAAATTCAACTATTTCTAAGAAAATTTCAATATTCCCATTTAAAATTCAACTGTCAATTTATTTTAACTTTTCATAAAAGAATTTTTTGATAAAAAAAAATGCATAATGTCTTGTATCAAAAAATTCTGAAAAGTTAAAATAAATCAAGAGCTGAATTTGGTAGGAAACAGGTTTAATTTGTCTTGTAAATAGTTGAATTTGACTTGGAAATAGTAAAATTTAACTAGGAAAAAATTGAATTTGTGAGAAAACGCAAATAAAAATTTATTTTATTTCATTTTTTATGTGTTTCCTCATAGTCTGCAATCCCCAACTGACTTTTCAACCATATTATCTAAAGTTAAAGTATTTCTTCATCATTATAAAAAATAAAAAAAAATAATGATTAATTTTTCTATTAGCAAAAATAAATAAAATGATAACTTACTTGTGCAATCCTTTTATCAGCGTTCTAAGTCTTTCACTATAATAAAGCAAAATATTACTCAATACTACCCAAAGTAACTCCATTAAAAAAATAATAAGTTATAATAAATTATGTTATATGGTATATAAATTCAGAACCCGCCATTTATTTAGGTTCTTTTTGTTTTTCTTTTGTTTCAATAAAGTTTTGACACAATTTGAAAGAATGTTTCGGAACAATATCCTGCTGGAAAATAAATCCTTAACCCACAATTCTCTGCCCACAAGGAAAATTGTTACGCTGCAAAATTCCGTGATATCGATATTTTTTTTTCATAATTCCCTATATTCAGACAAGATCTCAACTTTACCGCCATAAAAATATCCCCAAACCATAAATGATCCTACACCTTGCTTTACAGTTGGTATTATACATTGATTTATCACACATTCACTAACCATACAACGAACATACTGCCTTTGTTTACTTCCAAAAAGATCAAATTTTGATTCGTCGGTGAACAACACTTCCAACCACTATTAAACAAACCAATTTCCATTATTTGGGCCATTCTAATAATTTGTTTAGTTAATAATCTTAGTCTTAGGTGCAATTTGTCTAGTCGAATTGCCTTCTATATGTAATACAACCATAATGGCACATGTTTCAACACTCACCTCTGGTTTTCGACCCATAACAAACCCAATAAAAAATTATTAATGTTTTATTTCAATATTTACCGGCTATTCTAAATTAAAACTTTAAAATAAATTTTTTTTAATGTATTATGTACATGAAATTACCTTAGAATGAATCTCAGAAAATAAATGGTAAATATAGTACAAATTAATGAAATATTTTTAGGTACACTATTATTAGTTTGCCTGATCAATCACAAAATAAAGAGATCCTAAAGGAATATTAAACAGTTTTAAGTTGGAAGAGGATTATTAGAATGTTTATTGATGTTTATGTTTGATGTCTTATCTCTTGAGTTAGAATTATTTTATTAATCTTGAAGATAGCGAATTAAATACAACTGGGTCTAAAACTTTGACTGGTACTGGATGTATGTGGGAAAAGCTCTCATATAATAGTGTTGGTCTCAACTGAGAAATATAATTAAATATAACCAAAAAAAATTAAATGAAAATTTTCAAATTATAAAAAATCATACATTTAACAAAAAATCTTCTTGTAAATAGGTAAAGATAGAAAATGATACTTTTCACAAAAGGGGGAAATATAGGTAACCAACTTAAGCAAGACACTTGTAGCGTTCATGGAACCTCATGTTATTGGAATAACAATCTAATCAGGAATTATTGCATGCTATTGAAAGAATGTAAAAAAATAAAATAAAATAAAATAAAAAAAAAAATAACATTAAAGTCAGAATATTTGATTAAATATATCAAATATTAAATTCTTTCATAGTCATCAGGCTTCAACTATAAAATTTATTAGGCAGGATTGCATATCTTCAACTAAGGAAAATAGAATATTTGAATATGGCCTTTACATAGAATAATATAGGATAAGAATTAACAGTAGGTAATTCAATAAATAGGTGATAAATGGTCATTTTGAATGTTTTTATAAGTATTTTTTATAGGCACCAATAAAAAATATTCAAAATGACTGCATCCTGACTATTTATCACCCATGATAGGTAGAACAGTTGACTAACTTCTTTTAATAGTTCAATATATAAATATATTAACTTCTGAAATCAGAGACAATTTTTTTAGGCATATAAAGTATGGAAATTTTTCTCTTCCATGTATACCAATTTATTCATGTGTCTAACGTTTCTGACTCTTTTTCCATCCTGAGACAGCTCCTTTTTATAATTGGTGTTAAGGCACATTAAGAAATTTGGACGCACCAAAGAGAAACATTTCCATACTTTATACCTAAAATAACACAAACTCTTCCTTGATAAAAATATAAAGATTAAATAATATAAGAAGAGAATATTTTTATTAAGTTACAGAAAAGGTTGAATGGTACTATTTCTTATTGTAATTACTAAAACTAAAAACAATAAGCATTACTAAAATAACTTTTCACTTAAAAAAAATAAGAAAAATTATATTACCGCCCATCAGGCTCTGATTTTCCAGCTACCTTTGATTCATATTTCTTTTCCCTGGAAGAAAAAAAGTAAAGTTTATTTTTAAAAATAATGTTATAGAAGTTAAAAAAAAAAAGAAAGAAAAATACTTACTCCTCATCTCTACATATCTCTGCAACTATTCTATCTTTTTGCAGTTTATGATCAAAAATAGCTATTTTAAAGCCAGGGATGAGCCTGAAAAGAAAATTAATTAACATATTGATAATACTGTTTCAAAATCAGATATATACGGGTTTGATGTGTCAAATAAATCACATTCTTCTGATCACATGATAGACTGAATCTATAATTTGAAACTCCATTGTGTCAAACAAAATATTCAAAACATCATTACAAAGTAGAAAAAGGAACTGAGTCTTCCATATTTGTAATGGAACCTTCAAGTACAATATGTCTATCCTAAAATATACAACTTTTTATTTCCACCACAATTCAGTACGTAATTATTCTTATTTCTAATATTTTTTTTAAATCTCAGAAATATTTCAAGGAAAATAAAATAATAAAAACTGGAGGCAGTAACCCCTTGATCTCTATTGTTGTTCCTACGCCGCTGCTCAAAATGACATTACCATAAAGAAGTTCTTGATGAGACTTGGAAAAAAGCAGGCTAAGAATGGAGGAATGAGTTGGCATCAGAATTAGGCCAAACAATCAATAAATACCCTTCGCTTCTAGAACTATGTGGCTGCTAAGCTTAAATAGAAATTAACTCCTATTGACCATCGGGGTAATTAGAGGTCATTGTAGATGTAGTCTACTGGGCTCAGATATGTAATCTCCAGCAACCCAAAATTTCCTCAATCGAATTACGTTCCCTTTGAAATTTCACAAAGTTCGATACGTAGGAATAATAGGTTTCCAATGCCTATCTAGGAAGAGGCTAAAGGATTGATATGCTTCATATTTTCTCTCCTACCCGTTCATTGTCAGTACAGGTTGAGTATCATCCCGAAGTGAAACCATGAGAATCTAAAAATTTTCAAGTATTCTCTAAAAGAGTATGAAACAAATTAACATTTGGAGTGTGGAAAATTCCTTCCATTTCTTTACATAAGTTTAATCCAACACTTAGGGCAGTTCAAAGTCAAAACATTAATCAAGAAATTTAAAGAAAATGCAACTATTACAGTTATTTTCTACAAATTTTATTAAAAAATTACTCTGATATTGTTTAAATATTATAGAAAATATCATTGATTTATAACAGTCACTAAATAATTGATGGAATGGAACTATTAAATACAAATTTGAGAATTTTGATCATATTCATTGAGGTAAACACTCATTAAGAGTATCAAAACAAGGCAAACCTTATAATATGTCAAACAATGACTGTATTAAGTAAGAAATACTTTGATTTTATAGAGGAAAAATTCATCAAACTGTTTGTTGATTTATTTTCCAAAATATTTCTTGACAATTGAGAGTAAACTATAAAAAAGTTTATTTTAAGATGCAAAAAAAAATCGAATAGTGATGAAAACTTAATTAGTAGCAATATCTTTGTTTCTTGGACTAATTCTGATATAAAAATTGATTTCTAAGCTAGGACTTACTTCTCCATTGCATCAAAATATTTTTTCTGCTGATCCAGATAGTTTTGAAGCTTTCCATTTATTTCCTCTAACAGTGATTTCCTGGAGAACATGTTTATATAGATTAATTTACATTAACATGTTGAATGAATTCATAGTGTTCAATTCTGAAAGTGAAATAGAAAAACTCTGCGATCAATGAAACATTAATAATTTTCGAAATAATGTGTTTCAAGTTTTATAAGTGATCAATGAGGCACAGAATCCCAAAATCAGGTAACCCTGTTATCCAATTTTTACTTTCACTTACCTATATATGTAATATATAATATGGGAAGAGGAAAGGATACCTGAGACTTGGAATACGGGCCTAATCGGTCCTATCCTAAAGAAAGGCTCAGTGTATCAGTGTAGTAATTACAGAGTCATAGCACTTCTTCCGGTTACATACAAGATAATAACCAATATCCTACTTGGTACTTGAAATTCCGAAAAATCTCAAGAAATTTCAAACTAAGCTTGTACAATACTATGATAAAGCCAGCCTTAATATATGGCTCTGAGACATGGACACTAACCAGCACTCTAGAAAAAAGTGTTGAAAGATTTGAGAGGAAAATTCTCCGCAAGATAGCCGGAGCGATCTGGTATCAGAGTACTAACACATGGAGAAGAAAGACCAATAAAGAATTGTGTAAAGAAACTGGTCAATCAATATTCCATGATACGAAGGCACAGAAGGCGGGGCATGTAGCTCGTATCAATCCATCTGGAAGCCTCTACGTAATTGTGAATGCATCAATGGAAGGCAAAAGACCACGTAGAAGGCCAAAAAGCAGATGGATAGATAGAATCAACAAAGATGCAACAGAGCTGCATGCAGATAAATTGAAAGAAATATCCCAAGGCAGGCAGAGATGGAGCGGGCTTGTTAAGGTGGCAAAAGATGTATATGGTCTGTAATACCAACAGAAATAATAAAAAAATAAATAAATAAAATATAGTAAGGGAAAGTATTGTGATCGTAAAAATTTTTTAATTGAATTTTCAATGAAAACACACGTTTTGATGTCTCCTGAGTCCAAATAACCAAGTCCTGCAAAATGGTCTGTGTGTGTGTGTGTGTGTTTGAACAGCCTAGCTCAAAAACGAAAAATCGGTCGAAACTGATATTACTTATTTAAGATAGGTATATGCCTGGGATGTGACAGCAACTTTTTTGGTTCCCCTCCTTGCTCTCTCATTTCAGCTATAGTGCCTCAATAATAATCGAAGGAACCTAAACATCAGAATATCTATGAGTTCAGATGAGGATTTACCAAAAACACTAATTTTCATTTGACTATGAGCTATGTCATCAGTTTAGATTGACTGCTTCTAGGTATATACAATTTTTTTTAGCAAAAAGCTGAACCAATTCTTAACTTAGATGCCTCAAATTATTCAATTAGATCCTACTAGCATTTGAGAACATAAGGGCAAATTTTTCTATAAAATTGTTAAAAGGTAAAAAATGATTTTTTGAGCCAAATTGACAGATTTTTTAAATTTGATGATTCCAATTACTAAGTGAGGCATTATAAATGTTTTTAAAAATTTAACCTCAAAATTATGATAGTATATTTGAACTACTCTCAATTTTATGTTACATTTACATCATATCATAAGTTCGGAACCACATATAATGAATACAAATTGTCAATACTTAAAAAAAAAAAAAAAAACAGTATTTGCACATCTATTTAAAAGACATTGGTAGATTAACAGTAAAATAGACATCTATAATTCTACTATACGTAACACCTCTTGGCAAGCAAATGCCATCAGTTTATTTTGGCAGCAGGCAACAGGCAACAGGCAAGCAAAAGTTTTGAGTTACATCTGGGAGTGGAGGGCACTTGAAAACAACAAGTTTAAATATTCAGAGATCAATTTCACTATCAACCTACCAATGTGTTTAAGCATATGAGCACGTACATTTCCCTTATGTTGGATAGGTATATTTCTATTTATTTTGTTTGTTTTATTTTTAAAATATTTTTATAAATATATGTAAAATTATAAAAATATTACATGTATAATTGGAACACAAAATCAATATTTTTTTTTCAATACATGAAGGAATCTATGTACTCATTTTATAAGATATTACCCATTCCTAGCAGATATTCCTCTGCAACAGATAAATCAGTATGAACCGAGAATGTTCTTTGTGGAAATGTATTACTGTGATAAATTTAGCTTGCTTTGAGTTGTAGAGGTCAAATTTCAAATCAAATTATTATGAGTTATTCTTTTGTTTCTTTTCGACTAACCAAGGTTTTCTGAAGAGGTTAGAAAAAAAATTTGTATTTAAAGAATTTCAGTTTACGAGAGTCTAGTATAATATATAAACAATTATCTTTTAGATACAGTAAGCTGGTTTACTAGATTTCACCAGGTGTGTTGATATTAATTTAAAAATTACTAGCTGACCCATGCGAATACTTTGCACAAACCTTATATTTGTAAGTTTCATTGAGTAATGTTTATATGAAAAGGTTCAATACTTTTATTTAGTAATTTATCAGTTTATAAATATAATAATCTCTACCCATCCATAGTTTAACCCTTGCTAGTTTCATTAAATTTATAATTATATTATATTTTTCTTAAGTTTACAAAAGCTTCTAAACATTGCCTTTAAATAACTGATGAAGGCTAAATATTTTGGATTTAGTTCTCTGGAAGGAACGTTTTGACCTTGCAGTCTGTACGTACAGAAAATAAAAATAAAAAAAATAAATGTTTCTTTTGTCATTAAAAATAATCAAGTAAATTTTTAAAATGATAAACATAAAGTGTTTACTAATATTGATCTACATAGGAATATTTCATATCATTTTCTGTTAAATAAAAAAATCTACTAATAAAATTTACAATATCGAGGAAAAAGCTTTATTTTACCCTTATATATTTATTTCATGCTTTACTATGGATCACTTAAATGATCCAAGCATGGAATATGAATATATATATATATAAAAGGGTAAAAATAAGCTTTTTCCTCGATATTATAAAATTTATTATTAATATATACCCTCAAAAAATTTTAAATATTCAATGTAAAAATAAAATTCTACTAAAATATACTTGATGAAAACAATTATTACTTCAATAGATTTAAAGTTTTTCAGTAATCCAAAACTGAAATAAAGAAAAAAATCTTTAAAGTAGAATTAATACTAAACGCTTAGAATGCTATATCTTTGCACCACATAGTCCAATTTTGATGATTTTTTGTAGGGAATTTAGTAAGCTTTCAAATACCTATATGTGTAGATAGCTAAAGATGTATTGAAGCTATAACATTTTTTGTGATTTCCAGAAAAAATTCAAAAGGCTCCTTCCCCTTGGCTCATATTTCGTGAAAATTTTTTTATTTTTTGTTTCCTATGAAAATTCATATTTGGTGGTTTTCTGAGATGTGAAATACATGTGTCAACTTGGTTTCTTCTTAAAAAAATATTTTAACCCACTTTGTTAGTTGGGTCGGTACAAATTATTCAATTTCAACATTTTATTCATACTATAAAAATATGCCAAATATAAATTTGATGAAATAGAGCTCTCATGAGCAATATCAACCTAATATAAGTGTAAAAAAAAAAATAAAGAAAAAAAACATAAAATATTTTACCACACAAATGTTATAAACTTCGATGATTTTTTTTTTTTACGTTTTGTAGGGAATTTAGTAAGCTTTCAAATACTCATATGTATTGTGGGCCAAAAAATTGCGTCATTTTCGAGTTATTCCCAAATTATGAATTCATTTTGAACGTCCCAATACATTGAGACGGCACCATCATATGGTTTGAAACCTCCTACTTTTACATTCACTTTTATTTAAGTCCAGGAATAAAATTATGATTCGCACACTCTACGTAATATTCCCTTTCTATAGATACCTCATTCGTCAAAATCCATAACTCCAGAGAGCCGGAAAAGGGATATATATTTGAGAAATAATATATAAGAAGATTAGGCTAAACAATTTTATAATTTATAGAGGCAAAATAAAACTTACTCATCACCAGGTGGCTCATTATTTCTATTTTTATATTTATTCAACAAGCCGGAGAGCTCTATTAAGTCTTTCTTTCTGAAAAAATAAAATCAATCAACAACCATCCATTCTATTATGTATTATAAATCATAGAGTAACTACATCAGTCAAATATGAAGGTAACTGAAAACAGTGAGATGGAACTGTAAACTATAGTTTAGTATAACGCTGTTGCCTTTTAATGCCCCATTATTTTTATCAAGAGATTCATTAGCGATATGCAAGACATTTTAACAACACAATTATGTAATAATGTCATAGAGTAAAATAATTGAATACAATTCAAGAGATAAACTATTGCTCGGCCCAGTCTCGGTCACCCGAACTCATTACTGCCTTAGAGATGTTGGGAAATACAACTTTAAACAACAGACTATAATTTAATAAACACATACAACTTTATTAAATTGATACATACATGTATATTCACTTGAAAACAAAATTTTTAATATATAATAAGTTATATTTGTATTATTGTTTCTGGAATTTACGAGAAGACTGCACATGTATGTGCTCATTTATGAACTAACAAAATTTCACAAAACAGATCAAATTACTGGAGAGTTCGGACTACAGAAGTTACAGTCATTGCAATTACAGATATTATATATTATTGGAATCTAAGAAGATTTGAGTTCAGTTATAAGGAACTCAATATATTTTTTTTGTTTTATTTTAAGAAAAATAATTGGTGTATTTAAGATAAATAAGTAGCTGCTTTTACTATATTTAACATATAGTGTCTAACTTCCTTAACTATTAAACATATAACAGCAATAATAAATCAACAGACAAGTAATAATACTTACTCATCAATTAACTTGATCACAACCTCATTTGACTCCATATTTCTAAACAATACAAATTATTTCAATATTTATTTTTAAAACTACAATAAAAGTATTAGTAAATTAGATGATAAAAATATGTTCCCATAAAAAAAGAAAAACATAATACTCATGAAAATATTTATTAGATCTGTTAAAAGTAAAATTACGAACTAATGAACAGAAACAAATAAAATATCACAAATAATTTTTTTCCGAACTTTAATAATAATAAAACATACCTGTCTGGCATCTCAGTGACCGCTTCGTTGAACTCAGATCTGTCAAACAGCATAAATTATTCCAATATTTCTATAACTAAGCTTTTTAGTTTTGTTTTTTTTAAAGTATAAATACATCAAAGGTATTTAACATTTTTATCAATAAATAAAAAAATATTTTGGGGAATTAAAATGTAATGTAGTTCTGATTTTCAACTCTAGTCAATTATTTTATTTTTTAAATACTAGCTAAATATCTATACACTAAACCTCAACCTCTGCTGGTATGATAATTCTAGTCAGAATGATTAACCTTAGAATGACCCTTGGGGAGCAACACAAGTAAATATTAATTTACTTTTATATCAGTAGCTCTTTGGCCAAGGTTTTTCATTTAAATAAACATCTTATGGTCATTAGCGCTCCATTGTTGGGCATATATCATTATTGGAAGTTACCGAAAGTCACTATGAGGTATCCCACACCGCAGAGTAGTAGATAGCCCCCAGTATTTATTCCTTTATGTGACATTGTGTGAGGGAATGAGAAGGAATATATAGGAATGTAAGGTTGCACTACGAATTGTACTCAATTATGCAGTGGAAAAATTATACATTGAAAGGTCTCATATCGATAAACAATCGATGAAGAAGGAAGAAGGAAAAGGACCGTGCAGGTAGCAACAGCAGGAGAAGGATGCCGGAGAAGAGAGGAGAACTCACTTGAGGCTGGGATATTAAGGAAGGAGATTACCTGAGAAGAGAAGTCTACTACACTGAAGATTAAGAAGATCAAGCATATAGTTATAATACTTTAATAGAGTCAATTTATTACAGTTGTGGAAATAAATTATTTTGTTATACAGGAGTGAAAAGTCATTTATTTATTTAGTTATGTCTCACAATTGAAGAATAACAAACCAGGTGAGTCAATTCATTCAAAGTGTATTTACTAAGTCCCACATATCAAATATATATTCTTATTGTTTCTTCTCACTCAGTGTCACAAAAGTATCAGGTTCCCGAATTCCCAAAGACAGTTAAATAACCTCAAAAAGTCTATATCCAGAGCCGGGGTTTGTTTTAATATTAACGAGTGTAAATAACCTAGTCCCCCGATAAACACAGAAGGGATATTCACAATTCCTGCCAAAAAGAATATTTACAATTAAACCTTTAACAAGTTATTTACAATTGCAGCCAAAACAGGTTATTTATTAATGGACCCCAACCAAATTATTTTCAATTAACTCTTAACAAGTTATTTACACAAGTGTGTTGTTTACTTGACTCTCCTGGGAGCTTGATACCCCAGTGTGCTGTCTATGTAACTGTCCTGTGAATTTCCTATCCCAGTGTTTTCTTTGAAATTTCGAATAATTAAGGTATCGGTTTCTAGTGTTATATTTGTTAATTAGTGGTATTTTTAATTAAGCATTAATATATAGAAACTATTTTTTTAGTATGGCGACTACCAAAAAAATTTTGTTTTTCCTGAAGAAATCCATAAATTGTTATGGGAGCCAGGAGATGAAGAAAATATGCAAGGAGCATATTAAAAAAATATGGCATGGTTACTCTTTTCTCTTTCTCATCAAATGTGTCATGTGTACACAACAATATATGTTGATGTTGATGTTGTACACAACATAATAAATATTTGTTTTGTACGAGAAGCAAAGATAGGAAGACAAAAATGGTTAGTCGGCAATGTAAGAGAACTATCTGCAATGAACACGGCGACAGGTTGCTTGGGTTGTAGTGAGTGGTCATTCAAATGGCCTCCACTATAGGTGTTATCTTTTTAAGCAAAATTTTTTTTTCCTTTATTATGTTTATATGAGGAGTTACCATTAGTTATCCATTATATACCCAGTGTACAAAAAAGGGGACGTCTATCAATGTAATAATTACAGGGGCATATGCCTTCTACCCACCGTCTATAAAATTTTTTCAAGAATTCTTTATAGAAGAATCATGTCTTATGCCGAGGATGAAATCGGAAAATACCAGGCCGGATTCATTAAGGGTAAATCAACCATCGATCAAATATTCACCTTGCGAATCCTTCTGGAGAAAACCAAAGAATATCAAATTGGTACACATCACATCTTCATTGATTTCAAGCAAGCATATGATTCTATAAATCGTGAGGAAGCATACAAAGCAATGGTAGAAATGAATGTACCAAAAAAACTTGTAAGGCTTGTTAGAATGATAATGGAGGGTAATGAGTGTTTCGTACGAATACAAGGTGACTTGTCAAAGGGATTTAGAACATCGACAGGTGTAAGGCAGGGAGACACTCTGGCATGTCTGGTATTCAACTTTGCCCTTGAGAAAGTCATAAGGGATTCTGGTATCCAGACTACAGGAACCCTCCTAAATCGAATGACCCAAATACTTGGATTTGCGGACGACATCGATATAATGGGAAGATCGTTTGCGGCAGGACAGGAAGCTTTTACTAGTCTGGAAGAGTCGGCAGCCAAAATCGGTCTTATTATCAACACGTCCAAAACAAAATATATGTCCACCCTATCCTCACGTCTAACAAGGGAAAACCAAGCATGGTTGGAACAGTGTGGAATCGAGAATGTTGACGAATTTGTATATCTTGGTTCATTGATAAATCCACGAAATAACATTGATTGTGAGATAGACAGGAGGATCGCAGTGGCTAATCGGTGCTATTTCTCCCTCCAGAGACATCTTCGCAGTAGAATGTTGTCAAGACAGGCCAAAATAAGAATATATAAAATTCTTATTAGACCAGTGCTCACATATGGCTGTGAGAGTTGGACCTTAACTAAAGCAGTTGAGAAATCCCTGCTCAGATTTGAAAGGAGGATTATACGACGCATATTTGGAGGGGTCCAGGAAACACCACAGAATTGGAGGAGGAGAACGAATTTGGAAATAAAGACATTGTTTAATGACCTGGATGTGAGCCAATTCATCGTATTGGCAAGACTACGCTGGGCGGGACATGTCGTGCAGATGGATATGAATGCACCCCCACAGAGAGCTATGAATGAGCCTGTGTTTGGAAACAGGCGAGTGGGAAGACCATGTTTGCGCTGGTAAGACTGTGTGGCTGCTGATGCATGTAGACTACTTGGTGTCAGAAATTGGAAGGCTGCAACAACTAACCGGGAGAACTGGAGATCCATGCTGGAGCAGGCCAAGTCTCAAATAATTGGTATGTAGTGCTATTTAATAATAATATGAGAAGGAGTTGATCGGGGGGTGCGGTCAAATAAATATATTTAATCAATTCCTTCTCATATTATATCCACAGTCAACCATCTCTACATTATTATGTTTATATTTTAGCTCCCACATATATATATACATACACATATATATATATATATATATATATATATATATATATATATATATATATATATGAATGCTTTTTCAATAAGAAAAACATTGATTCCTTTTTGATCTTTTAGCAATGTAGATGTAAACGTTTTACTTTCTGTGAGCATATAAAATATATTCTCTAAGGTTACATTGATTTTTTTTTTTTTTTTTTTTTTTTTTAGTGTGTTGAAGTGTGTGTAAGTATTTGAGTGTTCCAGAGCACGACAATTAAATTTTGTGATGATTTAAATTTTGGGGTATATCACACCCCAGAGTGTCAGAATGAGTTGATGTATTTAAGTGTGTCAATCTAGAGTAAACAACCATTGTGGATCCATCATCTCTATCTCCAGCTTAATGAATAAAATATTCTAAATATATTATGAATTCATTGTTGACCATATTGTAAATCAAGAAGGTATGACCCAGCTGACAGTCAAGAATAACATCAAATAGTTCCCGCTACTACATATCTAGAGGATGGTATGGCCAAGCATGTTGGGGCATGGATTCCAGAGTGCCCGGTTCTGAACATTGTGGGTTCGATTCCCACCTAGGTCTGTTACTTTTCATTTTTAGGGGGGCCCGGGAAACGGATTGTGACATTCCTACTCTGGTAAATACGCGGCAGCAACCTCAAGGTACCAATACTACACATCCAGAATCATCAGAGCTATACGTTCTGAAGTTCATGGCATTTCTGAAATATAAGGCATTTCTTCAAAAGAAAACGTACTAAGTGAACAATTTGACCAACAATTGAAAACATTAGAAACTTATGACCATTATTAGAAGTTTGCTACACCACTTGAGTAATCTTGTGAATTTATGATAAACTTGGAATATATACCTTAAAAAAATATATCTAAAGTTTAACAACCCAGATACACGTATACATTTTTTATTCTTTCAGGTAAATCATAAAGAAAATTAATATTGAAATAAATTAGAAATGATTACTTTGTCATAGAGTGAAAGGTAGACATCAAGGGAAGATTCTATGAAAAATACACTTGTTCAGGCAAGTTTTTGGAGTTGATAATGGTATAGTCAAAGTTTTGGTATAAGTAGTGAAGCTTTATTTATTCTGGGACGAGTCCCTTTAGAATAATACAGAAAAACAAAAATGTGGACTAAGGAGCCTCAGAGATACATAAACAAAAATATAGTTTAATTAAATAGTCAAAATGAAAAAAAATAATAAAAGAAATTATAAGTTACTTTCTAATTTGAATCAGTTAATAATAAAAAATAAAAAAATGAAAATACAGGTGGGAAATCAAGCTTAGTAAGTAAGTGAACCTTTTGGTCTTTTTTGTTGACATCGATTGCTGTTACACAGTATTTAGAGTAGGACTGTCTAGATTCATTTCTCAGGATTGTCATGAAGTAAATATTAAGCAGCGGAAATATAACCTATATTGTTCTAGACGAGGAATGTTGCATTCCCCAACGTGCTTGGGCATAAACAGCCTGTGCTCATAAAATAAAAAGAACTTTAATTTAATTTCTCAGTAAACTAGACTTCTTTCGTAAGTACATTTTATTAGTTTAAAAACACATTAATATTTTGCAACATCATAAGTAACTTTCAGAACAATTCTTGGTAATGACAAATTCCTTCAGTCATATAGTTTATTTCTATTAGTCAGATAATAACATTTAAAATAAAATAATAAAGGAATAGTTTGCTTACTTTAGGTTTATATTGAACATTATGGGTTTAAAAATTCCCACATAAAAACATATGCTATGCTAGGCTCAGTTATCTCATATATTTTTAACTACATTCTAAAATGAAGATTAAAATTTTTAATAAGAATCATGAATAAATAAAAATACATTGAATCGGTCGATTCAAAATACTTACTTTTCGTATGATTCCAGTTCAACTTCAATTTGTTTTATGTATGCATTGAGCATCAGAATAACATCTGTTAATATTCTTTCTCTGAAAATAGTTTTATTTTATTAAAACTTCTTTTGGATCAACATTAATATTAAACTTAACATCAAATTTGGAACAAGTTTTTTAAATAGTACTTTAGGTTGTATTCCATAGGTTAATAAAATTCAGTATGCATTCATCATTACTTTGTTGCTTATGAATAATGTTTAATGGAATAATTGTAATAATAGTAGGGCCGTCATGAAGTTCCACCATCCCTCTGTTTCTTTTAAGATTTTTTAATCCCCATTCAGGTCTGAGCATTTGCACTTTCTATTCCAGGATTCACCTCCATGTTTCCCGCGGCCATCTCTATCTTTGTTGGCCCCGAGGATTCCATTACAGAATCTTGTTGGATTACATTGGTGTGATCTTTCTTGAGGTTAGTTATCTCCATTTTCTAATCTTTACCACCTTGCTGATGGTTTGTTGCTTGATCAATGTCTACAGCTTGACCTTCGAAATAGCTTCTGGCCACCGCACTCTCAATATGTTTTGTATTATCACACCTACTAGTGAAAATTTGAACTTTTTTCATCACCTGTTTAGGAGACTTTCCATATCTCACGCATACAGCTCAAAAATGAATAGGAATATTTCTGTTAGATCAATCCTTAGCATCCTTTCCATAGTGCTCGACAGAGCCTAAATGAAGTGTCTAATGTTCTGCTAAGGGCAATATCAACTTAAACTATTTGAAATCGTTTGAGGGAAGTTGGTCTAACATCTTATGCCACTTAAAGACGATCTGAAACAACAGTGCGTCACCAGCAACTCCACAGATTATGGTGTAGCAAGCGCCAAGCTGAAGATACAAATTAGAATGTTGTTTACAGAAAAGTCGCATTTCTGTATTTATACCGATCATAGGTGCCAAAGAGTCTTCCGAGAACAGAGGATGGGTACAATACCATAGTTTGTGCTTCTTTCAATACAGTCAATAGGTGGGAGTGTGATGGTATGGGCTGACATCCACTCAGCAGAACAGAATCTACTCCATATTGTGGAAGATAATCTCAATGAAGTTTGCTATGTTCAAGAAATTATAGTGGACTACATTACTCAAACCAGGGCCATTATTGGCAATGATTTCTATTTTCTTGACAAAAATATGCGACCTCATTGGGGAAAATATGTTCATCAATGTCTTGAAAATCTGGACATTTCAAACCTGCCCCTTCCTGTATTGTCTAAAGATCTCAATCCCATTGAGCACATATGGGATGCACTACAGCGAAGGCTTTTTTACCACCATATGCAGCTTCTTAACCTTCAGCAACTGAAAGCAGTATTGCCATGTTTATAGTATGATATTCTATGTGAAATTATAAACAATATGGCCAATAGGTGCAGAGAGGTAATGTGTAACAGAGGGTATTACACAAATTATAAAATTCTTACAATTCGCAATAATAAAAACAAGGTCACACAATCTTATTTCTATCAATTTTCAATGAATTTTATAATAAAAATAAAATGAAAATTCTAGAGAAAATAAGTCATACATAAATAACAATATCCCCATTAATTTTTGAGCAGTATATATTAAAGTAATCACAAGCATATAGTAGTGCAATAATCCCTTAACAATTTTACAAACCAGCGTCATGTTCCAGGAAAATCACATGAACCTGGAATTTGTAAATGTTGTGGTTACATTCTTCTATTGGTAGAGAGTTAGGTTTTACCATGGCTAACAAAGAAACATTTATTTAATTTATTTATATATTCTTTAAACATGGTGTGAATGAAATATTTTTCCACAATAACCATTGTCTTATTTTCTTTTTTTTTAAATTATTATTACAAGGCTTTAGCTAGACGCCATAAGCTTTCTGATTCTCAATATTATTATTATTAATTTCTGAAATTAGTGAATTTTTGCTATTCTTATCTCTTAGTTCAATTTTTACCCAGTTTCTGCCTATTGATTTGATATTAATAATCGATTTGTTGAATTGGGGAAAATTTTTGAAAAGTTTACTTCCAAAACTTATTGAATGAAGTTTTCCAATATTACGAATCTCAAGAACCAATTCAATGAATATATAAAATGGGCCTGAAACAAGGAGGTAGCTGTTGGCACAGATAGCAGTGGATAAAGCCAGAGCATTAGGAGGAGGTAGCAGTTGGCACAGATAGTAGATAAATAATACTAAAATAACATTAATGTTCAAAACAACGTTCAATTTTAAAATACACAAACTCTCCCAAAAAAAGTTATATCAGAGAAAAAACAAAAAACTAATATCAGGGATCTCTTGACACACCAGTATTTTTTTATTAAAGCAATAAATATTGTCTAACTAATTTAACCCAAGAACTTACTCTTCTAATAGTATGTGTTGATCTATTAGAATTTGCACAATATCCTTCCGCTTATGTACAAGATCAGCTAGCTTGTGCCGCCTGTAAAACATAATATGATAACAATATGTACTCGATTTAAAAATTAAAAATATTTTTTTTAAAGTAATAAGATATCCTCAACATATTAATGCATAAATTACTAATAATAAATATTTAGAAAATTTAGTACAGTTCAATATAATAAATTTTCAGGTGGTCTTTGAAGGGCTTCATCAATAATTATTCAGTAAATAAATGACACTGCAACCAACAGCACACTTATTGGTTCTTCATTTTATAATTTTGGAAAATTGAAATAACAAAAGGAAATAAAATACATCAAGTGAGGTAGCTTAGTAAGGCGCTATCAACTTATCTCTCTCGCTTAAGTTCACTTTCAGCTGTGGCATATAATTATCATCCTTCAATTCTGAATCAACCCTTAAATAGAAGGTAGGCTCAGCATCCATTAAGTGGGAACCCTTAATTGATGAGAAAACCTGGTGGTAGAGCATGATCTTGGTCCAATCCCCAATTTGTTATTGTTTAAATTCAAGAAGAAAGAAGATGTGAGAACCAAAGATTAAAGAACAATACAGCTTTGGTAAAAGTTAATATTACTCACATTTACAAGTATACCAAGAAGCACTGCATTTTTCAATTTGATAATGTCATAGAGAAACTTAAAAAAAAAAAAAGCTTATTTTTCTTAAGAAATCATTTTAATAAATGGCGAGAAGACAGAAAAAAATCTGTTGAAAAAATACTTCAGGAGTATTCCCCACATTAAAGTTTAAAATTAAACAACAAACTTTATCACTACAATACATTCTATTGATAACTATTAAACTATAAAAGTTCTAGTCAACAAGTTCTCTTGTTTTATTAGGTAATATTAAACTGATTTATATTCTCATCTTCAAAAAGTATAAGTTACAACAACAATTTCAAAATAGAAGTGGACAGTTATTTTGGAACCCTGATTTTTCTAATCAATCACGTGGACTTTTCTATTTAGTTCTAAAGATCAAACACTTCAAGAATAAATGGCATAGGCATATCCTGGCAACAATCGAGATCGCCCGCTTCACCTATTAAAGGATATTGAAAAGTGAATATGGGAACTCAGCTAAAATTACAAACTGATCAAATAAGTCAAGTAAAAAAAACATAATATGAACTAAAGATTATTCAAGTCTTTAAAATTCTCACTCCTCTTTTTTTTTATCTCTTATTAGTTGTTCTAATGTTTTTCCTTCCGATTTTGTAAAATCGAGCATCTGTTCTTCCCTATGGAGAATGGGATTTCTAAAATGGAAAAATTAAGAAAATATTAAATATGATTAAAATAATTTTTAAAATCATTAAATATGTAGGATAACTAAATATGAAAAATGAGAAAACTATTATACTTACAAACGGGCTATCATAGTTTTGAAATTTTTTATGAATTCTATCTTTTTTTTAATTTCAGGACAATTGCATTCATTTTTTTCAGCACTGTAATTAACAAACAATTGAAAAAATTAATATAAACAAAAAGTTTTTCTGATAATAAAACCATCATGATTATTAACAACAAAGTAAATACTGAAAAAAAAAAATTTATATCTGTTTGCTACTGGAACCTCTTAAAATAATTAATAGCACAATGGTATAGTGAAACCTTAGTCTTATAAAATAACTAATAAAATTGGCCTTTCTGCATATCATAATAATAATTCCCCAATTCTCTTCAAAGAATAAATAACAAAAATATTTATCCAGACACAAAAGAAAAAAAAAAAGTTAATCTACCTATATAATCGACCCCTATATCAGCCATAGAAAAACTCCAAGAAGACTTGGATAAGATTAGTGACTGGGTGAGAGCTAACAAGTTGAAGTTGAATGCACAAAAGACGAAGGCGATCTTAATAGGCTTCAAACACCTCCTTAAAACTGTTCCTAATATTCCAACTCTGTTCCTACATAATAATCCCATCAAATTTTAACCCAACATCAAAAATCTTGGAATAACCATTGATCAAACGCTTTCCCAGAAAAACTATATATCCAATATTTCTCGCCATAGCATTTCCACCCTAAAATGTCTAAATTATTAAGTTCCTTTGAAACCCATATGCTCCTAGTCATTTCCTTAATTTGACTATTGCTCTGGGGATCTTGAGGCGAAACTAAAACGTTTGATAAATTGCTTTGTATGATTCATCTTCGGGATCCCAAGGGACGCTTCTGTTTCCCGTTTTTATGCAAAGTTGAAGTGGCTTTATCATCCTTCCTACTGTCATAAGTATTTCCTGGCATCCTTCCTCTTTCAAGTCATCCATCCGAGCTCCTTCAATTCAAATCCTCTGTTCATTCCCACAATACTCGTTCCAGGCCTTCTGATTTATACATAAGGGCCCACCGAACTGCTGCTTTTGACAGATTGATCATTATACAATCCTCATCCTTATGGAACTCCATCCCTTCCCACATCCATCAATCCCTTCCTACCTTTAAATCCCGCCTGTTCAGTTATTTCTTATCCATCAAGTTCCCATAAAATTGTAAACAGATACTACTGTAAATATGCATATAAATTATTAGTTCGTTCTTCATTATTTTTACTTCATGTATTTTTATAAATTTTTTATTTTTTATTATAAACTGAACAAAATTAGAAAGTAACTTTTATTTTTTTTTTACTATGACTATTTAATGATTCTGTATATTTGTTTATGTATCTCTGAGGCTCCTTTGCCCATATTTCTGTCTTGCTATATTATTCTAAAGGGATTCGTCCCAGAATAAATAAAGTATTATTATTATATAAATAAAAATGTAATGAAATTTTGACATAATGTTTCTATCATATTCAGGAGTGTTTTTATATATATTTAATTAGCATCCAGCCTTCTGTTTTGGAAAGGCAGCTGAAAAACGTGTGTCGCTATAGACTGTAGTGCCTAAACAGCTGTAACGATTTTAATTAAACTTAAGTGTTCTCCTTGAAGCCCTTTTAAGTTATGTTTATAATATGCTCAGTATGAAAAAAGTTACGATGGATTCAGAACTATATTTACAAATAACTCAAAAAGTACACAATTTCTGATTGATTATACCCATGATTATTTGAAAGCTTCCTGAATTCACTGCAAAATAAAAAAAATATCACTAAAATTGGATGATTTGTTGCAGAGATGTAATGTTTTAAACATTCAGTAATTTTTCTTTGGAGATTCAGAACCGAATTGCTTCTCACACGGACAATTATATGTTGTGTGTTCTAGAACTGGAAAACCAGACAATCTCTATATCTATACAAAGAATGAAACAACAAAAAATATTGTATATCAACAAGTATTGTGAAATAAAATATATGCTTTCTTTTTACTTTCCTACCTATACTAGGTAAAGAAAGTATTGCAATCGGGTCAAATTTCCGACTTGCGGTTTTCGACGGATCTATACGTTTCACAACCCCCTGAGTCCGAAAAACACATTTTTAGCCATTGGTCTGTCTGTCTGTCTGTGCCAAGATTTTCTCAGGAACTACTGAACGGATTTTGTTGCTTCTTTTATTTTGTAGGGTTTTGACTACTGATGGCTGTGACAGAAATTCGGTGCTCCATGCGCAATAGCTTACCCGCAATAAATGAAAAACATGTTTTTCTATAGACTGTAGCGCAAAAACGGCTCTAACGATTTTGATGAAACTTTCCTATAATGTTCTAATCATTGTTCTTTCAATTTTCGCATATAGACTAAAATCCCCAAAAAATTCAGGAAAAAAAGTTATAAAGAAAAGAAAAATGTTATAGGGCCTAACTCCCTAAGTATATATTATACGGTAAAATTTATAATAAAACTTTTGAAAGGTAATTAAATTACCAATAAAACAAAAAAAAGATCATTGGAATCGAACCAGTATTAGCGATGATACAGCTTATTCTATTTTTTAAACTTATTTTATTACTTTCCTACCTATACTAGGTAAGGAAAGTATTGCAATCGGGTCAAATTTCCGACATGCGGGTTTCAACGGATCTATACATTTCACAACCCCCTGAGTCCGAAAAACACGCCGTTTTGCATGTCGTTTGAAAGATAATGAAATTCCCTACAAAGCCATTTAAAAATCGTTCATTTTGGACAACTATAAACGAAGTTACAGCTATTCAATTTCCAATGTAAGATTACGGTTTCATATCCTAGTGTCAGAAAGGTGTGGTTCAGGTGAATGAGAGAATAAAGATGACTAAGTGAAAGTAAGAAAATCTGTTGGCCCATCACACAATCTTCACTATTTCCTATACTTTCAACAGAAATTATTGTTTGTCAATACTAAGCTATGCCAACAAGTTTTTGATCAGCAACATTAGGAAGTATTGAAATTTTTACACTGATCTATCTTAAGTCGGTTTACATTGCTTTAGTTTATCAAATAAATCGTACTCAAATCTTGTGTGTGATCAATTTTCAGGAAAATGTATCTAGTTCAATTCTTTTTTGTTTCTTCATGAACATATGTAAAAATATAAAAACTTTTCTGAAATAGGTTGGAAAGTCGTGTGAATTAGATTGATCTGTCAGATTTCGTTCGGTATTAACGGACAGGTAAAGTCGGCTAGAGTTGACTATTAAAATATTTTTACAAATGGATTAAAATATTTCAGAAACTATAAATCAGGCCTGCATGCTGTAAGCGAGGAAATTGTTCAACATTTCATCCTCAATGTAATAGGCTATAATTCAAAATTGTATCTTAATACGACGCCCTGTGGCGAAAAGGGAAAAATAGCGTTAAAAACCAAATGATAAGGTTAATTGAGCATATAGATAAAAATATTTCAGATACTAAAAATCAGATCGATAAACTATAAGTGAGGGAAATGCTTAGCATTTCATCTTCTTCGAAATGAGCTATTATTTATAATTTCTATTTCATGTCATTAATTTCACCTTGTTGATGTTTTCACTTATATCGCGTGGTCTAAAGCACACACCTTAGTTTTTTTATTTTTATATTCTCACCCCATGGATTAAACATTTAAATATATTGTTTTAAACAATTACAAATTTAAGGTTCCTCTCAAAGTATCATTTTATTACACATATAATATACTAACACAGCTGATAATTGTACTTGCTTAGAAAGATTACTTAAAATTACACCGAGTGCATTGAATATTTTTTTGTTTCTTCATGAATATATGTAAAGATATAAAAATTTTTTTAAATAGGTAGGAAAGTCGTGTGAATGGACACACCAGATTTTTTATTTTTACTTTCACTTATCTATTATATATGTAATACATAGTAAAGGAAAGTATTGCGATCATAAAAATTTTCGAATCTGAGTTTTTAACGGAAATATGCGTTTTGAGGTCCCCTAAGTCCAAACAACCAAGTCCCACAAAATGGCCTGTGTGTATGAGAACAGTCTAGCTCAAAAACCAAAAGTCATACAAAACCGATATTACGTATTTAAGATAGGTGTATGATTGAGATGTTACAACTTTTTCCTTAAAATTGGCAAATCGGAAGTGCCACTTTATATCAACAGTGATACTCTGAAGTACCTTTAATTTGGTTTATTTTAAATAATTAACTATCTGTCATTGTTAGGTGTTACGAAAAAATGCTAAATGTAACATTTGATAATTGAATAATGGAGAAAAAAAGAAAAATACTTATCCAGGTCGAAAATGAATCTCCGGAAATAATAGTCAGAAGGTATACGTATAATATATCGTTGGAAAGCAGATAATTTTAGAAAAAATTATATCAAATAAATAAAGTTGTAGAAGGTAATGGAGTGACAAAAAAAAGTATAAATAACAATCTCTGAAAAATAACATTATTTAATGTAAATAATAATCTGTTGTTTGAGACAGATTGTAATATTTTCAATAAACAAGTTTTAAAAAAAAATTAATGTTAATCACATATTTCCAAGGAAATTAAATAAAATTTTCTTACTAAATTAAAACTTGATTTTTTTTATAAGTTTATAAGTTTGAAAAAAAAAGACTTAAAATCCAGCAAATCAAGGCAATGACATTGTATAAAATACTACTTCATTGTACTTGTGTGAAAGAAGAAGCGAAATATAAAAATATTTCATGGATATGTTTATAACCTTAAATACATTTACTGTAGTTTAATAAATCTAGATATGATATTATATATTTAAATAATTAGGTATCTATCGGCCGTTTATTCCGAAAAATCATCAAGTATCTTTTAGAAAATTAAATTAGTAAATAATTTGATGAATTTCCCTTAGTGAAATCCCAACATTATCCACTTGCAATGGGTGTGACAACTTTTGACCATCCAAGGCAGGCAATGAAAATCTCATCATTTCTTTTTAGTAAGTTTTATAATAGAAAATAACAGTTTAATAAATAATAGCCCTACAATCGGTAATCATTTATAGGTTGAATATTTAGATATACTTTCAAATCTGTCAAGGCATATATGAGCCTTTCAGTAGAGAGAATGACTAACTTCTATTTTAACGTTCTTCATTATTAATTTTAGTAATATTTCTAGGCGGAAAATTCATACCTTTATTCACAGTTCCATATTTTAACACTGCAATCACCTAGTCTGGAATCAACTTACTCACTTTCTGTATAGCTATAAATTGTCCAACTAGAAATATTCCAACTAAAATGACAATACTCAAAAATGTTGAAACTGGAGTTAGTCGTCCTATCAACTGAAAGGCACACATAGCTAAGAGACTGAAGTTATGTGGTTTATAACAGCAGATGGAGTAACTAGATTTTTATTGCTAATCATCAATATAATAAACTGAGTTTTTGTTATTTTAATGGTCTTAATGATTTGTTATCTTTAAGCTTTAAAATGCACTTCAAAAATTTTATAATAGCCCAACATTGCCAGAAAATAATTTCTATTCAGAGTACAGTGGTAAGTGAAATTTATGGGTTGCGCACGTCAGATTTTTTTCTATTCTACAGAATGAGCCACAGCAATGCGTTGCCATATAGTACAGGCAAGAACATACTTGTCAATGATCAGAGAACAGTCACTTCAACTTAACATAGTTGTGTAAAACATCAGTACCTTTTGAGGTATCACAACTAAATTAAAAGAAAATAATTAATCAATCTATATATGTTAAGAAGATAAATGAGTAATGACAGAGAAAAAAATAATTGACTTATGACAATAGAAGAAAAAAAAAAAAGAATCCTTAGATGTTCCTAAATACCAAAGGTGGATTTCCAAGTTCAAATCAGGTAATCTTGATCTTTCCAACTCGCATCGATCAGGAAAACAACACTGTTATACAATGACGTGTTAAGTGAGAAAGTGGAAGAAAATCCGTGTCAGGCAATCAAGGGATGGTCAAACAGTCTAGACCAACCTTGGTCGACCATCCAAGAACATTTACAGCAGATTGGGAAAGCCACATGCAACTTATTGCTTCAACAGTACAATACAAAAGTATTTTTTAATTGCCAAGATCACCAGAATTGAAAAAAAGGGTCCTCTATGATAATCCAACATGCAAAAGACACTGGCTCTCTTCAAAATAATCACCACAAAGTACTGCTAAGACAAGTTTACACACCAAAAAGGCATTTAATTTGTGTTTAGTGAAGTATTGGCAGTGTTGTTTATTTTAAAGTGCTGAAACTTGGACAAACTGTGAATGCAGACCTTTATCGTGAACAGTTGGATCGTGTAAAACAATCTTTAATTGAAAGGTAGCCAGCAATTGTCAATAGTAAAGACGTTATTCTGCAACAAGATATTATAAGAGTACACAGCACAAGACTAACCTGAAAAAATTAATGAATAGGTATTGCCTCACCCACCATACCCGCCTGACGTTGCACCATCAGATTTCTAATTATTCCAATCGCTTCAACATCTTCTAAGTGGCAAAAGATTTGCAAATTTGGATGATATCCAAAACAACACCTTTATATATTTTGCTCAATAACTTTTTTTCTGTTTGAGGTGCATATTTTTAAGCAATACCAGTGAAGGTAATCTTTAAAGTGAGAGCTCTATCATTGGATTTGATGAATTTTAAGGAAGATATGCACAAATAAATAAAAATAAAATAAAATAAAAATAAAAAATGCAAATAATACATAAAGATTTGTGAATTTTTATTTGTGAATTTGTGGATACCTATTCACCAAATTGACTATTCTGATACTGAATTCAATTATTATTATTTTGAAATTAAATATCAATACTTTGGCATCTGCTTGCGGTACATACCATAACTAAATATACCATCAGAAACCAAACAATCATGCTTCAATAGAAAGAAAATTAATATGGATCTAAACATTTGAAATACAATAAGAGTACATGTTTTGTTATGAGATGGAAATTGAATATATTGATGGTAGGCCATGAAAAACTTATGACTCGATTTTGGTGTATTCTACAGAAAACAATAAATGTTTCGTGATACAGATTAAGTTTCTATAGTTTATACTATATAGTAAAAGTCTTAGTAATGTATAGATTAGAGAGATTTTATATACTTAAAAATCTCCCTTTGTAGCGAGAGTTCTTGAGATTGGAATTCTCATTGACGGATGGAGTTACGAAGTTTTCATAGGCTGATGGAGTTAGAGGTTTTCATAGACTGGTGAGGTTATAAGGTTTTTATACACTGATGAAGTTATGCAATTTTTCCTACCCTACATAAATATGAGATAAGTGATATTTATAGAAAGAGAATTGATCAAAAACGTTTCTACAATTTTTTTTTTATAAACTGTAAATGGAAATGGGAAGTAATTTAAGTACAGACCAGAAGAGAAAATAATTTGAAAGCTTCTGATCCATTTTGATTTTAGTTAAGTAGATTAGAATCAATCCTAGTATAATAACTTTTATTGAGAAGTCAATTTACAAGATGGTACGATCAGTTTTCTTGAGATGTCATCCCAACTCGAAGTGCACTTATTTTTGTGTTCTATATTAGTATAAAATAAAAGCAACTCAGCACAAGAAATATTAGCAGGTAAATAGAAAATAAAAAAGTTTATTATCAAAGTAAGAAACGTGAGGCATGAATAAGTCTAGGAAGAGAGTGAGAAATATGTATATATTAATAATCGAGTTACCTTTCATCTAATTCTGAAGAATCTGCAAGATCATTATTACAGCTTTCTATCTTTTTTTTACTGAAAATAAAAGTATAATATTTATAAACAAAAACATATTTTGATAATATAAAATAAATAAAAGACATTTTTTTTTTTTATTATTGAAATTTACAACTGTATAAAGGATAAATACAACAAGTAAATATGAAACAAGTAACATGGCATGTACAACATGAAGAGAAAGCCATTGGTAGCACTCCTAAAGGAAAAATTAAAATCTAACATTTCAGATATAGAATTTAAAAAAATAAATAAAAATTGTATGGTACAAAATCATGTTTGAATGTAAGTATTTTATTAATTGTGTTTGCTGAGCTTGGTAATAGATACATTTTTTTTTGTCCCCCCTTCCTCGTCTTTTAGGTTAAAAGACGTTTTTCTTGGCCAGGGGATTAATGCCAGAGTTAAAAGAACCCCTAGGCACCAGGACTCGAACTTGTTATTATTTTATCATCGGATATTCATAGCGTCCACCTCGTCCTCTAGAAAATGAATCCTGTCTATTGTTCAGATTTAGTATTTGTAGGTATAGTTCTGTTACACTTTGTTTTGTTTTTTAAGTGTATCTTTTCATTTTTTTATTGTAAGTTATTAGTTTTAAAAACAAATTGTTTTATCCTTTTTAATTTAGGAATAGGAAAAAGTTAATATACGTGAATATACTTAAGAAAAATGATGTTTCAATATACATATTTTGTAGTTATTAAGATATTTACAAGGAAATAGAATAAGTTTCAAGAATAACAAAAGCTTATCAGCAAACCTTTAATCCATGGCAGCTGGACAAGCCCTCTGGATTAACAATTGAGGATAGAGAGCCTTTGGTGTCTGTTCTGTGTCAAGCTCTGTCAATGGCTTCGCCGGATTCTATTTCTCATCAATCTGCCGAGTATTAGATTGAGAGGAACCGATACGCGGAAGGGGACTAACTTTTGAGGAAGAAGGCACTGGAAATTAGACTCAGCAGAGATACTTCGGTTGAGAGGAAAGGCTGTCGTATATTTAGAAGAAAGGTGCTCCACCTAAAGTAATTGATAAGCGTTTATTTTTCCTTTACATTATTACTTTTTTTTTTTTTTTTTTTTTTTTTTTTTTTTTTTTTTTTTTTTTTTTTTTTTTTAGAAATAATAACACTTTAATTTTATGGTATTTAATTATAATTGTTTACATAGAATTTAAGATAATAATTTGTCAACTTTTTTCTATTTCATAAGGTTTATTTATTTTCCTTCTAGTTTTGTTTTATTATTTGAAATTTTTCAACATTTTATTGTAAAAAAAAAAGAAACCATGTGGCACCCAACTGTTATTTATTTTCAATTTTTCTTTCCTCTAATAAATATTATTCTAATTTTAATTTTTTTCTTTCTATTTTTCATGACCCCTCCTCCTTCACTGAGCTGGAGGCAAATTTAAAGCTTCCTACAGATAGAGGTAACAGTGCGTCCAAGATGAATTTATTGCACGGAAAGGGACCTAGCGCAGCCTTCCTCCTCTCAAGCTGCAATTCCCCTCCTCACCATGGCAATCACCTTATACTGGGAACACATTGTACGATTTTCTTCAAATTTCACACAGATGTTTATTAAAGGAAGGGACTTTAATTAAAAAATTAAATAAAACGGTGGCAAGGATAGTTAAATCATCAAAATGAGAAAAAATGTGAGTTCTCGAGGTCTATTGTTATGCATGATAAGACTAAAGAGTGGGGAATTGGCAGGAAAACATTTTGCAACTGCGCATCTCTCTACCACTCTACACTGGCAAACTTATCATGGACCGGCTCTAATATCTTCAATGTCTGCTTGATTGACAATGAATATCAGTCCAAGGTATATGGTATTTTTTATGTTGCAAATATTTCATTGCCTTTTTGACCACAAAAATGTTCTTGTATTTCATGAGAAAGATACTCGCCAGTGGTAAATAATGTTTTGATATATTAATATGGTATGTAATACTTTGGCAATTTAAAAATTTACTGGATTTGGAGTCCTTATCAAGGTTACATTCAACTTCTTATCTAGCATTCTTCCATTAGAGAGTATTTTAAAGTCCCTTAAATTTTTAACTAAACGAAATAACTGGAAAAGTCAGTTGATATGATGGCCATAAATTATCCTTGAGTGGACTATCAAATGTAATAAGTGGACTGTAGTATCAAATATAACTAATTATATGTGACTATAGAATCAAATGTAACAACTATATGTGAACTATAGAATCAAATGTAACAGATTTGATTGAATTAATTTAATATGGTTATAATTTTCTTGAGGCAATGAATGTTTGTTTTTTGGCTGCTAGGAATGTGTAAGATGTAGAGTGAATGTGAATGAGAGTGGAAGATGTAGAGTTGAAAACTGAAATAAGTAAAAAGGATTAAATTATCATTATATGTATTGTAATAAATTATCATAATCAGTAAACTGATTGAGTTTTTGCAAATGTTCAAGTCAAATTTTTAAATATAAATTATTTATTATTTGTTTATTTTTACTATAAGGGTGAAGGCAATTTAAAAATGATGGCTCAATCATTGGTTTTGATGAAGTATTAAGGGAGGCATATTGTATCGCCATGAGAAATATTATGCAAAGATTTTTAAAAGCATGTTTCTGTATTACCTCAAAGAAAGAAGTATAGCTAATAATGGAAAGTATGATTTCATCTCTATAATATATTAGCTCTCAAAAGATACCTGATGGATTAGTAATTTAGAACCATTGCTGCCTTATAAATTAAAAGTTACTAGGATTATCTGCATTACTCTATCCCTCCAATAAATATAAATAAAAACCAACAATGACTTATTTAACATCTCACTGAGCTTATTTATAAATTAAAAGACCAATTTAAAGAACTATAAACTAACTTCAACTTGAAAATGTCAATTGACAAACAGCAAAATTTTATTTAGTAATTTAATATAAATTACTTACATTTTACCAGCTAATTCTTCAAGGAAATAAATATGTCGCAAAGGTTTTGTTAAAATCCTATGATGACCAATTTGTTCCATAAGTTCTGTTTTGTCAAAAAGGCAAGCCCTAAAATTTTAAACAGCTTTTTATTAATTATTTTAATAATAATATTAATTTATGAGCAGTAATCACAAAATTCTGCCTTATTTGTTCCTGGCCTGAACAATTAACATATTCATTATTTGTTTGTTCATTATTGTTCCAAAAGTTCAGTTATTATTATAATCTTTTGGTAATGCTAAACTATTTACATTATCTAATTAAACTATAATTTTTAAAGATAACTTGAGAGTTTATAATAATTCATCTTATGCATGAAGTGTCACTTGAAAATGAAGCTGAAACTATTATAGCCATTTCTCTGAAGTTAACATGACATTCATCTAAATGAACCTAAGTTAGAATATTTAAAATATTTTACAGATGGAGATCAGATTATTGTTAGATCAGTAGATAAGTTAGATCAGTACTTACAGTGGAATTGTTATTAACTTATATAAAGACTGGGGTCACTGGTCACAATTTTGTTCAATTTATATGAATAGAGAACTTCAAAAATTTGAACGGATAATTTAAACAATATTTTTGGATATCCATTTCAAGTATTTCAGAAATACATTTGCAAGAGACAAATAAATTCACAGGTCTTTTGAATAATTTATATTTCGAGTTGTGTCACTAAAATTGGTATATTTTTAAAATTTGAAGATGCATAGCAATAGTAATAATATAAATAATTTTTTATTATATCTTGTTTTCAAAGTTATAGATTGATATATATATATATATATTTTTTTTTTTTCTTTTATTAAATCCATTTCATATTTTAATAAAAAATTTAGTAACAAGTACTACAAAACCAGTTCCAAAGAAATATCAATTATAAAATATTTGTGATTCAAAATGTCAATTAAAGGCCTCCCATAAGGTGGTATAAAATAAAATATAATAATATTTATGTTCTCTTCTGATTAAAAAATGTATGTTATTTTTTGTGATAAAGTTATCTAATAAAATAAAAAATACTTTTATTTGGATATAGAACTATCATTTAATTAGGTAAATGGCCCATGTCGTGAGGTCCACTCACTAAAAGTGGAGGATAATCCCCTCCCTCCCACTTAATTACACTGCTGCTTCAATAATAAAGAAATGATATTAAAATCTTTAATGTTTAAACCTATGCATAAAACAGTGTGAAAATACTGGTTTAGATCAGGTAAGCATGTATCTAGATTTTTCTGTTAATATCTAGAAAATATGTGGGGAATCCCATACTTTTTCATTCAAGCCTGCAAATAGTACCAGAAGAAATACAGTGTTAAGGTGTTAGGTACAGTTTGTGTTTCTAAAATAGATAGTTGTATAGATGGTAGTTAGGTAAGCGCAAACAAAAAACAGATTACCCTTCGAAATAATAGAATAGATGATATCAAGATGCGTCAGTTTCTAAATGTCTATTTTAATACAATTTAAAGTTATAGCAATAAAAAATACAAACTTTGGTAGATCTTCTTCTTTCATTTTTTTTAAAAGTTGATTTCTTTCTATCAGTTTATGCATAGCTTCATCATAACCAACACTCCTGAAAATAAAAATGATTGAAGAAAATAATCAAAATAATATAGAATTTCGATGAAATTTTGAAACTTATCGTTTTACATTTTTAACCATAACAATAATTATTGGTATTGGTAGTATGTATACTATGTTTTCACTAGAAAGCTCAAGGGCAAAATGAAAGAGTTATATACATTGTTATTTTATTAATCTTTATATCCACTCAAAACAATAACCACCCAACCTGCAACCAACAACCATTAGCTTTCAGTTCCCTTCACTGGCAGACATATTACTATAGCATCTCCAAATTATTGATTTTCAAATTCATGAATTAAAACATCTTCGTGAGATTATGAAAAACACCTGAATAAGTCATGTAAGTCAATCATGAAACTTTTAATGAATATATATTATTCACAGATAATATACCACTATATAATACAATTTCGTATAATGAATATATATTACTCACAGATAATATAGCACTATATAATACAATTGTGTTAACAGTAACACTCACATCAACAAACACTCTAATTAAAATATAAAAAAACTGAATAGGGCAATATCATAAGACCTTTTCAACTGGCAAATGATTAAAAAAAAAAAATTCCTTGAAACCACTTTAGAGCATGGTAGTGTTGCCTTTTTCAAAATGACTATAGATTTTGACTATCTGTCGGGCTATCACTGCAAAATGGGTGTTCTCAATGCATCTAAAATATGGACCTGGGGCAATTAAACATACACACAACTTAGCAAGCATTGACAACTTAATAAAAGGAACTTTGAGATATCCAATATTTATCGGCATATCCATAACCGAATGACAAAACTCTCAACAATGAATAAATAAAAATCAACAAAAAAAAAAGTTTATAGCTCTAGAGTATGGGGTGTTTGAATGAAAGAGCATTTTGTTTTCCTAGCAGACCTGTAAGAAAATGCAGATTAACAGTTTGTAAAATTAGTTATAGATCGGCTGTGATTAGCTGGCAGCCTGAAAGAACTTTTGCGGCACCAAGTTGAACAAATTTTGTTTTATTTCTTCCTAAAAAATATTAACAAAGATTTGTTCAGTAATTTTTTGCACCAACATTCAAAAAATGACGGCACCTCTTTATCTCTGTTGTTAAAAATTAGAATTTAATTTATTTAGAATTAAAAGAACAAGAATCAATTAAATTTAGGTCAGGGATAAACAAAAGTAATTTACAGCCGTTGATGACCTTGAAGTTTTATGCTTTAAAGCTCCAAAAGACAAGAAACGATTATTTTTGTATCATACAAATGAAGAATTTTCGCCATTTTGCGGTTTGTGAAATGAATAATTTTATGTTACACAACGCACCCCCCGATCAACTCCTTCTCAAAAATTATTTACAATTAATAGGCCAAGAGAAGAACTGAATACAAACTTTCTTTTAGGTTATTTTTTATTAATTGTATTCTCAACAATGAGTTCGATAAAGAAAATATTCTTAGGTTATCAATGATATATTTGAGGTTATTTGATGACATGCTTAAAGTCAAAAAATAATATTTATTTTAAATATTGTAGTAAATTAAGTACTTACTTTGTAACAAAAGGTGAGTTTGGGTCATTCCTTTCTCTTTTTTTTATTATTTTGTCAATCTTCTGATTCTTTTCCATGAGTAGGAAATTAAGTTTCTTAACCAGTTTCATTCTTCAATAAACATGAGAAATGAAGTTAATACAAACAAAACTAACAATATTGGCAGAAAAGTTAGCATTTAAGCAATGTTAATAAGCTAATAAATATAATAGGATCTCAATAATCCGGATGGCAATGTAACTGTAGGCTCATCTGGCTCTAGCCCTCCTTCTTCCCTTTCCCTTCTTCTTTCCTTCATTCCTCAGTCCTTTATAATCCCACGTATCTAATACAGCACAAAACAAACAACAGATTTTTCAAATAAAAATAAAATTTAAATATAAAAGAATTGGAAACCCCCTTTAAACTACTGGTGTCCAGATTATTAATATCCAACTATAGTTTAATTCAATATGCACATTCCAATGAACCTTCAACCTTCAAGTGAGTATTGCAGTACAACCTAATAGATGGAAGACTATATTGAGAGAAGCCACCATTGAGGAATGGAACAGCCACTAGGTCAGTACCACTAAGAGGATACCATAACGTAGTATTTTCTCACCGTCCAGCCTCGACTAGAGAGCCAAGGTACAGATAAGTATTGGTATCTACAGCCTCAATGAAGGCTTTCCTCTACTCCTCTCTTTGCAATTCATTGCCTTCGTGTATTGGTGGAAGGAAATAGTTGGCTTTCTATTTCAATTTGAGAGTACGGCAAAGAAGGCAAAAACTCCAGCAATTTCTATCCAGGATGACTCCTAGATAGAAATGAAAACAACGTAGACCTTAAGTATATAAATAACGACCAAGATTGTATTGTTTTATAAAATTAAATTAAAATCGCATATTGTTGAACGACAAGAGCTGGGACAACAGACTCCGATAGATTTCAGTTTGAAATATTGCATAATTTTGTATTAACATGTGAAATACATAATAGTTTCTCTCATATTACCTCATATATTAAATTAAATCTACATACTGGCAGTGAAAATTACAAGCAAGAATAAAAGCACTTTAGAGAATCGTCATAATTTGAATTCCTATTTAGTCACTGAAATATTTTTAAAAACTACTGCTTTGAGAGTCAAAATCTACTACGTCTGTAGAAGACAAAAGACTGATATTGAAGAAATGTTATAATGCTACCTTTGAAAGAAGTAGTGACTAAAAGAATTAAACCTATTTAAGTGATAAAAAGATATTAAAAATAAACATGAGAAACAGGGATTATCGATAATCCAATTGAACTAAACGTTCATTGTGATTGTTAAAACTTCCTAATATCCTTTCAAAACACTAAAGGTATAGGGTAATTGGGGTGATTAGATAAATGAAGTGATGTACTATTTTTTTTTCTGCAAGAGAAAAATTAAGTTTTGAAATTAAGATAAACAAAAACATTTCTTAGAAATTAAATATGAAAAAATGAAACCTTTGATTCTAAAATAGCTGTCTTCCAAAGGTTCTTTTAATGCCTGTATCATAAAAAACAACATTATTTACAAATTTTGTCTTTTATTTATACATCTATTACAATTTTATAAATGAATAATAATTAAATTACAAGATGATTATTTCCATTAACTTATAATTGGATTAATAGACTTTAAAACAATGAGTTAAATAATATAAATACCTTTGATAGACATCATTTCTTATGAGTCTCAATACGCATCTTTTCTTAGGAAGATCCGGACACTCACAGTTTACGGGTTGTTCATTCTTATTTATTGATTCCCTTCAAAAACATATGAAACTTGAAAGTAATAATCAAAATAACATTAGTAAGATGAAACAAAAATTATATATCTATACAAACAAATTAAATACTTTCGAAAACATCTAGTGGCTATTTTAATATCAAGGTTCTTTTTCAGTCAATTATTCAAAGTTATGTCAGTTATTAATAAAAATATCTGCGATATGATGCCTTAATTCAAAACTACAAGGACAAGTAATTGTTTTAATTAAATGTATATTTAACAATAAAAGGATAGTAAAGAAAAAGAATTTTTTGATGACCCTATCTCAAAAATCATTTAAAGAATAAACAATAATACGGCACCAAAAATAAAAGTTGATTATTTCTATAATAATCTCATTTTGTCATTAAGTATTCCCACCAGCAAGATATGCCAGACTTATTATAACATTACTTAACTTACTCATTTCCAGAGCTATTGCTTTCTTCATCTTGTTCACAGCTACATTCACCAAATTTAAGATTCCTAGACATATATTGATGATTCATAATTACTTCACATATTACTATAAATTTATTTCAAATCAAAAGAAATGCAACATAAAACAAGCTTTTTAAATACTTTAACACACTCAAATGTTTGGAATTTAATAGCATTTCATCTTCCATGAAATTTAAAAATTGATTACTAAAAAAAATATTTGATAATTCATAAAATTTATTTTCAAGATAAATATATTTAGTTAGAATTTAAAATGAATCTGTAATTATAAATAAAGCTCATTATTTTAAAACACTCATCACCAATGTTCAAATAAACATTTAAAAAACAGACTGTATAAGTGTATGCTGGTATAAAATAATTTTATGATAGTCTGGAGGAACTAATGATCTAGTTGTCAGCAGTACAAAAGTTCATGCACAAGGACATCCACAGGTACACCTGAGTAGGTTCCAATAGAGTGAAAACCAAATTGACAATGTTTCGGTCATTGACAAGAGACATCAGAGCACAATACAAGATGTAAGAAACTATCGTGGAGCATTAAACTTTATCAGAAATTGAAATAAATTCACAAAACAGAAGATCAAGTGGAAAAGTAATATAAAGTCTGTAATTTGAATGATTTCAGAAGAAAAAACAAATTCTAACTTGGGCTAGAGAATAAATTCAAGCCCATGGACTGAGAGAGCCTCACAGTGGACCAACACTGGAAGGAAATAGAGGCAGGGCTAAAAGAAATTGCTAAGGAAGTGAAAAGTACCCAGGAGAAGTGTTTCAAAAGTTAATAAGTGATTCACAGAAGCAAGCAAACTGGCAGAACAGGAAAGAAGCAAAATGAAAATCCTCTGCCTAGCCAAAACTGATCAAGTTACTCTGGACAATTATACAGCCACCAGGAAAAAGGCAAACTAATCAATAAGTTCGGCAAAAAGGGAATTCCTCAAAGAAAGATTACAAACCATTAAGGACAACTGGTAAGCTTTAGGAAGGCATTAGGAAAGAAAGGGGAGGATTAAGTGAGAAAGATGTAAATGCAACGAAAATATGGTATTTTTATGGCATCTAAAGAAAAGATATTAAGCCATAGACATGGACAGCACTGAGGACCTCAATCCAGAAGAATTTGAAAAAACAGATATATCAGGATATGGCTATATGGATATAGTACAGGATATGGCTATATGGATATAGTACAGGATATGGCTATATGGATATAGTACAGGATATGGCTATATGGATATAGTACAGGATATGGCTATATGGATATAGTACAGGATATGGCTATATGGATATAGTACAGGATATGGCTATATGGATATAGTACAGGATATGGCTATATGGATATAGTACAGGATATGGCTATATGGATATAGTACAGGATATGGCTATATGGATATAGTACAGGATATGGCTATATGGATATAGTACAGGATATGGCTATATGGATATAGTACAGGATATGGCTATATGGATATAGTACAGGATATGGCTTTAGAAAGGCTTAAAACAAGAAAGACCCCAGGGATGGACAGTACACCATCAGAACTTTTTAAAGATAAGGAAGAAGACTTAAAAGCCAAGTTACTATAACTAATCTACAAAATAAGGGAGGAAAGAATGCCAGAGACTTGGAATACGGACCTATCTGCCCTATCCTAAAGAAAGACACTCCATGTAATGAGTGCAATAATTAGTGATTTAGCACTCTTTCTGGTTGCCTACAAGATAATGACCAATATCCTGTTAAACCGGGTATATCCATATTATGAAAATATAGGTGACCACCAGTTGAATGCAGAAGAGGAAGTGACACAGTAGACCAAAGCTTCATCCTAAAACGATGGGAAGCAGTTCAGGATGTGCAGGGCTTATTTGTTAATTTCAAAGCAGTTTATGATTCCATGGACAGGAACTCTTCTTTGAAAAATAATGACTGGAAAGGTAATTGCTGGGAAGTTAGTGAGATTGTCAAAAGGATTTACAAATGACCCTAAATATTGAGTCCTAAAACAAGAAGAAGTATCTGAAACCTTCAAAGTTCGAACTGGCTTACGCAAGGAAGATGGACTCTCACTGATGTTCAACTTAGTGCTAGAGAAGGCGATAAGAATAAAATAAAGCAAAAATATAGGAGTTCGCGTTGGAATAAATTATAAAATGTCCTTAGAAGCAGCCAAGAGGACATAGGACTCTAATAAGAGAAGCAGAGAAAATCAGGCAACAAGTAAATGAAAAAAAAAATAAAATATATGAAAACAAACTGAAAATCCCTGTAACAGAATCTGTGTAGAAGAGAAATGTTCTCAAGAATAGACAAATTCAAATACCTCAGCTCCACAATAACCTCAATGAATGACCAATGGGTGGAAATAGTCTAGAGCAAATAAGGAATTTATTTAAAAGAAATAACAAATGTAATCAGTTTTCTCCTCTCTTTCAAAGGCATTGAAATTTAAAATTAAGGCCAATGATAAACTCAGGCTGCGAGACCTGGAGATTAACCAGCACTCTAAAAAGATTTAAGAGAAAAATCCTCTGCACAATAACCGGGGCAATCTGGGATCTGATTACTAATACGTGGAGGTGAAAGAACAATAAAGAGCTATGTACAGCAACTTGTCAATCAATACCTCATGATACAGAAATTAGAATGAAGCTTAGAGCAATGCATATGGAAGCCTCTAAACAACAATAAATGCCTCAACAGCAGGCTAAGACTACATTGAAGGCCAAATACCAAATAGATAGATTGAATCAACACATGTGTAGCTGCATGCAGATAACTGGAAAGAAATAGCCCAAGATAAGTAGAGATAGAGATGGCAGCAAAAGATCTACAAGATCTGTAATGCCAACAGAAAAAATAAATTAAAGGTAATTATATTGTTGTATGTATAATAAGTAATGATATTGTTGATCTTAGATGTAAAATAGAAAATGTTGGTTTGGGTGCATTCAAAAAAGTTATAATGTTATTATACTCAGTATATTTCATTTTTGGCTGTTCTTACTCTTCTCCTAATGTCTTCTTTACATTAATTTTAAACTTACATATCAAAAACCATATCCAGCATTTTATATAGTTTAGCTTGTTCAACAGGAGTTTGAAGAGCTTTCTTTTGACTGGTAATGCTAAATCAAAAACAACAACAAATTAAAACAAATTCATAAATTTAATAGATATGCTAAATAAACTATTTTTTTTTTTAATTTACAGATTATCAATGAATTCTCCTAGAGAAAACAGTGTTCTTATATCCTCTTTTATAGTGGCACATTCACATTTTCTGAAAAAAAAAAATCCTTAATAGTCAAAAAACAAGTATGTCAAATAAAAATAAGTAAAAATCAGAAAGAGTAAAAAATTAGAATGCAGATTTGTAACATTAGTTTTGATACTATATTAGTCATAATATTTTATTAGCTGCTTTATACTATTCGTACACGAATGTTATATCTAGAAGAAATGCCATAAACTAGAAAAACAGTATTTGTATAGTGGAAGCATGGGTTGAATTTTAATGACTAACACTGGGGGGACAGTGTATAGATATATACCTAGTCCTGTCATAAATATTGTTACAAGGAAATATATACAGATTTTAACAGAAAAATTAATTTTTTCAAAAAAATTATTATAAAATAAAATGTATGTTTATTGATTAAAAGAAATCACCCAAAATGTCACCCTTTTCCCTTGACACAGGCATTTAATCTCCGTGGCCAGTCACCAATAGCAGCACGCAGCACTTCTTGAGGAAAGCGCTCAACTGCTCGGACCAGAGATTGTTTGAGGCTTTCCAAGTTAGGGTGTGCTCTCTCTGTGGCATGCCATTTTCTCCAGTTCAGACCAAAGCCGATAATCTAGTGGGTTGAGATCAGAGCTTCCTGAGGGTCAATCCGATGCAGAGATGAACACTGGAATGTTCTTTTGCAGCCACTGCTGAGTTGACCTGGCCTTGTGAGCTGGAGCAGAATCCTGTTGGAAAACCCAATGACTTCCAGCAAACAGTATCTCGTTTAGAGGCTTGACAGCAGTTTCCAAAATATGGTCCTGATAGATTTTAGCGGCTGTTATAACTCCTTTTTCACAGAAATGGAGCTTTGTGGGGCCACCAAAGCAAACTCTTCACCAAACCATCACTGAGGAAAAGTCTTTCCACTCTTCCAATGACTTCTTGGACTTCTTTAGAGCTGTGTGCGAACACACGATCATAGTGGCGATTAAATTTATCTTCAATCGTAAAAAATGTTCTCATCGCTACACAAAATCTTTCGATGAAAATAATTGGTGTAACGGATTTATTAGTGTTTAATAATTTAATAATTGGCTGATACCCAAAAGTTTCAAAATGATGAAAATCTTTGACCTACATTTTCCAACTTTGTCTAAGACAATCACAGCTATTTGGTTTTCTTTATCACTCCACTCCATGTTAACTGAGCAAAAGAAAAAGAAAACTAATTGGAATTATTGTCCTGACATGTAAAGAAAATAACCTGATAGAGGTAAGGATTATCTAAATAACACCCGAGGATATAATCAAAGTTCAACTTTTGTAACAGTATTGATGGCAGAAATAGGTATAGAACAGCAACAGAGTGGATATTTAAATAAAATTTAACTGTAATTGCCTAAATTAACAAAGCTATTTTGTTAATTTGTAGAGGTATTTTGTAAAAAGTGGAAGGGGAATTTTAGGTCTCAAACCTGAAAGCCACATCCCACTTGTATCCTCTAATGTTGACAAATAAACCATTACATGCTTCAATAAACAAATGTAACCAAATATAACCTTATTTAGTTAATTGAACTGTAATTATATTGCAATTCAATAGTAATAAATATAAAATATTTTGGGTAAAGAAACCTGCAAATTAATAAATTATAGAAAATTCAAACCTACAGAATCATTCCAGTACAGTAAAATATACATACGTTCCACAGAAGTTCTTGTCATTACAGCCACAAGAGACATAAAGTTCCCTATAAAATATAAATAAAATAAATAACAACAGTAACAATGCTAAAATCTATACAGGATTAGCCCAAAATAAATTTGAGACAATCTGAAATCAAGACCAAGCCACCATTCAAAACCATCAACAGATCTTTAATAAATTGATATATTAAAATTTTAAAAATGTAGCATTAAGCAGAGATTTTGCAAGCACTTACAATCATTGAACTGATTATTATGTTGCCATTAAAAAGCAGAATGAAAACAATTCATCATCCAGAAATTCATAATTATTGCCCAGTAAAACTCATGCATGGTTTTCATGATTACATCACTAATAACTGAAATTAACTTACAATTCAGGATGCGAATTTCTGATCTTGGTAATTATTTCCAGCAGCTCATCTTTGCTTCTGAAAGTTAAATATATCTTTTACTGGCTGAAATAAAAAGTTGCTGCAAAGAGCAGCTTGTTTTATTAAAAATTTGACAATTAGAATTTTTTATAAAAATAAAACATGAAAAATTTGGTTTTCTACATACAAAATTAGAATAAATTAAGAATAATTCATAATTCTAGGAATAATCTCTCAGCAACATATCTTTATTACAATCAAAAATGTATATTTACTTTCTTGGAAGGATGTTACTGAAGAATCTACCAGTGATTGAAAATTCTCTCAAGGAGTATATAAAAAAACTGAGAAACTTTTAATTCCAAGACCAAATTAATAATATAACTTTTATTTTTGAGACTTATTAAATAATAATTTTCAAAAAAAATAAACTATAAGGGACTAGAATCTTAAGTTAAAACAGTGAAATCAAACTTTTTATAGCCTTACTTATTGGTCTTATTGTTAAACCAAATAGCAGAACGATGCGAGGGAAAATGACATTTGCTTCAAGAGGTAACTTTCATGGAATAAAAAATTTTAAACAAAATTGTATTTTCAATTTTAAAATATTTTTGTATTATTATTATGAGTTGAAATTTACTTCAAAATATATTACCTAAAAACAAGGACGTAGCCAGCTGAATACCGAAGGAAAGAAAGATTTTTTTTAAGAAGAGAAAACAATAAACTTTCACTCTTTATTTCTTGATAATGTTGAAAAAAAAAAAAACTTTCTCACTTAATCAATTTTTCAGGTAGAAGGAATATCTCTCGACCTCCTGCTGAGAGAAGACTATTACAGGTACAAGATTAGAGGAGATGCCCAGCGGATCTACCCCAGGACCTCCGAATGGAAGAAGATCCTAGAAGCTGGGAGAGTATTTTCCGGGAGGATACAGTAAAAGAGAGGAACCGGCGGTGGTTGACGGCACCAAAAGGAGCAGCCCTGGAAAATATTTTCCCACCCTCTGATCACGAATAGAAGCAACTTGGGCCCTCCCGAACTTCTGGATCTCGCAGATTCTCATGGGGGATTCAAAGATTTAGTTCAATGTAAACATCGATCCTCTAAGCCTAAGTTGAGGAGTACCGGAGACCGTTGAGCATATTGTACTTGCCTGTACCACCTATGAGTCCTTCAGAGTCAAACTGTTGAGAGACAGGCCTTTATATCCTTAAGGAAAGAGATATTCCTTAAATAATGACTAAAGACAACTTCAAGTTCTTTAAAACCTTCGTAAACGGATTTAAAGAAATGGTGTCACCAACCTACTTCTCTCTAGGAAGAAGAGGAGGAGCTGCACCTAGGAGGCCACCGGAATGAGAAGGAGGGAAGAGAAGAAATCTGAACAAAAAATTGTAATTGCTTAAAAAATGCTTGAATGGGTGGATATGAACAGGATGCCACTACTGTGAAAGCCCGTATTGCCCTAGAGGCGGGACATGGTGGAAAATAAATAAAAATAATATTTTTTTCGGAAATTCATTTTTATTTTTACTTTATTTCAAATGTTATCCTCATTGGAAGAAAAGCCAGCTATTCACTTTGGATAGGCCCTTGCTCCGTATAACAAAATATATTAATATAAAAATTATGCCTCTTAAAATTTTAGGAGAACAACTAATAAATATATATATATACTAGTAGGCCCGTGCGAAAAATTCGCACAACATATAGTTATCATATACCAAATTAATAAGAAAATAAAAAAATGCAACGTATCAAAAGATTAATAAATCAAATGTTACTTTATCGATAAATATAATCAATCCACAAAGCAAACAAAACTTTATTTAAATCTTCGTTTTTGTTTGGAACCAACATGTTTACAAATTTCAGTAAGCTGTATCTTTGCTAAAAATTGTCCGATTTCTATGATTTTTTTTTTCCTTTTGTAGGGAATTTAGTAATCTTTTATATAATCATAGGCATAACCCAGGGAAAAGTGTGTAATTTTTGAGTTATTCGCAAATAAAGTTTGTTTTCTTTCATAACTTGTTTGCCTGAATTTTCGGGATGATTGGACTGTTTTGCCAGCCTGAAGGAGAAAGAAGCCTTCGAAATTGGTGGCTCAATTTAGAGATTTGGTGAAAAATTAACGATGATATGGCTTGCCGAACAAAAAACACCATCGATAAATAATAATAAACTCCTCCTCTCTCGATCATAGAGACCTCAAGTCGACGGAATGAGGCATGTATTCAATGACAGTACTACAATTAATGTAAGGTTGTGTGGATGCGAACCCTATGCCTTGCGTTATCTCAAAAATAGTACGTTTTTAGGCTTAAAAACGCAGGATCCGATAATCCCGGAGGAACTACCCGGGTCTTGCTGTACGCATCAAAATCTTCAAGATCCAATTTGTCCCGTATCGATCTACAGACCTACCACCGTTCCACTATTGAAGCCTAGCAAAATGTTTGCATCGACTTTATTTATTTTAGAAAGAAAAACAAAAGTGGAGAATCCGATTTGCTAACCCCACGTGAAATTCTGAATCCAACGGTACCCCATTCAGGGTATTTGAGCATGACATGAGCTTATATTTGGTACAAAACCGATTTCGAGCCTTACTGTAATAATATATGTGGGGATATATATATCAACATTAATAAAACTATTTTAAACCAATTTTCCTCTATTGGTTAAAAAAAAAAAAAATCTATCCGCTACAACCCATGAGGGTCTTGGGTTCAGTACTATTTAGGGAAAGTACTGTTTTAAGGCTAACGGTTGTGCAGATAGGGAATCGAGCCAGTATCACGCTCAACCGCCAGTTTTCCCCCTTAGTCAGTTATTTAATTAAGGGTAGCAACTATGTAGAGGCTGGTTGTGCCCTAGGAAGGTTGTCCTACCTCAGGGTCGCCCCACGGTCAATGGAGCAGAATAAATAATTTGTCTGCCATGAGCCGGGATTCGAACCTGGGTCCTTGAACATTGGAAGCTTAGTGCCTAACTACCGAGCTAACCTTCATAGGCTAAAGTTCTTCATTATCATAAACGAATTCTTCCTCATTCGAAGAGCTTCTACCAATCGTAAAAATCCTCTATTGTTGATTCTCAGATTTGCATTTTACTATGTATAGTAGTAACATTACGTATTTACAAACCTCTTATTATTATTGTTAACCTATGGCTCTTCCCTTCCTTCCGAAGACAATATTTCCTAGGCACATTCCTTTACCAAATAATCAATAGTCATCGTCCGTCCTACGCATACAATCTCCTACAATTCAAATCATCTATCCACACCCTCTCCACAAGATCTCGTCCTTCTGACCTTTACACTCCTTTCCACAGATCTGCATCATTTAAACATTCCTTCGTTGTCCGTTCCACCGCATTCTGGAATTCCATCCCACTAAAAATCCGCCATGCATCATCCTTAGCCACCTTTAAAACCCTCTTATTCCAATTCCTCTTCACAATCCAATCAGATGCTGGGTAAATACATACTATGTTATAAGGATTTAATTTTCTTTAGACATTATTTTTTTCTCTTATTTTTTATTGTTTTATTCTGTGTTGAACGTGAATTTTCATCACCACTCACTAAGCATTGTGAGTAGATAAAATTTGTTTTCCTTAAGTTCTAATTTGTTATTCATGGAATGTATTTCAGTGAAATGTATTTTATTTCTAATTATCTTCAACATACTTCTCGCTATGTGTATATATATACTTTATTTTATTTTCTCTTCTCCTAATCTTTACGCATAATCACTTAAATATCTTAGGGAACATATGTATATCATTATTTGTTTTTTTATATATTTTTTTGTTTTAGTTTTTACAATTTCTTTCCCTACATATTAACAGTTATTATTATTTTTTTAAATTTTTATATTACATCACTACAATGATTTACCTATAAAATAGATTGTACTTTCCTTTATAATTTCATTCAGTGATTATTATGCAATTATTTTAGCTCCAATATTGTAGTACTGAATCCCTATTACCAAACTGTCCTCGTTAATTAATACTTAATGTATTACATGTATTTTGTCATTATTCATTGTAATAAGTCTTTTGACCAGATTTGTAGTTAATATATATGTACAATACTGTTATTCTAAAGGGACCTAGTCCCAGAATAAAGATGATTTTTCTATTCTATTCTATTCTATTATTACGATAGTATTTTTCCTCCGCAGAGTAAGTTTGTATTTTTTTTTTTTTTTTTTTTTTTTTTTTTTTTTTTTTTTTTTTTTTTATGAAACGAATTCCATGGATCTTCTCTTGAATAAATGTTTTTGAGATAATGTACGTAATACGTTTTTCTCCTACTTCACCAGATGTCCAACACACCTTAATCTGCTAAGTCAGACATCTGGCATTGTCTTTGAAGTGTAGATTTAAAGTAAATCATTTCTTGTCGTTGGTTGCGGAATGAAACGAAACAACTGGTCGGAGCAGAAAAAGTGCAAGAAATATGAAAAGTTTACTTGGAACGTCTTGCCAAAGTAAAGAACAACCTGTCCCATGATGTAAATGATGTACCGGATATCAAAATCTAACCTATGGTTCTACGGTGTTCGTAATAAGACCCTGGTAAGTGCAATACTGACATATGGGTATAAAACCTTAATCTAAAGCCGGCTCACTGTTCTTGTTGGTGAAAAGTATTTTGGGAAAAATCACTGAGAAAATGAATTGGGTTGTGGGAAAGATCAAGAGCTATGCGTGTTTACATGGAATTAGATATCGCTAAATTTGTCTGATTAAGCTGAAGGAAAAAGGCTGTACTTCTGGAGATTATGGAGAAAGACATTATCCCTAAAAAGGTAATCCAGGAGACGATGAAAAAAGAGGGTTCCAAACGCTGGGGAAGAAGATTATTACGCATATCGATAATGAAGTACTTAAAGTGCAAATTTGAAGAGCAATGGTAAAAGACTTTTACTGGTAGGCGGGAGTTTCTCCGATGAGGAAAGCTGCAGGATTTAAAAGTCGAAGGTCCATAAGAGATGGAGATAGAGATTGGACGAATGACACTAACTACATATTTAAATTTTTAACAGAAAAATAACAGACTAAGTTCGTACAATTGGCATAAGTTCGAGGAAAGGATAGGATATGAATCTTGTTCTTTTGATCGTTTCATTTCGAAATGATCAAATGAAAAATTAAAGGATTTGGTTAAAACTTTCTTCTGATATCCCACTATTCCCAAATAATATGTAATTCTTTGCTACAATATGGCTTAGTCAAAGTTGTATTCGTTGTGTTCAAAAAATTAATTATTAGAGTCATGTAACAGGAATTGGTCTGTTATAGATTTGTCTGATGATCTATTTGTGAATGCTTCAGATTAAAGTCGTTGATATCAATCAAAATTTATACCTTTTTGCTTTTTAAATATACTGTGCCGTAATATTACTCAGGAACATCACTAAAAAGTGTTATTACTAATTAAGAAACGGTCTATTGCTATCAAACTACAAAAACATTTATTCACCATTCTATTAGCTCTGATCCTACAGATCCAAACCAAATACGGCTACCTGCCCCCCCTGAGCTACAGTTTGTACGTTATTGTTATCGAATAAGGTAACTAGTTAGAGGCGAAAGTGAAATATTAAAATTATGTTGGTGTTAAGATTTAATAAAAAATGAATATATTACTGTTCATCAGGGGCAATCATGAAACTACTTGATTGTTCCGTTTCTTCCATAATTTTAATTCTTTGTCTGGAACCAATTTGCTTACGTCAATATCAGTGAACCGAAAAAAATATTATAAACTTATTACCTCCGTAATTTAAAAAAAATTAATTTTGAAAAAAGTTAGATTTCAACATTGTGTACCTTTGTCTACTTATCACAGCTGATAAAGCTGTGAGCTTGTAATGTTATCAGAATGTGATAGAGTCAATATCATTTTGAATCATAATGAAATAAGTCGTATAGTAACGCATTAATTATTTATTTTCTATAGGCTTTTCATTACTGCAATGAATACTTCCAGTGCATCATGGTAAACATACTATGAATCATATGAATTGTCATTAAATACATCAAATTAAGTTAAATTCAAGTTTATTTTTTGTTGCATTGACTGTTGTATTATTAGGATTGAAATATTATGTTTAGACTTTGCCTTGCTAAATCAGAAGGATATTTTTATAGTTCTTTGAATCCTGTGTTTATGTGTAGGTCTTATGGGGATGGCCATATGTCTTCGAACTTTCATTGGTCAGACCACCATGGCAATACCAGAAACAATTCTACCATGTCAAAAATGCAGCACCAGTATTGGGTAACAAAAGAAACTGTACTTAAAAAGCTTGGTAAAAAACAAGATGAACATATAGTTGCAAGTGATGCCGAGCTAGATGCCAAGCTTGAATTATTTAAGTCAATCCAGGAGAGCTGTTTAGATTTACAGAGAATTATTGATAAATACCAGGAAAGGTTATGTGGTTAGTACTGTGTCATTCATTATATTGTCATTTAGAGACATAGGATCATGTGAAGTTGATTAGTGTTGTGATATAATTAACGGTACTACTGTAAAAATGTCACTCCACCGTGTCCAGTCTGCCAAGATTCCTAATTAGCACTGTAAATGGTGTTTGAATAATCGTCTAGGATGGATGTGTACACAGTATAACCTCCCTTTATTTATATTGTGATTTGGGACTTTATCAAACTCTTTACTTGTCCTTTTCAGTTGAAATGGGGGAATTAATTAGCTTATGTTGCTGTGTGGAGATCGGTGCCTTACTGGGTGGATCAGTCACCTCAGTCTACTTTGGAATACACACCGCTGTTTTCAGAGTTCTGGTTATAGCTTGAACAAGGATCTTGGCCCACTTGATTAGGTGGAGTGACATTCTTATTGTGGTACCCAATGCGTTTGGTGAAATAGTAGTATAAGCTGTAGTGTTTACTATGTCTGGTTGACAGGTGTTTAAATGTCATACTATTACATAGAATGCAGAAGTTGAATGTATCTGTCTTTTGACAGGTCAGGTTAGGTAACAATTCCTACTAAACAAACCACATTAAATAAATTTGGCTGGGTACATAGAATTGAATACAAGAATTTAATTATTCTTATAATCAAATGTTAGAAATTTAAACAAATAAGGAAAACATGTAATGACATATTATAAACACCTGTTTAAAATCTTTATGCATTAAGGCATATCCAGATACTGCTTTGTAAAATAAATAAATCAACACACAACTTTCACTTACCGATCTACTTTGAATAGAAATTATTGTCTGGCAATGCTGGGCTATTATAAAATTTTTTGAAGTGCATTTTAAATGCGAGCTAAAGCTTAAAGCTTACAGATAACAAGTCATTAAGACAATTATAATTACAAAATGTCTATTTAATATATCAACGACAGCCAATAGAAAAATCAATTCATTATATCTGATTTTATAAACCACAGAATGACTAACTCCAATTTCAACATTTTTGAGTGATGTCATTTTAGTGATATTTTTAATTGAAAAACTTATCTATGCAGACAAAGAGTAAGTTGATTCCAGAGGTGGTTTGCAGTGTTGAAATATAGAACTGTGAATAAAAGTATAAATTTAGGTACTACTTTTTTATGAAAGATGTTCTTAGGAAAGACACTTTATTAAATATCTGTAGAAAAAAAGGTTTTTTTAGTCTCAACAATTAAAAAAATATATTTTAAATTTATCCAAATTTTCACCTCTTCAGGGAAAAAAACTAGAGACCATATCTTTCCTCCTAATTGTCCGATTTAAACGTTTTTTTTTGTTTTTTAGGAAATTCCATAAACTTTTAAAAAACCATATACAATATCGACAAAAAAGCTATACTTTTTGAGTTATTCGGAATTTAATTTTTACATCCCTCGTAACTTTTTTCCAGCTTCTTTTCGTTGAAGTATGTTATATAGATAAATTTAAAGGGTATCGAGAAAATGACTAGCTAAGTTTCATTGAAATCGGTGCATTCGTTTAGGCGCTACAGTCTGTAGGAACACAGATTTTTCTGCATTTTTATTTTTTTCTCCTTTATTAATTCATCGAATTCTTTCAAAAGTTATATGTAGCATTTTTTCGTAACTCTGAATAATGTGAAATGGTTAACTTTTTAAAATAAACCATATTAAAGGTACTTTAGTGGAAGACATATATGAACATTGAGCATTTAAGCCCTGTAAAGTGACATCAACGGGGATAAGACCTGATATTAAAGAGCACTTAATTATACAATGATACACCAAGTTTGATCAAAATCGTTAAGAGTCATTTTTGAGAAAATTGTAAAAATGTGGTTCAGCGTTCATATAAAGTGGCACTTCCGTTTAGCCAATTTTAACAAAAAAGTTGCTGTCACATCCGGCCCATATACAAACCTTAAATATTTAATATCAGTTTCGTACTACTTTTCGTTTATGGGCTAGACTGTTAACACACACACAGACCATTTTGCGACACTTGCTTATTTGAACTCAGGGGACCTCAAACCATGTATTTCCGTTGAAAACTGAGATTCAAAAATTTTCACGATCGCAATGCTTACCCTTACTATATATTACATACATACGTAAGTGAAAGTAAAAAAATGACTAAAATGAAGTCTGATAAATTTAATAGTATTGACAATTTTGTTCTGACCAAGTGGCCGACAAGAGGTAAGATGATATAGCAACTGCATAGCTGCAGTCTTGGATTGATCAAAGTCTGATAAGAATGTGTCCGATTAATTAATAAAAAAAAAGATCTAATATATAATAGGATTTTAGTGACAATTATTGCAGCAAATAAAATGGGCGTGTAAAATTATTGGGCTTTGTAACAAAGAAATCCCTAAAAGGTTAATAATATTTGTTGTGCCGCCTAGTAAACATCCGAGGGTAGACCGAAGCGAACGTGGCAAGATTTTTTGTTATTGCCCCAACAGTAAAAAAACTAAGTTTTTTAAAAATCTTAATTTAAATATGTGCCACAAAAACATATGATTACTTGTAAAAATTGTGAGCAAATAAAACCTTGTTTGAATATTAAGAGTGATAGTTTGAAGATGTAGTAGATGAAGGATACCAACATATTCATGTAAATCACAAATATAATTTTATGGATCCTGAAAATTCTACCATTACTCAGAAAATAGAAAGAATGTGGGTCTCCACTAAATGGAAAAATAAGAAAATTCATGGAACCCAAAGAACTTTACTAGATTCGTATTTTGCAGAATTTATATGGTGCCAAAAAATTAGACCGACGGATCCATTTATCTAAATATAAAAGATATTCACTATTTTTATAATGAATGCCTTCTTGTTAGTAAATAATTCTTTGCATCATATGTTTTTAATTCTAATGTTACCATATTATAATTTAAAAAAAAAATTATTTTCTACTGTTGGGGCAATAACAGAAAAGTACCAATTTGTAACAAGAGGGAGCTATGTGGACAGCAATTGAAGGTGCCAGCATAAAACCTTCGGGTTCGCTAAGCCTTTTATTATTATTATTTAGTAATAATATATTTAATTACAATTGATATTAATTACAGCTGGCAATAAGTCTTTTTATGTTCTGGCAAAAATACTAAAATCCAAGGAACTGACCTAAAATGCCAAAGTAATAATTTATAAAACCATTATAAGGCCAGTTGTTGCCTGAAACATGGGTTTTGACAAAGGAAAGTGAGAGTTTGTTGACAATTGACGATTGGAGTGAAAAGTCCTAAGGTAAAAATGTGGTGCGAAGAAAATAAATGACCAGTGGTGAATACAGAACAATGTCAAGCTCTATTAGCTGTGTACAATATTGACAGCTCTATTGGCTGTATGACAATATTGTAGTCACTGTCAAAAGGTGCTGCCTTAGATGGCTAGGCTATGTAGAGAGAATGGAGGAGGATTGGTTACCTAGGAAACTTCTTTATAACAGCCCAGGAGAAGGAGCACCTCTTAGGGGAAGACCCTGGCTGCGGTGGATCAATAACGTAGAAGAGAACCACAGCTGTATGGATATAAGAAAATGGAGAAGAATAGCTGCCAATAGGGAAGTCTGGCAGAAGCTTGTTTCTGATGTCCAGGTCCGTTAAAGGGACTGTTGAGCAAATTAATAATAATAACAATTAATGAAGAGAAGAATAGTTGGAGCAATCAGTCAAATAAGACGGCAAAAATAAATGATAATATTTATTTGTAACAGTTATTATTATTTATCTCTTAGTTCTTACTATTGTCATTATTCTAACAACTTCATTTTACTTTAATTTTTTTACCTACACTACTTATGTTTCTTATACCTTGTTATCTGGTTCTTTTCTTAGCCCTGATGAAGGCCTGAACTTCAGGTCGAAACGTCGGCAAATGTCAAAATAAATATTATCATTTATTTTTCCCTTCTTATTTGATTGATCACCCCAACTATTCTTCTCTTCATTATTCACGACAGTCAACCATTTTACCCACAATAACAATTAATATATTAATATATTCAGTGTAAATAAGGTATATGGAATTTAAGAATTTTGTTTATTATTTATCTTTAGTCTCAATTTTGATTAACCATTTTTATTGCAATTTTAAGTTGGTATTTACTGTTCATTTTCATTGTTTCATGTCTCTCCTTGATTTAATAACTATTAATTTAATTTAATTAATGGGGCTGGTTTAGCAGTACGGGCTAGGGCACTAGATAATAAAGTGCAGATAGGTTATCTAGATAGGGCAGTAGATAATCAAAGTTAAGCAACGTTGAGCATGTTTAGTACTTGGATGGATGACCGTCCACCAGTGAAAGCGATGCAGCCCAAGTATCTTCCCCTCCCCCAGATATGTGAGGCCCATCAGTCTACTGTAGGCAATTCACACTGACTGAGCATAGAACTGATGACCCTACCCCGTGTACTTAAATCGGGAATCGGGATGTGGCTCACCAGGATGTTAGTAGCCCTCCTGGGTTCAGTCCATGGACGGTCTGTTTCGGGGAAAGAAATATAGGTTCTTGCTGACTCCAAGCAGCCATAATCCATGGATTTAGACCGATTTGTCACTGTCCATGAACCTGAGAGAGTCAGTGGGAAGGACATTGCCAGATTGGTCCCAAAGGTATCGGCTATGGAGCAACGGATGGCCTGCCGCGGCCCCATGGAGATCATGGTTCGTAGCAACGTGAGGTTGGGTGACCCTCTCAAGGCCAAACATCTTCATGGTCTGTAGTGCTGTGATCGAGCTATAATACCAAAATGATAGTTTAAGATCATGGTTAGGACCAAAATCACATCAACCATAAATATGCTGATCTCCCGAACTTCCTTAAAAATACATTATGAAAGGTATTTGACAATAAACTGATGAGGACCTCTTGGAGGTTCATTTTTCTCTAAATTGAGTGGAGGTCAATAGTTGTGACCTGATTAAATTATTGATAATTTTAATCACCACTAATTATCCATATTAACCTTACTTTGTTTGTAACCTAATCTAAACATATTGTATCAATGAGGACACGCCTGTCATTAAATGTAAATATGATTGTCCACACTTGTCTAAGTATTTCGCTGAGTGATTGATGTTATATTATATCTGTTATAATATAACATCTTATTATATGTTATATTATTGTGTATTGTCTTTTTAATCAATTACCTTTACTTGTTACTTAAATAAAATATTATAGTTTCATGATGAGACTAATAACATCTCAGTAGTTAACTATGAAACCAACAAAGGATATGTTTTGTTACAGTCCTTGCACAGGAGGAAAACTCTATGGGTCGTTTCTTAAAAGAATCAGGTAAAGCTGATAAGACTGGGGCAGGAAGTTTAATGATATCACTTGGGAAGACTATGTCACAAGCTGGTCAGCAACGAATTTCTTTAAGGTCTCCACTTTTGCGACTTTTCCAGGTACTGTTGTCTTTTTTATTCCATTTTAGTAATTTATTGTTTAATATTTCAAACTGTCCATAGGATATTATAATACTTAAAGAGAAGTATCAAATGAAGTATAGTTGATATTATAAAAATGTTGAGCATTGTTGTATCTTAATCTTTACAGTCGATAAAAAACTAATACTATTTGATGCCACAAATATATAGTATGAGATTTCTATTTTATGTTCCTCCATTATCTTTTGTGCGGTCTCTTTTCTTTCTTGACAATCGTTCATTAAATACTCATTTAGAAAATTAAATTGAATTTTAAACAGAATGATTAGAACCAAATATGCCAGGTTTACTATAATTTCAGTAATTAAAGCAAAATTTCACTGAAATTGTCTTAACATTTTAGCTTTCTTTACATTTACATGTATGTGTAAACGTTATTATCTTTCAACTTATTATCATTGATTATTAGTTACAGTTATTGTGTCACAAAGATTTTTATTTTCACCAGGAAGTGGAAACATTTAGGCAAAGGGCGATTGAAGATACTGAGAGAACTGTGCAAGCGATGGAAAAAGCTCGTACTAAATACAGAGCTTCTCTTTCTTGGATGAAGGATGTTTCTCAGTCATTGGATCCCGATGCTTATTCTCAGTTAGAGAAATTCAAAAAGGTTATTGATGTGTCATTGGTTTATTGTATTGTTATTTATCGACAGCCACACTGCAAAAGTCTGTAAGAACATAAATTAAAAATTTTCAGGAGAGGAAAAAAGCTGAGTAATTTTTGTTCTATGAGCATTATATTTTCGATTCAATTTTTTTTGTAGGCTTTAGAAAAAGATGTAATGCTTTATGTAACTTTTTAAATTGTATCAAATTAAACCTGCAAAATAATCTTTTAGAGCCACTAATTCTAACTTATAGCTTTTTAGTTACTTAGAAAAACAGATATTAGTTAGGTAAGAGCAATCATATTTATCTTAGTAACACCCATAACTTTGTTAATAATGATCAAATTATGGACAGGAAGAAGTCAGTTTCCAAAATGTAGAGAAACGATATTTCAAATGAAAATTTGTAAAAAATTTGACTGGAAAGCGAGTATTTGATCACACGGGTTATCTCTCTTTTTTCTCTCCCACTGTAAGAGCGCCTCGAACAGAGTGCATGCGCCCCATTTTTTAGTAGTCTAGGAAAGATTCGTTTTTAATGTACTCACCTTCATATGGACCTGGTTTGATTTATGAATGCTTTGTAAGTTCTAGGTAATCTTCTGATGTGTAAATCATTTTGTTTCTGAGCTTCTGCTGCGGTTTTAAAGATTCATTGGCTCAAAAAGATAAAACTAGAGTTCTATTATCGCCCCGTGTTAAATTTTCCAATTAATGAAATCAATTCTCTGTTCCTTACTATATGGGATTTGGTGGCATTGTAGGTTTTTTCCAGTCAAGCTCAATTTGCAGTTGCCAGAAGGTTTCGATTGTTTAGAAGGCCGTTCAATATTATATTCCTATTTTAGCCTATTAATAGAGCTAATTCATACTGTAGTTTATGGGAAAAACACTTTATACATTCTGTATTTACATGACCACCTTTCATTGAGCATTTAATTGGATTATTCGGTAATGAAACAATCTCTATAACCTTCACCGTAACTTACAGTTTTTACATCACAATTTGCTAGCTTTTAAATTACAGGTTTTTACAATAGGCCTTAGAGAAGAAATGAAACATGGTAGATTTCATTTTGTGGGATCAGAATATAAGGTAGGACAATATTGACCAGAAAAGCTCAAAATCTCATTTTCCATAGAAATTATCCTCACAGGCTTTTACAGTGTGGCTGGTGATATGCTAAGTTTACTGTGATCTGAAGCCTCTCTAAGTTAATTGTGAACCAAAGCATCATTAAATTAATAGTGAGTTAAAGCCTCTAAATTTATAATGAGCTGAAGTTGTATTTAATGACTGATTTGGTATTGATTAATTTGAAAAAGTACATCACCTTGTATTAGCCTTTCATTTGATAAAAGATTTCCCAATATTTTATATATCTTTGTTTTTATTTCAGGTGCAAGGTAAGGTAAAGACTAACAAAACCCAGTTTGATCAGTTCAAAGTGGACACCCTGGAAAAGGTAGATTTGCTGGCAGCAGCGAGATGCAACATGTTCTCTCACGCCCTTTCTCAATACCACAGCAATTTGCTCAAATTCGCAGCTGGTTCTGCGGCTGCCTATCAGGCCATCGCCGACGTTTGTTCTGGTAATAATCAATATTTTTTGTATGGAGATTTTGTTAGTGACGATAAATTTCTTCTTGTGAGTCGTAATTGTAAAACTATGTTTAGAACATCAACATTTTGAGTGGAACGTTGTGAAGGAACTGTCCGATTTAACGCCTTTAGAGCAACAGCAACCACAACAGCCAGAAGCTCCTGATTCTGATGAAAAGTAAGTTTTAAGATTTAGTAATTATGTTTCTCAAATGAATGTTGAATTTTTTTGTTTATTTACGTTCATATCTTTCTTTTTGGCATTATGGGATTTAGTAGATTGAAAGAGGTAGCACCACTGCTACTATATTTGTCTTCAATCTAAGGTAAGATCGTTCTAATGCTGCTCTCTTTTTGAGAACTTCATCTTCTGGCAATCTTCCTGGTACTGGGTCTATTGCCTCTTGCAATCTTCTTGGTACTGCACCTAGTGCCTCTTTTCAGCCGAAAGCGTGACCAGTTGCACTACAGTTTCCATAATATATTGAGCATTAGGAATCTACATCAATGTCAAGACCCTGAAGCTTTGCTCGAAATCCTCCAAGTCCAGTGAGGAATTGCAAATCTTTATAGTTCAAGAGGACCATCTTTGCCTAAATGGGAATACTCCCTTTTAGTATTCCACAAGTCCTGTAGAGTCTTCTTTCTTATACACATATTTCATCTCTTATTCTAGCAGGTTGAGAGGCATTCCCCTGCTAAGACCTGCACTGCTTCTAGGACCTCTTGTGGGCTGAAGTAACCCACAGCAGCAGTGCCATTCTCTGGTTCGATGCCAGGGTGTTCCTCTGCCGCTGTGTGAGGCTTCGTTTTCGTAAGAGGTCATACTCCAAGATGTCTTTGATAACTCCTCTGTAGTGGCCATTACACGGCTCAATCAGTTCTTTTTGATTTCAAAAAATGAACCCTAATTTGGATTTCAGTTTGGACTAATTGGACTATTAGATTACTGAAGTTTGTCATAATTATATTAAATAAACAATAAGTTTTGTAAATGCATTATTTAATAACAAATCGTTCATTTTAATGATCATTTCTAGATTACTGAATTTTGACGATGACCTTGAGCCGAGCCAAACTGACAAAGAGGCTAGCAATGACATGGCTGCCGAGGACCAGCTGACGGAAGACGCTAGTTCAATGCTGGCTGCGCCTGGCTCTGGATATTTGCCATCCCAATTGCTCCTCAGCGAAGGCCAGTCATTCTTCTCCGATCAGCTAGGTTTGCATTTTTTTCTTTTGAACATTAGATAAGTATTGTGGAATCAGCCAAGTAGAGCTCTCACGAGGGTGTGTTGGTCCTAAAGGATCGAGTTGATCATTTAAACCATTTGTATTCATTTCTATAAGTTTGATCAAATAGTTGTAGAAGAATTTGCAAACTAATCTTTATGTTAATTTGGCTTTGTCACATTAGGTGCCATAGTTTGATTGATTTGCTCCTTTCATTTTAATCATGAATATGTTTTTATAAATATCTCTAACTCACATTAACCAACATTTTATACAAACCACATTTGTACTTTTTTTCTTCATTAAATTAATTCACTACTAACTGTTTTAATTATTTTTAAAAAATTATTGTTTCAGATAAAGGAAAGACTTCAGAAAAAAAACCATCAGATACGGTAAGTTTATTTATTTTACACCTAAATCATGTTTTTAAAAAAATCATTTCATAATTTAAGAAATAAACAAATGGTGTTGTGTTTATTAATATTAAAATCTCAATTAAGTTTTAATATTCAGCAGTAATTGACTGGACTATGATTGAGAATTAGAAAATAATTGAATTGGTAATAATCTATATTAAAATATTATGAAGAGGAGTAACACAGTGAGTAAGACACAGTGCACCTGTGATCCTGCTTCGATTTTCAGGAAAAAAATCTGGGAAAGAAAAAATAAATGCTAATAAGAAATCAATATCCAAATTTACTATAACTATCTCAAAAAGAAACGGACATGCATACATTTTCTAGTAAATATATAAATATTGGGTATAGACAAGGCAAGGACAAGGAACTACGATTGGCCACTTGGAATGTAAGATCACTCACAGGAAAGGGAAAAGAGCTGATTGAAGAAATTAAGTCATTTAGAGTCGACTTAATAGGATTGTGTGAAGTTAGGAAAAGAGGAAATGGACGAGTCATGGAAAGCTGTCTCACCAAGAATAATCACAATAGACATAGAATTATCAGTCGGCAAAGTCACAGTGATACAGGCTTATGCTCCAATTTAGGATGCAGCAGTCTTTAACAAGGACCAGTTCTATGAAGATTTGCAAAGGACAGTAGATAATGCAAGAACCAAAAACAGAATGATACTGATCTGTGGAGATTTGAATGCTAGAACAGGAAATGATAAAGAAAATTCTCATGGAGCAATAGGACCTTGGGAGGTGAAAACGTACAAAATAGTAATGGCCAACGACTCATAGAATTCTGTATAGAAAATAATTTGCTTATAGGAAACTGTATGACTTAACACTCCAACCAACCTCTCTTTAATATATCTACAACAGTCACTTATTAGTTAACTACACAGATGGGCTAAATCAGAATCAATGATTACATGATTAAAACTGAAAATAAAACTTAACGACCTCACCAATTTTATACTTGATTCATTAACACTATAAATATAGCAAAAATGTGATACGATTAGCTTATTACAATCGTAATCGAAAACCTGATCAGTGATCATGTAATCGTAATCTTTGATTATGATTATGCTCATCAATGATCCGTTGTCATAATATTTGTTTTTATATTATAAGTTAGGATAGCTGTTTATAAAAAAATGTTCCTTTGCCACTAAGATATATTTGAATTGTTTTGATTCTTTAATATTCCGATTTCACTGAATGAAGAATGTCCAAGGGAAGAAATATTTTTAGATACATTTATTTGTTTTGTTTTTTTCAGGAGAAAAGCGAAAGTTCGTGGCTGGACCTCATCTCAGAGCTGGATCCTTTGGCAAACCCCGACTCGGTCGGGCAAAGGGCGACCCTGGAACCTTTCGGTGATTGTTAGTGTGCCATCGTGGCATTTAGAATCTCTCTTTCTACATTGTCAGCTCCGATTCAACTCAAGATAACTATTTTCTAAAATCTTTTTTATATTTTTCTTGTTGTTTTTGGGTTTTAAGTTAAATACTTGCAAAAATTTTAAACTGGGAGGTGTTCAGATAATCTAGTTTTTATTAATCTTTTAAGATTAGTTTAATACTTCAACAATGATTGTATTGTGACGAGTATATATAAGGGAAATTTGAAATGAAATGAAACATTTCACAAATTTCTTTTCCATTAATCCAAAAATAATAATAAATTGTCCAAAAATAATTTACTATATATATATAGGACAAAAAATGAAATGTAATATACATGTATGTGATTACTGGTATTAGTTTTATTTTTATTGTGTATATAAATAGATTAAAAGGCAATAGTATATAATTGATAACTATTGATAAGAATATTATGCTAGTTATACCTATGTTTTATTTATTTAACTCCATCTGGCAGAAAAATAATCTATTTATCCATATCTAATGCTTATACCCATAGTCACTTATAGTGTTTTCCTGTAATATAATACTGTTCTATTATTTTCAACATATTTACATTAAATATTTGTTGGAGGTCAATTGGTGATCCATCTCTTTTAAAGTTATTGCAAGTGCATTCCGGAGGAATATTAACTTATTTTATTTAGTAAACCTTTTTCTTCCTAGTTTTGGATAGCAATGTTTAATAAGTTATCAGTTTGGTGGGGTTGGGGTTTCTACATAAAAAAGTTTATCTTCACTGAAGTTTGAGGTTTAGGAGAAAAGGGTTAATTCATTTTATTATATTGGTGAACGATTGATTAACAGAGGAGCATGTCATATTTTAGATTTTGATAACAGCTTCAAATAAATTATGATTAGCATTGGAAACATTTAGTGCACACTCACATTTAGTGCTTGTCTAATATCTCTGCCCTTCCAAACAGTCAGCATCAAAAGACACTCCGCTATGTATGGTTTCTGAAAAAAAAGAGAAGTCTGCCAAGTAAGGTCAGTATAACTTCCTCGCCGTTTTCATAAACTAAAAAATATTTATGTTACAAGGTCTAACATTTTTTGTATAAGAATAAAATCACCAGAAGAAGCCGTTTTCGGAAATTCAGTAATTCCTCAACTTGTACGGGTTTGATAGTTTTGTTCATTGAATACTAAAATGTGAAAGAGTTCTGCATTTGCAGATTGCAAATTTGATGATTCGTGATTAAAAAAAATTTCCAGTGCATACTGAACATTAAAATCACTACTGTTAGTGCAAAAGACAGTATGTAAAAATTGAATGTTTTACAGGAGTGCATAAGAACTATTTGTTTCTTTATGATTTATTAATATAATTTCATATTTTATTGCTCTCTGTTATTTTTTATTGTAGCAGACTGCTTATATCAGTTGCAGACAACAAAATATCACCTTTTGCACTATCAGTAGTGATAAATACTTAATAGGAAAAATTAAACTTTTTGTTTGTTCAGAATTAACTCTCATATAAAAATATGTGTGAAGTTCACACATTTTTGATATTTAAGGATGAAATCAAGACCACAACGAGCTAGTAAAACTGTGATAGAAATAAACACAATCACAAATAAGAATTTTTTTTTATACACTCAAGAGTAAAAATTAATTTAAATTTATTGAAAATTACACGAAATCTAAGTAACAATAGTAAGGGTCATGCCAGTAGCGTTTGGAATCGAACAAACAATACAGTATCAATTAATTGTTTGAATAAAACCTAAAATTTTATAACTCCATAAAAATATTATGCTAACCAAACTTCCACTCCAGATGATCAATGCCTTCCACATTTCACAGCCATTATATTGTTAAAAATTATTTATATTAATTTTAATTATTAAATGGAATTCAATGAAATTGATATCAGGTAATTTCTATACTATTCTCCAAATTCCCTCCAAGTTTGGGTCAAATCTAACGCGCAGTTTTCAAACTATAGGCCTGTCAAATAATAAATTTCCTGATCTGAATTTTTTTTTTTTGAGTACTGGACAGAATTTGGTAAAATTCATACATACATGATTATCTGTTAACAAATCCCTAACTTCCCTCAAAATTTGAGCCAAATCGAAATCGGGCGGTTTTAAAGACATATCAAGGTTTATTAGGACATGTTTGCGCATATGTAAGAGAAAGTAGTGGACAGAATTCAATATGATTGACACCACATTATTTTTTCATGAAAACCAACTTTTTATCCAACTTTGTGCCAAATCGAACGAGCTTTTTTTGAAATATTGGTATATCTAAAAAAATATGTTTGCGCGTGCTTCAGCGGAAATCCTGAATGAAATTTTATAAAATTGATAAGTGACCATTTAAGAATCATCCCGCACAATCCCTGAAAATTTCATGAAAATCGGATGAACGGTACTAGGTGATATGCCCGTCACATCGATTTGACTACAGACAGACAGACACCGAACCAAATTTGATCCTTGATGTCTGAAACGTAAAACGCGAGTGGAAATTTTCGATTCTGAGCACATAATTTTTTTTAACCTCTCGCACGAATACAATGCTTCCCTATCTTCGATAGTGAGGAAGCAAAAAAAAAGCTCAAGAGGAAATGGAGAGAACAACCAAAAGCATGCTGCAATATCAAATAACAAACTTTTTTTTTATAATACCACTCCTTTAATATAGATAGCTGATCTTACTATAATGAAATCCTGAGTTTTCAAAATGGTTGTGACCAGACCCAATCTGGACTCACAAATTTTTTTTATTAAGTGAAATCATACTAGAAATAAACTTAAATTACATAATAAATGTTATTATATAAATATTATTACGTGTGATTACATAGTTTATTTTATAAGATCTTTCTAAATATATGTTGAAAGAGTTCTGGAACAAACTTGGGAAGAATCTTTGAAGGACAATCCCCAATTAGGAGAACGATAGAACCAGTGCTGTACAACTACATGAGCTCTTAAGTAATATTTCTGGGTGAAGTAAAAAAGATGTGTATGTGGTTGTCGGCCAACAATCAGAACCATGAGATTTTATGTGATAAGCTGATCTCTTATATGATTTTTGAAAACCTGTTACTTCTGACGAGAATGAATTTGAAGCAGATGATGGCAGCAAGCAAATTGTATCCCAATTTATCACATTAGACAATTTAACAAAATTTTCAAAACTTTGTTGCCCTGCAATAGAGTGAAAACTTACACTTGTATACATATACATATACTTGTAATGTTCAGAAATATACTTTGTATTACTTTTTTTCTTTCTTTTTTCCTGGGCTAGAATAGAAGGTGAGGGATTATTGCCAGAGTTTCAAGAGATTGGCACTCGTAATCTTCAGATTATCAGGTTGGCGGCCAACACATTTTTTGCTCAATATACTAGCCACGCAGTCCCCTTATACTTTATATTACTTGTTATCATTTGTGGTTTTATAGTAAACTTAGTTCTTTTTGTCTCTAAAGAATATACCCTAATCTCTATTTTGGATTAAGCAGACTTTTATATAAGCAGAAGTGCACTGTATTACAAAATTCCCTTGATATGATAATGAAGGACTTTTAGTTGAAGCTAGCCTTAGGTAAGGACATGAGGAAACCAATGTAGCTTAAGGAACAGGGCTGCAACATTAGACAAGTACTATTATCTGATTAACGTGACTATTTTCAAATATTAACAGTATTTATTATTATTTAGCATTTAGTATTTTATTCAATGATACATGTTTTGTAATTATAATGTATGTTTAATAATTTTACAGGAACGTTTTTTTAATGTCAGGCATCAATCTTTTTGAAATAGTTTTTTTCTGATAAAAATATTTTTTTTGCATAAGTAGTCTCTTCAAATGTGTATTTACTATTCCATCTAATATAATATTTTACTTTATGATTTGGATGCAAGTGAGGGATACCATTTAAAATGTATATAGTATTTTTTAGTATGTGGACTAGTCTGCTAAAGGGTGTATCGCTTTTCTATATATATCAATTTTGTTTCATTTTTCCACATTCAAAATATTCTTTTAAATAATTAATTTTTTTTTTAACCCAACCTAGGGATAATAAATGCTGTGTTGGTATTGGAATGAAATGAAAACAATATTATTTATTACCAAATGCTAACTGGTATTAAATCAAGAAGTTGTTTTGTCCCTGTTAAAAGCCGTTATTGTACATGTTCCTAATTCTTGGTGTTATCCTCCTACTTTTGTATATTTCAGCTCCAAGAATCAGTTCATCTCGAGAGAATGGCATAAATGTCGTTTAAAATGAGACACATTAAAACATAAGTTCAGAATTACTTTCACAAGGTCTCTCTTGGCTCAGATTATGAACCTCATTTTACATAACTATTTTTCTTTTTTCATGCTAACATATATAGTATTTTAATTAATAGATCAATATTATATTAATATTGTAATATACCTTGTGTTTTTATATTCATATATATATATTTTTTTTCTTTTATACTCTTGCCTTTTTTCTAATTCCATTTACCTATGGTATTTTAATTATCAATAAACATTAGTTGAATTTTTAGAATAATTACTGAAACTTAAGTGACTTTTCTTATTATAAGTATATGTGTGTGTGTGCGTATGTGTATATATAAAATTAATACTACCATATGAAAAAATATATATACCAGCTTTTTTCCAGAGTTATATATATTTTTTTTTTTAATAATGGGTTCTAAGCATTGAATATGTTACATTAGATATGGTTATAAATATTATTAGAAAAAATACTGAAATTTGTACTACTAAAATTATTATTATTGTAGATCGGTCATTCAAATTAAATAAATTGCAATTGAATTAATTAAAATATCACCTATTTCAAGCTTATTATAGCAAAAAACAATTAAAAGACTATGATTTATTTTAATGAATTAAAAAAATAAATAAAACATTTTATTAAAGTTGAAGATCTGCTCCCTCAATGCAATACTTGTAAATTTCAAAAAATACATTTTCAAATAAATTATGACTTTTAATTCTTGATAACATAAATGATGATGAAAAATACATCATTATCAATTATGGTTGTTTAATTTGATAGCAATGATTTTTAATATCAAGTTAAAGTCTTTAACCTCACTTTTTTGAAATGTTAGTTTTTTCAGCTATGTTCATATTGCATTGATTATACCAAAGGAAAGAGATCTCAAAAGTTATATTTGTTACTAGTCATTGTAATTAAACACTGTAAACCTCAAAAAATAGTGTTTTGAGGTGTATAGAAACAAATTAAATTGTAAATTTTCTTAACCAGTGTTCTATAAATGTTTCTTATCTGGTCATTATCGTGCATAGACCTGTTTATGGACAAGATCTTTGTTCAAATATAAAAGAAAAGAGGGTACCATTATTGTTGCTAATATTATTAAATTGTATGCTAGTACTTAATCATTAGCTTTAAGTTCAACTGTATATTATCTTGTGTAAATGTAGCTTTGTGTTTCTGGAAATTATATAATAATTTATGTACTATGTTGCTATTTTGAAGTTATGTATGCTTTTGTTTATTTTTTTTAATTTAATTTTATTTATTTATTTTTTAAATAAAGATATATTGCTTTTTAAGAATTGCACTTATAATTATTGGTTTTAACAGTGTAATTTAATAGTTAAAAAATAGCTTATATGGAATTTATAGCTTTTTTATTCTATATCTGTTGCTAATATAAGTCAGAAAATTTATCAACTAAGTTATTTTATCTCCATAAAGTTTTATTTCTATTACTAAAGAATTTATTATTTGCCATAGAATTTTTTAAAAATATGTAATCAAGGTGGATTTATGGCATATTCTTGATTCTTCAAATTGTTAAATAACACAAATTTTTTTCAAATCTCCAGATTTGATCTAATTTAAACTGATCCACTCCTTTAACATCTATCCTCAGCATTTATGAATAGAATTTCTTTTTTGTCACACTTACTTTGACATCGTATTCGTCATTTCTGGTCCTCTGTTCAAGTCCTGTTTTTTGAAACCATTGTAGAGTAAGAGTCTCTAAACTATGGCCCGCAAGAACCTTCAATCTGGTCCGCGAAACTTTCTTTGATTATGTAGTAAAATTTTAAAGACTATTTAAAAATGTGAAATTTAACAAATTACTCACACACGAGGTTGCTACATTTATTACATGGCTTTCGTCACATAGAAAAAAAAAAAAAAAAAATCCGTACCATTACAGCCCATGAAGGGTCCTGGGTTCAGTACTATTTAGGAAAAGTACTGTTTAAAGGCCAATGGTAGTGCAGGGAGAGGATCAGGCCAGGATCACGCTCAACCGCCAGGTTTTCCCCCTTAATCAATTATTTAATTAAGGGTACCCACTTTGTAGAGGCTGGGTGTGCCCCAGGAGGATTTCCCTACTCTAGGGTCGCCCTACGGCCAATGAAACAGAATAACTAATTTTTCTGCCATGTGCTGGGATTCGAACGTGGGACCTTGAGCATTGGAAGCTTAGTGCCTTACCACTGAGCTACCCTGCTCACCTTCGTCTCTTAGAAAGCTTGTGAAATGAGCTGAAGTATCATTTATAGAACAAGGTTATTTTTTTTATCACAAGCGATGGCCCGCAGGACTTGTGTGGAGGTCTCAAAGC